CTGTCGTGGCAGGAACTGAAATACATCAACGGGATCATGAATATATAATCGTAATCTCTAGGGTCTCACGATCCTACGGAAGATGAAGTCTATATAAACAGTAGATACGTACTCTAGAACCGAGCCCTACTCTCCTTAGCTATTATCAATACAAACTTAGTTACCCAAGCCCACTTCATTTACTAACTATTACTACGCAGACACTTCCTCCGCGGACCCTAGAGACTCATTGTTCCTCGACCGGCTGTATCGTTTTCGTCGGTGGCGGCCCGGTCTTGCGGGAATCGCTGAAACAGGCCATCGTAGCGCATCGTCAACGGAGGCAGATTTCATGAACCTGACCCCAGCGGGGATGTTAGTACTTTATTGCGCACAGATACTCGGAGAAGCTGAGTTTGAACAAGCTATACCGTGTGTGCCCTTCACCGACAGCCAAATCGCCTGGTTTGCGGTCCTCATCCAGAAAAAAGCTGGCCTGTACAAGGCATATTGATATCAAGTTCAAACGCATCATACAGCTGACCGATGACGGTCATTTCGACCTGCAACAGCTGCGAACGGAAGACATGATCGCGGATGGTTTTCCCAAGACATGGCACATGGTCAACCATGAGAATTTCATCACACAGCTGCAACTGCGAGCCCTACAAGAAAAGCGAGGCCAACGAAGGCATAAAGAGCATCAAAGGACCGGAAAACATTAAGGAACAAGCGGAAGGGGTGCCCTTACGGCATAAAAAAGTCAACAACGGAGCTGTATCCGGCTCCACCTGAGGGGTAGCGTTAAAGGAAGCTCGCAGGCATAGCTAGAGTTGCCAGCTATATAGCGCGATACTAGCAATTAGATACTGTAATATCAGTCAGGTAGAAGGAACTTACTCAGAAATACTGTCAACCGGACATCCAACAAAACGTGGAGTTTGATCATATTAAGGAATAGCTTAGTACCAGAGTACCGCGCCTCTAACCTTAAATAACTTGAGCCAGGTACCGAACCATCCATAGCTTGATATATAGAACTAGGTGAGAGGACGAGCTGGAACTACATAATGGGCAAACTAGCAAACAATCTCAGGGACGCCAGTCCTAGGGCAAGGTATCGTTATCTCAGGAGTGAGAGAAACTAGATACAATGGAACTGATAGCCCTGCCGCCCCATTCAATCATCTCCAGCCGTTGCTATTGCGTATCCCCCTTTACAGTAATTAGCTGGTGTGCGACAGTATCAACGCAATCGCAACCTTGATCTTGATCTCGCATTTTCAACTACTGTAAGACACAATGCTGCCGCAGCCGCTTATATACCTTAACGTAAGGTGACCGCCTTAATGACTAGAGAGCAGTAAATGTAGATGAATATAGATTAAATGAACAGGGAACGGAGGATCACTACCCAGCTACAATACAAGTGATCTGCATAATCCTCCATAAGGAATTACAATTGTATACCCTTAAACCCCTTTCAATAGTAATTCTACCATTATTAACTATTAATACGACTACCAGATCAACAGGGGATATTGCAGATGTACTTATGTCTACGCTCAGACAAGGAATACCCTTTACTAACTGCTAATATAAACTACTTCACTTATACCAGACACTAAGACTAATATAGAGGTGCTGCACCCAACATACCACTTGTATAAATCACTTCTGACTTAGACTCCCTCAGGGAACAATCTTGGTCATTATCGCAGCTGGATAAGTGGAATTTATTCTTGCAAGTAGCCTCCCTGCCTCGGAGAACGACATCGACGGGCCAAACTGGATGCTCGCGGATGGGCCCATCAACGGGGCCAAGAGAGTTGAGGTGCGAGCTGGCACCAGTATTACATTCAAGGTTCACGTTGAGGTGTCTCCTAGCAGTAGCAAGGTCATATCAACCGAGTGAGGCTTTAAAGGATCTGGAACCTTTATGAAGAAGAGTTTCGGCAAAGTTGGCGTTGGTGTCGAGGCCACGATGACGTACACGTACAGAAGCTCTGGAACTCATTTCCCTGCCATTCGGGTTGGTTCTCATCGGGATGGAAAGGTCGATACTCCCTACGCCCTAACATTGAACTTGGGTCGCGGAAGAGTAGTTGTCGGGAAGTAATTTGGTAGTGTCAAAAGGAAATGACCTGAAATATCCTTCGAAGTTTGACTTGGGCCAATCCATCAGCACATGCCTAAGAAATATAAGCCAAGGGATATCGCCGTGGAAGGGTCCTTGCGCAAGTAGAAGGAAGGACAATTCGGTTTCGGCTTCGGACTCGGGCGAAATGTAGATCCCGGAAATTCCCCACGTTGTTGATGACGGCTAAATAGTTCTTACAAACAACTTGAGCAATGAATTGAGTTCCTTTCTGCTGATATTTATCTCCCGTGCTGATCTTCTTAAGTACGCAATTCCAAACAGGCTATCAGCAACGTCGTCAACATGTCTACTGCGCGGGGCTTCATCGACGCGACAATCGACCGCCTAATAGGATGTAGTCCAGACCTCCCTCCAGAAACATGCAACTTCGAAAAATCCGAGTTGACAATTCCTCGTCCTAATGATGGCCCAACGCCTGCCGCTGATCTCCATCAACCCATCGACCGCGAGCCATCAGGTACCGTACTCGTTCGCAGTCCGTACGGCCGTGGCATCATGATGACCATGGGTTCTGCGCACATCTTCGCCTCTCGGAGCTACCAGGTTCTTTTCGTCAGCAGTCGGGGGACATTCGGATCCACGGGCAGATTTGATAGAGGATTCTTCGAAGCTGAAGCTGGACAAGGCGTTATTAACTGGATACGCCAGCAGAGTTGGTATACAGGCTCCTTTATCACGCTGGGTATGTCGTACTCGAGCTACACTCCATAGGCGCTTCTTCGAGATCCTCCAGGTGATCTCGTCGCCTCTGTGATTATTGCCGGACCGCATGACTATGCAAAACACATCTGGGGCACGGGAGCTTTCAACATGCAGCATATTTTTTGATCGCACACCATCGTCACTCAGGAGACAGGAAGCCTTATCGACCAGTATATCACACCTATCAGCTTGTGAGACTACGGCCCGGTTACAAAGGGTCTCAAGGAAGTCTCAAAGACGCGGCTTTCTAGCAAGCCGGTCTCGAAGACCCGGATCCCTTGGATCCGGTCTCAAAGGAAACCTTACTATAGCTTTTGTAATGATAAGGATACCTTCATAAATAGAGCTGCTACAAGCCCTCTATTAGATAGAAATCAAGAGCTTCCATCATATCTCAATATACCCTTCCTTTCTGATACAACACAGTACAAAGCACTAAATCCGGGAAAAAGTCTTCGGTCAATAATCGATGCTCTTCCGTTGACCCAAGGCGTCGACTCTCACATCTCTGGCGCTCGATCCGCGCCTTGGCTAACGCACGCCATTCGCCATCCCGACCGAAAGGACCCCAGCTGGTCCCCGTTGCAGCACGGTCAGGCTCTTGACGGAGTAATAACCCCTTTACTACTCATAAACGGATGGCAGGACATATTTCTCGAACAAACAATAGAGCAGTATGAGAAACTTACTGCAAGAGGATATCACGCGAGGCTTATAATTGGCCCTTGGACGCATTTGCAACCACAGAATAAGACGATAACGAGGCCCATGCTAGAATGGCTGCACAGAAATCTTGCCCGCCGTACAGACATTCAAACAGGACCGGCTGTTCAGGTCTACATCATGGGGATGCAATCTGCACAGTAGCTAGAACTGCCCAGATGGCCGCCAGCCACAAATCGCCTGGAGCTTTATCTGGACAAGAATGGAGCTTTGAAAGACCAGCCACCCTCGGCCGATACAGAACCTTCCCGGTTCACGTTTAATCCTATCGACCCAACACCAACCTTGGGCGGGCCATTGTTGGTTGGGGGAGGGTTTGTAGACGATACTGCCCTCGGAGCAAGACAAGATATACTAGCCTTTACTACCGAGCCCCTCCACAAATCCCTGACGATTATGGAAAGTTTCTGTTAAGCTCATGTACTCGAGCGACTGTCCCAGTGTTAATCTGTTTATTCGACTCAGTGTGGTGAACAAGCAACGCCAGTCGCGAAACATTACTCAACAACATATACGACTCTGGGGTACAGATAGTTTAACGCTTGCAACATAAAGCTGTTGGATGCGGCCTACGCTTTGGATCGTGGTGATTGCTTACGGCTCATAATTGGGGGAGGTTCGCGATACGACGATAACCCTTGTCAAAAGCTTAACCGCCCAGGGTGGTGGGGGGTTGTTCTAAGCAGTAAGTCAATAGCGTCATGGTTTTTCGTATTGGACTCTACAAGCCAATATTTAAAGCTGTTGGCCCTTGAGGAGTTTACAAATGACTTGAAAGAAGTGATGGAGCCTAGACCCTTTAACAGAGTAACTTGGGAGACGTACTCCACATGCACAGACAAAAGAAGAGGACTGTCGTATCGATGTCAGTATCTTTAGGGATACGTGTCGCTTTCAAATTCAAGGTCGAAGAGATCCGATTATTGTTAAGAACTAAGCAGCAAAAGACAGCTCTCTGACTGAAACGCTCTTTCAAAAATAAATGCAAGCGCTCCATCTATTCTAGACCCCAGGAATCCTCCCAACTCTGTGCTTCCCCAGACGCGTATGCGCCGCTGCCGGCATTTTAACGTATGACTGAGGGGCTAAAGCACCACAATGAATGAAGACGGTTTATATGTCCAAGTCACGAGGGGGTTGTGAGAGAACCCAGTTCATCTTGTCGTAGGGTAAAATACTGTCCTTACGGGCCCCAGGTTGTGGTTACCTCACTGTAATAGATAGGAAGGGAAAATACCAAGATAGTGTGAATAATGGGATATACAGCAGGCAGAGTCTATGTCAGCTATAGCTGTGATAGTTCCTAATCAATTATATACAAGGGAAGCTAGCTACCTGTGTGTGTGACACAGGGCCAACGGCGATAGAATAATAAATGGTGAAGTAAATAATATCCGATTTCCAAGTCTAAAGTCTAAAGCGCCCGTCTCCAGGTCTCTTGGGGAATAACTTTGAAGAGGCTTTTAAACATTTTCAGATAGAGAGTATTTTCTTTGATCCCTTTGGTTTACTTTGGAGCCTGTACTTTAACCTGCGTCTATATTATCTAATCTAATTAAGTCTAACGAAACTTAAATTGCTTTTTGTGACAATAAAATCCCAATCCCTTAGCGTCTTTAAACTGGAATGAATTCTCTTGGCTTCAGCCCGCTTGGAAATCTCCATGAAAACAAGACTGCAACAAGGAACATCAGAAGTGAATCAAAGACATATATTGTCCACTCATGACTGAGACAATAACCGGTTTGACCCTGGGCATATTCAACTACCCTGAAGATTGATTGAACTATGATTAAGGCGCTTACTATATATAGCATATATAAGGTTGACTCCCAAGGGATCAAACTGTTGAACGAGTCGGTCGTAGCAGATTTTCTCAACCTGTGGTGGAAGACTACCGCAATAGCTGTAAATAGGCCAAACAAGAGAACCTGGACGATAAGACCAAGTATTACAATTCTCTCACCCCATTTAGCAAGAGTAGCGTTCTGGACTACTATTATACCTGCTGCACCACCCTGGATCATGAACGTTAGGATGTCTCCAGTAACAAACGTCTTTGTCAATCTTGTCGGTCTAATCAAGGAATATTTCTCGCCGCGGACGCTGATGATTATTCTGCCCAGGGTTATGTATATCGATGCTGCGAAGAGAGCCGGTGCGACCAGGATATACATGCTTTGAATGGTATAAGTTATGATGCGACCGGTTTGGTTGGCGGAGGATATACGGGCTCCATAACCGATGACTTCGACTAATAAGAAGATTAACGAGGGTACCTATTATATGTGCTATAGGTTGCTTATAGAAACATCCGATTGCAAACACAATGCAGAAGCGGGTACGGGTCTTATATATTCTCCAACAAATATAGAAGAAGGAGGCCAGGAAGAGGAGGAGGAAGAGCGCTGCAGCTCCTTTGTTGGGGGCATAGCGCCAAAGGTAATAGCTACCTTTGGTGGGCTCGACTCCTTCCACGGGATCTAATAAAGAAGAATTTCCCATGTCTCCTTGAGTCTTAGCTGCTTCGTAGTAGAGGGAAAGAATTCGGGTTTGGAGGAAGGAGAAGAGTCGACAACAACGTAGTGAGGGTCGCAAGGTAAGGACAGATTGGAATGATTGCATCTGAGCGAGTTGTATAGTATGCAGAGTTGAACGAGTGAGGGGAGGTGGAATGTATATTAATATAATATAGACCTGAAGCGATTCTAATTTCAGAATCTTTAATAACCCACCTCGATTCGCAATGTTTTGCAATATATGTATTCAGTTGTGTGGAACATGCTCTTGGTTTCAATTGTCGTTGATAAAAATAACACCGGCACGTGAGAGCTGCGAACCAGGGTCGATTAATGCTATCTCAGACTATCCGTCGTCTGCTACGTGCGTGCTCGATAAATACTCGTATTCAAATTCCGCGTCAGAGCCTCTAAACTCGGATACGAGTATTTTCTCACGCATGGGAAATTGGCGGGGCCACTCGGATACTTAGATCTAGTCTAGCGGAACCCTAGTCGCCGGAGACTGCGTATATCATCGGACTCCGCCTCGCGCTGAGCTTGAATACGAGTATCCAGAGCCACACGGGTTTCCAAGAAGATAGCAAATTACGAGTATTGATGTTTTCGTTGATATGCACGCCACCTTGAAGAGTTCCGTAGCAATCCCAGGGCAATTTAACGGCTTAAATAACAGCATTACTCACAGCAGTCTACGCAGATACCGAGGTCAATTTACGCTACCCGTAGCAACGTGTACAATATGAATGCCTTGTCTCTATCAATGCCTATGTGCCAAGCACGTTCGCAACACCACCGGCGGTATTCGGCACTGAAATCCTGTCTATCGAGGCTACACCTATCACAAATTTCACTACCCACGTCCACTATGGTTATCGATTTACACAGCCTTCTATTGATACGGAAAACCTCGCTTTCTGCAACATCACCGTTATATATACGATCCAGGTACCGACGACTAAATAAATATTGAGATCTGGCTCCCTGTTAATGGATGGAATGAGAGGTTTTATGCTGCTGGCGGCGGGGGATTTGCTGCTGGTCGGTTCTTCTTCTTATATATAAATATAGCTGGTGCTCTTGCAGAGGGATACGCTACAAGTACAACAGATACCGGGCTCGGACTTGATATAGACCCGGAGAATGTAAGTTCTTGGACTCTTCTGGGCCCTGAATAGGTCCATATGCAAAAGCTGCGGAACCTGGGATCTACGTCTTTTAATAACTAGGTGGGTTTCCCTTTTACCCTGCAGTATCGTCGCCCAACTAATAATCTATAGGCTATAATCAGTAAAGATATTATTAAAACCTTCTATAGCAGGGCTCTGTTATATTTCTATTAGAATAAATACTTCTAAGGTGGGCGCTAGGGTCTGATACTTATATAGTACTATCTAACTGTATATAATAGTATTGCTGCTAAAGTACCAGCTCTTAAAATTCCCAAACTTATAGTAAGTATCTTCTAGCTGTAGTATATAATAAATATAATAGGTGAATACCTATATAATTATAAGCTAGATATAATTATATAAGCTGTATTATTAACCTGTAATAAGCTAGATAATATAGTTAATAGCTTAATAGCTGATATTAAGAGCTATCTAGCTACCTTTAATCTCTTCCAGCTTATTATAATAACTATATATTACTTATAAACTGATAGTAAGATATAAATCTGCTCTACTGCAGCCTCTATAGTAAATATAACCTGGCAAGGCCCTCTATCTATATCGGGGAAGTAAATCTGGTATAGCTTTAACTCTAGCTCTAATTTTACTGGTACTATAAGTTATCTTACTAATTCAGTATTGTAATTATAAACTACTTAAGTAATAGCAACTATATTAGCTATTCTAATATTATTAGTAAATAGTAGCTGTAGCTATTTATAGTAAAAAACTTGAATTTTAAAATTAGAAATCTTATATAACGTGTATGATAAGCGAGCGTCGCAAACAAGCAAGCGTCGCACTTGGATTTTCACCTTAAATCGCGATTTTAAAATAATTCTTAAAAACTTAAACTAAGCCTAAAATAGCTATAATTTTAAATATAGCTTATCTATAATATCTATTATTTTTGAGAATTTCTTTAAGCTATATATACTTATAGCGCTAGTAGTATAAAATTCGCACTGTCTTTTTTACTATTTTTATTTATAACTAGCTTCATAAATTAGTTAGAAATATAAAGAAAATACTATCTTATAATCTTTTTTCTTAAAAACCTAAAATCAATTCTTTAGAAATTTACTAATTAAATAGCCCGTTTTGGAAAACCTAAAATTTACACTTTTAGCTGTACAGTATAGGTGCGACGCTCGCTTGTTTGCGACGCTCGCTTATCATATACGTTAATTGGAATACTTAACTAGTTGTTATTGTATTTATATTTGAAGTTAATAGGTAGTTTTATTGATCGTGTAAGTGGGGCGGTCGACTAATGGGTTGGTCGGTTAATAGGGTAGTTGACTTATGGGAAAACGTACCCGGCTCCTGTTGAGTCTACTATCTCGATGTTTTTCTCCGCTTCTACAATCCCCCGTTCACCAAGACTTGTTGCATAGTATGCTCCCTTGTCCCCCAAAGTCAGGACTACATTCGCCACTCCCAGCTGCAAGAAACACTCCGTTGCCTCGGCCCAATCACGGTTCGTCTTCAGGTCCTCAAGTCCCCGACCCAATAAAACCGACGCCTCCTCCTCGTTCAAGACTAGGTGCGTGACAGTTCGAAATACAGACGCCTCAAGATGCACCGCGGGCCCTGGATTCAGCATCGTATCAATACCCTGCCGCCTTGCAGTGGCCAGAACCTGCACGGCCTCACTGTGAGATATCGCCAAGTCCGAGATGACCAGGTCTGGTCGCAAGCCGGCGGCCATACAGTCTACCCCATTCCGGTCACGAAGCCTCCACTGCTTGCTCGCTGCTCGAAACGCAATGATTCCGGGTGCTGGATTGCCCACGCCGCCCGTCCCAAGCAGCATGATGGCTGCTGCGCTCTGGACGCCTTGCAAGATTTGCACCTGCGACACATCGACGCCGCTATGAGCAATGGCCGCGAGAAGGCGTGCGCCGGCCTCGTCATCGCCCACGGCCCCATTCAAGTATATATGCACATCATTCCTCTCAGCAGCAGGGCTGGGGCGCGAGACAGCATGCCTGCGAGTTGGATCTTGGTGGCTCACGCGGTGCATCGCAACGGCCATGTTGGCGCCCTTGCCACCTGGACGGTGCCGTATTGAAGTTCCAAGCACGACTTGACCCGGGGCTGGCATATGAGGGATCTCGATGAAGGAGTCGGTAATGATGCCGCCTACGATCGCAACAGTTATTGGCGACATGCTGATGTTGAATGGTTGAGGGTCCAGAAGTCTCAGGGTTGTTTTGTAGCCTGGTCTGCTGTGTACGGCAGGTGGGAAACCCGGCTGCTTTATGGAGGGTGAGACCATCTGGGTACCCAATACCTTGCTCCTGCTGACAGAGGCAGCTGATATAATAGGGCCACCCGGATGTCAACTTATCATCGGGCACAAATCCAGAAGCCCAAATTGAGTCTTCAAAGCCCTCACATCCGGCGTATCCCAAGCTTTTCAAGTTTACATATATGTTGGTAACGTCTCGTCGTGTTTGATCACGGGGTCCAACTTCTAACGAGTGTGGACTATCAGACTGATGATGTTATTGATCAAGGATCTGTCTTACCCCTCTTTTTCCTTTGAGGGGTTTTTATGCAATTTGACGGATCCGTTACAGTCAAATTGATCAATGTAATCGTGTTCAAATTGATGATAATGATCTTGATTATCCCTCCCTTCCAGTCTGCCGGACCTCCCGAAAAGGGGTTGTCTGACCCTTTCTTCTGACTACCTAAGGTCCTAATATCAATCTATTGAAGGTTTTATAATACAGAGTCTCTTTCTAACATAATCCACGCCTTCTAACCAAAACAGAGCTATTATTGTATCAGAGGTTATACCGCCACATAGGGAGTCAATCCAACAATATATTATTATAACATAATATTAAATACATTCTACTTGTTGTTGGATAGCATACGGCACATTCGATCCAGGGATGAATGCTTAATAGGGTGTGGATCCTGAATCCGTTGATTGTCTTGATCTAGGATGCCTCCGGCCCCCTCCTTTCTCGAGAGGGGTTTTATGTCATCTGACACCCCCTCTGACTAAGGTCAGGATATCGATCGATCAGAGGTTTCGTAATCCAAGGTCACAATCCAACACTTATCTTATGCCGATACATATACTCACTACAAGACCATCAAATCAAATTCAGTGCACGTGCACCCCAGGCTTAATCACGCAAGCCTTCAGGAACGCGGGGTAGAAACCTCCAGTCAACTACTAATATCTTCTCAGAACAATCCTCAAACCTGTTCAGGTTATGTATGACGACTAAAGCAACACTCCACAACATGGCGGCCCCTGCCCAGCTTGAAACAATAACGCCTACGGCTACTTGTCCCGAGGAGAAAATCGACCAGGCGGCTGCTCTCCAGGTCCAAGATCGATACGAGAGGGAACGCACTAAACGGGCGAGACCAAAAGGTGTTTCTCAGTACATTGACCTCTTTTCATCGGAAAGGTTCAAGCATTATGGCCTAGATATATGGCTTGACCCGGCACATCCACCTAGCGATACCGCTCGACGATTTGGAGACTCCAAGTCCAAGGTACTCATTCTAGGCGCCGGGTATGGCGGACTACTTTATGCCGTAAATTTGATTCGGGCTGGCATGGCCGTTGATGATCTGCGTCTCGTCGACTCGGCCGGGGGTTTCGGAGGGACATGGTACTGGAATCGGTATCCCGGCCTGATGTGTGACATCGAGAGCTACATCTACATGCCCCTCCTCGAGCAGACGGGATACATGCCCAAGGAGAAATATGCCAGTGGCACGGAGCTGCGCGAATACGCAGAGCTCGTCGCTGATAAATGGAACCTTCGAAGCCAAACAATGCTGCAGACCCAAATAAAGCAGGTCGTTTGGGACGACTCGGCCAAAGAATGGGTCATCGATATGACCGAGACTCGCAAGGAGAAGCACCCGCTCGAATTCAAAGTCAGGGCTCAGTTCTTCATCTGTGCTTCCGGGATCTTGACTCATCCTCAGATATTAGACCTCCCAAGCATGGATACCTTCAAGGGTTCCAGCTTCCACAATGCTCGATGGGATTATAATTGCACTGGTGGATCGCCGACTGACCCCTCCCTGATCCAGCTCAAGGACAAGAGGGTGGCCATCATTGGGACAGGTGCCACAGCCGTCCAAGTTATCCCATACCTCGCTCGATGGGCCAAGCATCTTCACGTCTTTCAACGTACACCCTCGGCGGTCATGGAACGTGGTCAGCAATCAACTAGTCGTGAGTGGTGGCTACACATGACAAAAGAGAGCGGCTGGCAAAGAAGACGCAACGCAAACTTCAACGCGCATATGTGCAATGCCGCAGAGCCTGGAGACAAAGACGTGGTTGACGATGGATGGAGCAAGTGTCCAACATGGAGTGCACGCCTTGGTAGCCCGAATGCACCTATGAAGCCTGGAGCAATACGTTCTTATATTGAAGGGTTGTACGCATTGGACTCTCCACGTATGGAGAAAGTCCGAGCCCGCGTTGATCAGACTGTTAAAGATGTTAAAACTGCCGAGAAGTTGAAACCATGGTATCCAAGCTGGTGCAAGCGGCTATGCTTCCAGGATGATTATCTTTCTGTTTCGACCAACCCAACGTGACGTTGGTACATACGGATGGCCAAGGTATAGACGGAGTGTCAGCCGATGGCGTACTGTTCCAGAATCAGGAGTACGGGGCGGACGTCCTTATATTCAGCACTGGCTATCGCTCGGCCGCAGTAGACAACATAGCTCGCCGTGCTCGGATAACCGTCAAAGGTCGCCAAGGAAAGACCATGGATGAAGTCTTGGTAGATGGTGTCTCTACTTTGCATGGAGTCATCGGCCGTGACTTTCCGAATTTCTTCTTCCATGGGCCCTCTCAAACTGCTGCAGCGGCAAACTATTGCTTCTTTCTGGATGAGATCTCCCAGCACATCTCGTACATGATTATGCGGGGCCTCAAGATTGCCGGCTCAGAAAGGGTCACCCTGGAGCCGACAGAAGAAGCGGTTCAAGCATGGTCAGAGCAAATCTCGAGTCGTGCTCTGGCGCTAGCGGGGAGGGGAAACAGCAACTGTGCACCGAGACATCCAGTCCACGAAAGCAAGAAAAGCCCTTTAGAGCTAAAGAACAGAAATCGTAGCGGGCTCTGGGGTTATGGGGTAGAAAGTTATCTTCAATTTCTAGCACATTGGAGAGCGACAGACGATCTTCAAGGCCTCGAGATAAGAATAGTGTGAGGGTCAGCTTATACTCAGCTAAAATCTGCACGGCAATATAGGGTATCACTTTGTCGGACGCCCCTGTCTCCTATAACAATAGTATGTCAAAACGACTCGTTACTTTAATTACTAACAGACCGTTCCCCTCAGAGAGATTGCTTATATTGTAAAATAAAATAAGGAATAGTACTAATAGTATTACTGATATGCATTCATTTTAAACTGAGTTAATAAGTAAAAAGAAAAAAAGATGCTATCTTATTTTTCAAGCGGACTTATTATCTTAAGTAGAAACCACCTAAGCTAGGATAAGCCTCCGGTACCATATTAAACTCCAGGTGCACTGTTAGCCCTATCACACTATACGGTTGTCTTAATATATAACGTACATGATAAGCTTGCGTGACAAACAAGCTTGCGTGACAAAAATACCAACCTTCAAAATTAAAACTTCAATAAAAATACAACAACACCTTAAATCAATTAAAACTAATTATTATACTCTTCTCCAGAGGTCTCAATAACAGCCTGACAGGTCCTTGCATTATGACCGGCCTTTCTACAAGTTCCACAGCGCCTTTCCCTCGGCATCACCGACCTCGCTCGACTACTACTTCTTGACGATTCAGCTGCTACCTGTGCATCGATATCTCTCTAATCTATCTCACCCCTTCCCTTATCTACAGTTATCTTCCCTCTATTCTATAGGCGGGTTCTTTTTGCTCTATACTGCTTGCTAAGAGTCTTATTTACCTATTAAAGAATCTAGTTCTTAGATTTTAATAATACTATTTAATATATTATTATCTTTATTCCCTTAGAAAATAACTTAAGCATCTTAAGGATAGATACTGGAGAGCTGCTCTGATGCCTTCTTATTTGTTTTTTAAGGTATTCAGACTGCAAACTGGCCTTAAGTACTATCTTTGGGGTCTTCGAGACCCAAGGGTCGGGGAGGCCGACCTCCTTTACAGCCGGTATTGGAGTCTATAGCTGCACATCAAGCTTCAATATAATATTTTCTAGGTTTAAGAGAACAAGTCCAGCCCCTCGAAAACCTCCCTTAATATTACTCCTTGTCATAGCAGCTATATAGGCAGCATAGAAGGCTGGGAAGAACTCAGTCTTCGTAATGTAGGTTATAGAGTATTTAATTAATTGCTCAATTTCTCGACTATAGGCTATTTTAAGCAGCCTAAAGCATCTGATATCAAGAGGCTGGAGTAGATGAGATAAATGAGGCAGCATATAAAGCATAATAATGTTATTCTCTTTATAATATTTCTTAAAGTCGACGGAGTAGTAACTTTCGTGCCCATCGAGGATTAGAAGACAATAGCAACCGGTCGATCGATCCTTTGTATGCCGGTCAAAGTACTTAAGCTACTCAAAACCTATTTCATTATCGGTCCAGCTATTTTAAGTCGTCGCAATAGCCCAATCGCCCGGGAGGTTGCTTTTCTAATACCAGCTAGCGAGGTGATATTGGCCCGTAATTACGATAAATGGCTAGATCGCCCAGCCTTCTATATTAATCGCCTAAATAACTGTAACCTATTCCCAGTTTCTAGGCTGGACTGGTTTTAGGTTTCTACGCCTATCTATGCCTATAATAACTATTCTACTTGTAATAATATCTATTATAAAGCCGGTCTTATTAAAGTTATAAATATCGGCTAGGTTAATATTATATTTTATAATTATATTCTCTATAAGCTAGAACTAATTACAAATAATAGTTGGATTTTTATATTTAGCCCTCTAATAATTATATTTATAAAAAAAATATATCTTGAGCTCTAGTTATTGCCTAATAAAGTTAGAAGCTTAGTACTTACTAACGGGTGATATGTTGCAGTCGGCAAGCAGTTAGTTGGCTATTTCTTCAATACTACACAGTCGCAGGGGAAACCCTCGCAAATCCAGGTCGAGGATAAACTGAATAATAATCTGCTCTTCTAGATCGGACAGCTTGTGTGATTTGGGGATCTAATTGCGTCGGGATTGAATCCCCTTCTGCCGGCGCCATAGCATCATACGGCCAACTTTATAGATCTCTGCAGCGCATCGGAGCTTTAATTTTGGGTCATTTTGAAGGGCCTGAAGCGCAAGAAGGATTCTACCCTCAATATAAGGGTCAGACATATTTTGTGGTTGAGAATTAATTGATTAAATGGAGATAATGTAGGTGGAGGGATTTTTGTCACGCAAGCTTGTTTGTCACGCAAGCTTGTTTGTCACGCAAGCTTATCATGTACGTTATAAAGCTTCAACTTATTTATAATTTCCTTCACTGATACACTTCTCAATTCACGCCTTTAACCTTGGCGAGCCTCGACGCGCTGAAGCAATTCCCTGAGCGCAGACATCGGCTTACCATCAGTCTCGCCTATCTCTTGACAAGCGTGTAGATGCTCGCGGTCCTGAGCGTTCACCTTGGCGCCATGATGGTAGCGATTAAATGCCTGCCAATCGAGCGGGAGCATCTGTTTCTCCCGCGCTGCTAGCGATGCGGCAAACTCGTCCTCAGTTGTCTGTCTCGCCGCCTGCTGGCCCGGTTCCCCATGAATGCTGAGTCTTTGGATCTCTTTCACGGCCGCGACCGTAAGGCTCCACAGCTCGCCCTCGCTGCTGATATCACGAAATTTCGGCCAGTTTGTCAGCTCACAAGCCGCGAATACTGCGAACATGGGGTTGCTGAGAAGGGCCAATTCTACTGCTGGCAGAATAACACAGCTCGACACTCCGCTGGCGTTGTATATCTCCGCGAAGCCGTTAGCTACCCCGGGAGAGCTGTCATCCAGGACGAGACCTTGGCCAAGACGATCTGAGTAGGCGAGATCGGCCTCCGAAATAAGGTCTGGGTCTGTCGGGGAATTTGTAGGTAGGGTTACAGCCTTAGTTGAGTAGGCATGGATAGCGAGAAAGCCATTAATTATCTGCTCGTCTCCAATGCCGGAGATCTGAAGGAACCAGGATCTCAGATTGATGAATACGCTTCCAAGAATAACCTTTGTGTTCGTGCCACGCGCGGCCTCCCCGATTGTCTTTACCAGTCTCTGGCCGGTCTCGTTCCGTAAGGACGCGCCGTCGAGGGTCACGAAAATATAGTCGTAATCCGCACCAATGATTCTTGTTGGATCGGTGATCCAATTATAACCGTTGAACTCCTTTAACTCGTTATCATCATAGCAATACAACGTCTGCGGACGCTCTAATGCCTGTATTTGATATGGACGAGCAAGGAATGTTACATTGGATCCCGCCAGACTTAGGTGGTAGCCAACGATAACCCCCATGGAGCCGGCGCCAACTATGAGGATGCGAGAGCCCATTGTTGTAGTAGATAACTGGTGTGGTGTTTTGTGCGTGCAATACTTTTCGTTTAAGAGACTAAAGATTGGAGAAAATGAAGATATCAGAATGTTGATACTATCCAGGCTTTTAACGTTGTATAAATAGACTTGCGGAGTTTTGGGGTTGCGGAGTTTTGGAGTTGCGGAGTTGTGAAGCTATGAAGTTACAGAGATCAGCGGACTTTTAGAACACCGACTTTTAGGACACACCCGAACTCGAACCCCTCCCATATAGCTGATTCTGATCTAGCCAGAGCGTGTACTACTACGAGTTCGAGCGCACATACCAGCTGCCGGGCTGGCCGCACTTGGACCTGTGTGAGGCCCCGAGGACGGCGGAGCGCCCACACGGTGATCCCGAGTCCCCAGACAACAACCTCCGGTGCCACTCCGGAGAGCCGATGTACGTGTTCGAGAACATTGCGAGGCTGGGGCTGCCGTACCGGGACGACGGGGATGTGGTGTTCGCGCGGTATGCGCTGGACACACTTGCTGCGTTTGCGAGGACGTGGGATCCGAACCCCAGCAAGAAGTTCTTGAGGTCGAGGGGGTACCACAGCACACTTCAGACACTCGAGGCCACCGGGAGGTGGGAGCCGGCGGTGAAGGGAGACATGCGACTAAGGCGTTTAGATTAGCCAACGACAGCGCATATGATGGATGAGTTCAGGGACAGGGAGCAATGTGAATGGCTCAACCTGCCACTCGATTACTACGTTAAGCCCACCGGCCTTGACGGATAGCGTTGCCATTGAGAAAGTCTATCTCCACGACAGGTGGGTTTCAATTTTGGGGGTGAAGAAGAGACCAGTATTCCCGATCAGTGTAAAGGCCCCCCGTCTCGACACTCGCTTCGTCAAGTTGCTTGATCCGCCGACATGTCCTCCAGGATGCAGGGCTGGTGGCTGCTCTGCCACATGGAGACGCGCGCGTACGCTCTAGGAGAATTGCGCCGATGTAATCGTTTCGCTCTTACGTCACTCTGCAAGACGAGATGCTGTTAAGCATTGTTGCCATCCATCTTCTCAAGTCTAGCGTAATGCGTGATCCTTCTTATTGCTAGAGGCACGAGAAACATGTTCTATCGATACGAGCACTTATTTGTATGCGGCTGTTCAACTTCTCGAGCAGGCTGGTCGGTGGCTGAGGTGCGGGATCAGAGCCCCTATAAATGATCAGAACATCTTATCTACAGATCAGAAGCAGTGACTCTAATAAAAACTGGTGGACGCAATAAGTTTGTTATTCTATACTTGCCGTTCCAAAATCCTTAATCTATGTCGGTCAATGCTCCCCTAAGAAAAGAATAGTCTAGTATACATCTCCAAGATCACCAGACACCTGCCCTGACCCTCACGCCTGGTCGGTCCATTCCACTCCGCCTGGCTACAACATATGCATTGCACTACGCTGGAATGGCATCAATTGTCTCAACCACGGGGTACACATAGCTCCCATTGGACATGGCGTCCTCTCCGCCGTAGAATCTTAAGTTTATTTGGAAGCTATTTCCGTCGGGTGGTGCAGGCAACCAGTTGCTCGTCCAATTGGCCGGTGGCGGAACGTTGCTTGGCTGAATTAAAATCTGAAAGAACCGTCCTCGGCACCGCTAGAGATCGTCCCGTCCATTAAGGTAAAGTTGCTCCTATCCCCCAATGCGTACCTATCAAGGTCGTTCGGGATAAGATATGCGTTGGCGTCGTATATAGTCAGACTCCAAAAGCCGTGAGACTTCAGCTTTGGTTCTGCCGAGAAGGTCAAGCGCAACGCACTGGTGGATGGGATGATGTTGTTTATTGTCGAACTTGCGTAGGCTGGGTACATGGCCTGATCCCTTGTCAGGTAACCTGTCGCCGCAATGTTGTATCGCGTAACATACGCACTCTGAAAATTGCCGATGTACGCGGCCTGCGGGTGCACCTAATTATTATCGAGATTTTGAAGATATCCTGGAACAAAAAACTCATTGACGATGGAGTTATTTGCTGCCTGTGACGCCGCGGTGAGGTTAGTGCCCTTTGGTTGCGCAAAGCATCCCTTGGCGAGTCCAGCACCTTGAAGCGTTGCTGACACCCAGGTCCTGTCTGCGATAACCAGGGGGGCATTGTACGGTGACAACTTTGCGGTGAGCCTTAGAACGCCCTCCTCGAGAGTGTTGATTGATCCTGGAACAATCTTTGGGTCGGTAAACATGGTTAGGTTCAGGGACGGCGCAACCGGAAGCTGAGAGGCTCTCCGGATAGGGGTAATCCCGAACTGGTCCTGGACGCGGTGGACAGCAGCGGCATCGGCCTCGTTTGGCTGGACTAGGATGCGGACCGCAGAGATGGCATATGGAGTTGGAATGTTGATGTACGCTTGGTACGGCTCTTTTTGTTGAAACGGTGCACGCCTGGGTTGCTCTTGTCGAAGCGGATAAGGTATTTACCTGTGGGGTACGACTAGAGCTTCCCGATATTCGCAACGTTGTTGCCGTATCTATTCGATGTAAGCTTAAATCGGCATGTTTTTAGATGGACCTTACGGGTCATAGAAGGGCCAGACCTAATAGTGTATGTCAGTCTTGATTTACTACCAGGAGTATCGGAGCCGTCTTCAACGTGGGTGTCTAAGCGGAAGATAGCATACTTTCACCGGGGCGAAAAAGAAGATCAAAGAAACTTAGGGACCACGACTCACCCAGTAACAGTCTTCTATTTCCGGGACATTAATAACCAGATCCGAACACAACAGGTCGAGAAACGCTCTAGAGTATAGAGTATTAACGTTGGGTTTGTTCAACCATTTGTCGGCCGCAGTTGACACATTGCGCTGATGGAACAGCAAGTTCGTAGAGGCGTTCGTGGTGCGCTGTATAGCCAAGGCATACTAGTAGAGGGGATAGCCGTACTGGTTCGATTAGTTAGTTGGAGTTGCTTAACGCGCGGAATTGATAACAGGATCGACTGACGTAGTACGCAAAGGTCACGTTTGCTTGAGCACACATCGTCGTCTGGTTTGCGCAAACCGTCCACGGCAGGTAGGAGACATCCTGAGCTGCTGCAAACCCAGCGCCAAGGCAGGCTACCACTGCGGCCTTAGCCAGTGTTCCTGAAAGTTTTATCGTCCCAAATAACGGCGACAGCCCTTATTAGCGGTCTGCCTTTGCGGTTTGAGTTTAAATGCGGAGGAGATTGAAAAGAATATTAATGTTGTAGGCTCTCTGTCGTAGGTCTGCATACCAGATTTTAAGAGGTTAAGAGTAAGGTCCAGAAAGTCTCCTTTATATATCCTACAGCAATTAGACCCGAGCTGCACAAGTTGGTATTCAGTCAAGCTTTTAAGTTCTATCTCTTCTGCATGCCTCGGTCCTCGGCAATCTTTTGAAGGATGCAGAAGCAAGCAATCCATAAAAATGATACATTGTAATTTGGCTTAAACTTAAAGTTCCTAAGCCACGATCCCCAACGTAAACTCTGTCTAGCGGTGGGCGAGTTTGCATTATACCTCTCATCACAGCCACGATTTAAGTGGGAGGGTCCTAGCATGATGTTAGATGACGCAGAGTACCCATTAGAAGATCAAGATGAAGGGAATTAACTACATACGGCGTGCGGGTCTTCGGGAAGAATGACATGACGGGCTCCGGGGAGCCTACGCTGCACTGTGCTTAACAGCAATAACCCAGAGCTCTATGTTGAGGAAGGACTGGGCAACACATAACATGACTGGCTTGTCTCTGTCCACTTCGATAAATCATAACGTCAGGGCCCATTCTAGTTGCTACAATTCTTACGTACGTAGACGATGCCACGGTACGACGGTTGACCGAGTCGGCCTCTTTCTTGCTATGAAGCGAGCACTTCGACTTGCCCTAGACTAGTTATTAGGCATCGGTCAAGGGTGGCAGTCATGCGGAGAACCCAAGCGGGAGTTCCACACCCTCATGATGTTGCCCCTTGATATCCCTGCGCCGGCTGTAAAGTTCTATGATCCTCTGCGGCCGCGCCACTTGGCGTCGCCCTATAACCGCACGATTCAAGTACTTCGCTGTCAAAGCGAGAACCGTAGAGAAAATGGCGGCTCCTTGAAACTAGCCCAACCTTGCCTGCATTTGGATCTGGGTTCGGTGCGTCTTAAAGTCCGTGTCCCAAAAGTCCGTGTCCTAAAAGTCCGCGTCCCAAAAGTCCGCTACACCCATGCTAATCAATCAACTATGTGGGATGCAATCAACTATGTGGGATGACACCGGCTCGGGTACGGCTCGGGCACCATCAACTTCCCGGCAGGAATATTCAGGCAGTTATGTAATGCATTCTGCATACTCAACTCCGCTCGCGAGGTTCTTTTAGCGGCGGACTTTGAGGTACTATGCGGTCCACAAATACCCTTTTAACTTTTGTTCAGATTCATTTGTAAGCTTGATGCAAGCTTGAGGTGACCATCTAGATTAGGGGCACTCAAAACCAAATGTTAATAAAGAGATAAACAGTTCAGGCAAAAGAGACGGACTTGATACTTATTAGTCTCCCGTCTACTAATTTACTTCTCGACTCCCAAAATGTCTGAATCTCTTTCTCCTCAGGAGCCATGGTCTTTAGCGGGAAAAACGGCTATAGTTACTGGGGGATCACGAGGGATTGGCCGAGCCATTGCGCTTCACTTTGCTCGTAAAGGCCTGAGCAATATCGCCATCACTTATGTGGCAAACCGCAACGCGGCTGAGGCAACTTTGGATGAATGCCGTAAACTCGGCATTAAGCACTCAATTGCCATTCAGGCAGACGCACTTGATCCAGACTTCGGCACGAAAATCATTCCTGAAGTCCTTCGGGGACTCAAAACGACAACAATCGACATTCTCATCAACAATGCGGTTTTAGCGGACCCATCCGCGGCGAAGCCCATCAAGGAGACCACACTCAAAAATTTCTTGGAGATCATGCAAGCAAACGTCTACGCGCCAGTCTCGCTTACTACCGCACTCATGCCACATCTACCAACATATAGGGGTCGCATCGTCAACATCTCGAGCTGCGCTTCCAAGCAGGCAAACTCGGATCCTATCATAACATATGGCGCCAGCAAAGCCACTCTCGACAGCTTTATGCGCTCATTCGCAGACAACTTTGCCAAGGAGAAAGGGGCGACATTCAACAGCGTCATCGTGGGCCTTACGGCTACTGATGCATAGAAACAAAACCAAGATCTTCTGGGACCGGATTTTCTGAAGGAACAGCTTCGAGAAACATCCGCTGCAGATAGAATTGGTGTCCCGGAGGATATTGCGTACATTGTTGGCTTTCTAGCCAGCGAAGAGAGCAGATGGATCAATGGTGCTGCGGTAAGTGCAAACAGGGGGAACAGAAAGGTTCTTGCGGCGCTCGGTTAGACTTGACGTCTAGTGTAGCAGGGCAGAGACTCTGGGTGACTACGACAGGTGGCTGCGTTGCCTCTGGGTAGGGCTAGGAAATAGATAACGACAAGTAGATTGCTTTCTTTCGGCGCACAGGGGATTCAACATCCTCGGCGTTGCTCCTGGCCAGCTGGTTTCCATAGGCTTATCGGAACGAATAAGTCAGCCCACCCATTTACGGATCAGGGGCTTAGCTGACCGCCCCACTTACACAATAACCAAAATCGCAATTCAACTTCACTTAGAGATAAAACAACAACTAAGAGACCTAATTGGTTCATTTCAACTGATTTTTAATAAACTAACTAATGAAATTTCTAAATATCAAAAAATTAACCAATAAAAACAAAGGAAAAATAAGCTATTCTGAATCTTCAACCTCAGGCGTTTTTATTCGCCTTCTTGCCCTCTTCACATTCCGGATACCTAAAAATAGCTTATTTAGGTCTTTATAAACTCGTCCTTTCTTTCTAGCCTTTGATTGGTTTGAATTTCGTTGTAGAACTGCAATTTAGTCTTGTAATTGGGCAATTTGTAAGTGGAGCTTATCTAAGCCCTTACTAATAGTTCTCAGTAGCTGCCTTGTGGTTGGGCTAGCTAGGATTTCCTTCTTATGAGAACGAACCAATAAGGTGATATCCCTTGAATTGCTAGGGGTAGTAAAAGGGGCAATTTCAGACCTCTAATTCCTTTTTAGGGAAATAGGGGCTTCTGATTGGACTGTGATTGTGTTGTTAGGGTTGTTAATAACAAATTAGCTACCCATTGGCTTTAACATATTAATTGGCCACAACCCGGCTCCCTTCCAACCAGATAACGCATTTTTAGTAGTCAGAGCCTTCTTCCTTGCCTCAAAATAGCAAGTAAGGAAGTCTTCCTTCCTAGTTGGGCTAATATCAGTAAGGGGATTGGCTAGTATTAAAGCAGCTCGGTATACAGCTTTAAGTGGCCCAAAGACTGATATATCAAGAGGCTGAAGAACGTGGCTAGTGTGAGGCGGTAAATAGAGTAAATGAACCCTATTGGTCACACAAGTACGCATAAATTCGATCGTTGCATGTGATCCATGCCCATCTAGGATGAGGAGCCTCTTCTTATTGGCCCGGGCAGGCTTTGAGCCCGGAAGGAAGACTTCCTTTAGCCATTCAAGGCCAATATCGTTATTGGTCCAGCCCTTATCAGACGATGTAAATTGCCAATTGGTCAGAAAGTCCAATTCCTCAGGAAACTATTGGTGTTGGACGTGTTTTCCTTTAAAGATAACCAATGGGTCAAGGCACTTTCCCGTTGCGGAAATAGCCTCAAGAATAGTAATCCAACTAAGGTCATGTGGCTGTTTCTTAACCGTCGATCGAAGCTGCGATTAGCCAACTACAAGCCCGTTGGTTCCGAGCCCTTGGAAGACTCCAGTTTCGTCGAAATTCCAACGGTTGCGTGGAGGGATCGATTTGACCCCTGGTTGGTCCAATAGGTCAAAGAACCCGCGAATAGCATCCGGATTTGCTCTATTTATCCTTTTCCGGTTAATTCCCTTTTCTTTGAGCGTTTTTATTCGTTGGTTGCGGTGTAAGAAGCCGGTCATCCAGTATTTTCCGAGTCGTTGGTTGCTGCCACTTTCGCCCAACAAGGAAATCGCCAACTTCCGGATTTGGCTATGAGTCAAAGCCATACCGAGCTTATCTTGTCAGACGAGCCAATCGCAGAGCTGGTCTTCCTGGGTCTTGGAAAGCAGCTGACGCCATTCGTGAGCTTCGCTGCGGCTTGTGACGCCGTTGATCCGGCTGCGTAGGGTTGAATAAGGAACAACGCGCTGATTGGCTGCTCTTCGTATTGCTGTGCCATTTTTAACATCCTGAATGGCTGCTTGGAGGTCTTTTTCTGTATATTTAGGCATGAAAATAAAGAAAATAAGGTTGAATTGACCAACTGAGTGTTGTGGAAGGAAGAAACGCGTGTGGCTTGAGGCGCGTTGTGGTTGACGCGTGTGTAAGTGGGGCGGTCAGCTAAGCCCCTGATCCGTAAATGGGTGGGCTGACTTAACAGCGTGGGAAGGGTTTCTATGGGACTTGCACCCTCGGGCGAAATGAATTCCATTCCATGCGCCGGTGGCGCTGCCAAATCATGCCAGGATGCCCTCAGGATGCCCTCCCCCCTGTATCCCTGCAGATCTGCGAGTCTCTCTCGACGATGATCACTTCCGGTTGTTGGCGAGGACCGGTGGGCATGGCTAGCGGTTGGCAAGAGGTTCACTTGGCCCGTGCTCGGCATTGGTTTTCCTTGTCATTTATCAACTTGGATGATGAAAAAAGTGGAACACTTGTGATGGCTCTCTGACATATAGATGAATGAGATGTAAGCATGGCAATTGTGCTTGGAATACCGACGGAACTTCCCTCCCCATGCTTACGCGGGGAGCATTCTTAGGCTGTGACGACAGGGGTATCATAAGCCACTCGACCAACTCATGATGGATTCAGTTCATCTTGCGGCAGGCCGGAGCCGTGATCTTGCCGTCTCGTCATATGCCCAATATACTTCCGTATGAACTCGTTGTTGCTATCCAGCTTGTCATGCTGTGGCACCTGGCGGAACATAGTAGAATTCTACGGCTGTCCCATGTTTTGGCGAAAAGAAGGCGGACTTGCTTGATGGCGTTTGTCTCCCAGGTGTGGCTGTTTTATGAAACGTGCACGGACAGGCTGCGAGTTTCGCTGATTGGTCATTCTCGCCACTTGGTGGTTTCGTCTCTTGGTTCGACGGCGCGCACCTGGGCCTCAACGACCTCCTCGGCCTCCTTGGCAGCAAGCGCACACAGCTCCGCCTTATAGATTCGACCCTTGCCAGCACGACAGAAGTCTCAACATCTCCCACCAAGCGAGGCCGCCGACTCAGAGTCTAGCCTGCTCAATACTTGCTACATACCCCGGAGCAACGATGATTGAGCTTACCTCTTCGCCTAAGAAACGTGATAGCACGAATGATAATTTCGCGAGGGCGACCCAACGCCTTGTGGCCGCTACAATGCTGATGTCTACATTGTAGTGCGCCGAAATCATCGGCACGATGATCACAACTCCACTGACGACCCCTCATTTCCGACTCCTGTTGTCGAGATTGTAAAGGATGCTCAGGGGGGTGGAGGGCTGAGCTACCCCTTTTTACTTTGCTTTTGGCTCGTGGTTGATAGCCCTCGGATAAAACACCGGCTGAACGAGAGTACAGGCCAGTCGCATCGGGCCGCTCTGGCTTTTACTGCACGCCGCCCGCTGAGACTCGCTACCTGCGAACGATCCCTCCTTTTCACGCCAGCTGCTTGCCTGCTGCTCCTCGTTCAGCCGTCCAGCTCTCACCACACTCGCCCAGCTGCTTTGTGTGCATGCCGCTGTGTTACCCTCAGCAGCAGCAGCAGCAGTAGCAGTAGCAATATTAATATTACACGGCCTTCGCCCGCGGGCATGCCAGTCTATCTAAGGTTCTAAATACAGGGGGAAACCGTGGGCGTGGCCCTGGATGAAAAATCCGTACTCCAACGCCTTCCTGCCGCTCGCGATACCTTGGTACGCCGAGCTTAGCCTCACCGCTAAGCGCCGATTGCCGTGTGTAGACCGTATGAGCCGCTATTTAGCTCTCTTTCCTCCTCCTCAATTTCCCATTTATCAACTAGCCGCACCGCCAGCCGGTACATATGCTGCGTAATCGAAACGATCATGACGCTTGGGGTGTCGACTTCACCGCAATGACCCTATCACACTTTGTTCTGGTCAACCAATCACGCTTTGGGACTGACAGAGACCCTCAGGACAGGGGCCTTCCACTTCAACAATATTGAAATGGTTGAGGTGGAGGTGGAATTGATCGCCAGCCTGTACCCCGCAGAAAGTGCCATTTGTGATGTCACTCCATCGCTTTGACTTTTCACGATGCAGCTGCTTTTTTGTCTCGCCCACCTCGAATGACACGGACCATTACTGACTCCTTGCCTGGTAGCTTTGGAAAATGATGAAACACACGATGTCAGGTGCCCAATCTGTTGGGATCGTCTCCTTCCTTTCTCGCCTACGACAACAACCCGGTAGTGTCCGCCCTCAGTCCAGCGCTAGAGCCCTTTTCCGGTTTATAACAACTCCCCAGGGATCATTTCATTTCGTTGTAGGTCGCTTCCGAGTTTACAACATACGTCGCTATGCCATTGCCTCTATACCATATCGCTACTTTCTCCATTGATTCCCTATCCAGATTTGCGACACAAAATCAGAATGCAGTCCCAAGCAAGTTCTTTCTCAGAGCTCCCCTCTTCGCCCGTGCCCAGATTCTTACCATGTTACATCCCTCCAAGCTTGTTTGGTTCGTTCCTTAATTAAATAACTTATGCTACCATTATTTATTCCATTAGCGTGAGAAGTTTGTCTACCAGCCGGATCTCGCCTTGAATATGGATGGACATGTCTGGCCACCGCTCCAGAGCCCGAGGACTGATTTCATGGTTACAGCCAGGCCTTCCTCGCTCGCCTCTGCGAGCGGGCTGAGCGCTACGATGACATGGTCACGCACGTGAATGAAATCGCGAAGTTCGGTGATGAGCTCAGTTCGGACGAACAGAACCTTCTCAGTACTGCCTTCAGGAACGTGGTCGGCACTCGCCGTGTCAGCTTGCGAATCATCTCCTCGATCGAGAAAATGGAGTCTTAGAGTGGTGAGAATCATGTTGCTACCATCCGCGAATATCGCCACAAGATCGCCAATGAGCTTAAGGAGGTCTGCCATGATATTTCGAAGGTGTTAGACGAGAAACTAATTAATCCCCACTGCTACTACGGGCCAGTCTAAGGTCCTCTATTATAAGATGTATATCTATTTACTGATATTCTTACCCCAGTCCCTCCGCCCACCTGAGCTAACCCATCATGTTATAGGAAGGGTGACTATAGTCGTTTTCTTGCCGAATCCGCGTGGGGTGAACAGCGCAATATTGCCATCAGTTCTGCCCAGGCGGCCTACAAGGTAGGCCCCCTATCCATTAATGTGGGTTGATCAGCTCCGTTAGAGATTCTTACGTATTACCTTCAGATCGCCACTGATATTGCTCAGATCGAGCTCGCCGCCACCCACCCTTTGCGCCTAGGCATGGCTCTGAACTTCTCTGACTTCTACTACGAAATCCAGAACTCGCCCAATCGTGCCTACCACCTTGCCAAGCTGGCCGTTCATGATGTCCTTGCCAAGCTCGACTCCCTGTCCGAAGAACCTTTTGACGACTGCATGTTCACCATGCAAACTCCTCTTTGGGAATCTGACTATTTGGGCGTCTTCGGAGATTGATAAGCCAGGACCTCACGGTGAGGCTCGGATGAGAAGGTGACCGAGGCGGCCTAGGTCGAGAGGGCACGTAAGAATACCTTTTCCGAATTATTCAAGATCCTCGGCGGTGGCAGCATCAAGTGCGGCAACTGCCGCTGGCGCAGGTCGGATAGCGGGGGCAGTGACAACCTCAGCCTCGGCGAGGGCGGCGTTGTTGACACCACCAAAGAGGTAGCTGTCACGGAGACCCTCGGTGGTAGACACATGCAGCACAGAGTCGCAGACTCGCAGATCGGCATACATGCTGCCGCCACAGTACAAAGCCAAAATGCCCTCGGAGAGCCCCCTTCTGGCGTTCATGACATCGCCATGGACGAGGCCAACGAGTTTGACACGATACAACACCAAATGCCGGGACCACTCCCCTCAGCTCTCGAGACGCTCCGCCCAACGAGCATGGTGCTGGGCATGTTTGTGGTGTGTGCGCTTGCATGCGCTTGCTCTCGACCCTTCGCTCGGCATGGTAGACCTTTTAGCCTATAAACTTGGGCAACGGCGAGGGAAAGCCGGACCCGTAGAGATAAAAGGGAAAATTGATTATTAGTGGACGGCGAGGGTGTGTGTGAGTGTGAGTGTGTGAGTTAGAGATGAGTGCGTTATCCGTCTGTATTATTAGACGTTAGGGTGCATTAGTTTAAACGGTGGCGAGAGGTTGCAAAAGCGAGGAGAGATCGAGACAGCAACCGACACACTAGACGAGACGAAGATAGAACAAAGGCCGTCTCTCACGGTTGTCAATCAGGTTCCTAGAAAACCCCACAGTTCACCCTACCCATCTGTAACACCGGCTCAGGCCAGGGGACGGCCCATCCCAGATGGGCGGACGATCAGAGGTCGATAAGCCACAGGGGACCCGGATTTACCATCCAACACACGCTAAGGCAAGGAAATTAATGGGTTCAAACATTCATGTGATGGGAAGGAATGCCGAGTTTGCACAGAGGAGTGTAGCCTGACAACGTCCAGTCCAAGGATTCTCTACCTTTGCAGATAGAACTGAACCGGCATCTATAGCCAGCGAAGGCTCCCATGTCGTCGGGGACTCTTTAAATGCGGCGGAGAAAGCAGCGAATAACAAACAAGCAGCGGATGGAATACACCTTGGGCAGTGTGAGGAGGAAAGTGGTTGCCCATTTTCCCTGGGTCGAGTGTGATTTAAATGGTTAAACTGAAGATGCTACAGCTTGCCGTAATCTAGAAATACAAATTCAAGTTTCGGGAAGATGCACCCACGCTTACGTTGCACCCAGGTATAAAAAAAAAACTTCCTTGAACCCGCTTAGCAAATCACACTTTCCTTCTTCCGCAAATCAAGCCGTTCTTTCCCAGCATCCTACCACATCATGGCTAGGCAATTCAATAACGTACCCGAGGACTCATGGCTCGGGCTCCTTAACTTCGACAATACGACAAATGCTGGAGCGATCAGCAGCTCCCTACCCACGATCTTGGAGTCCAACCAAGGGCAAGGACAGGCGCTGCGGGGCCAGGCAGGCGACGAGTGAGTTTAGAATTGCTTGTCCGTGACCATATATTGACAAGGCAAAGACAGGATACAATCACTCGCCTCATCAAGATTGAGACCATGCTCAAATGGATCTATGGCAACCAAATCAAGTTGCTCGAGAAATACATTACCATCGAACAGATAATGGAGACCATGAAAAAGAGCCTCGACGAACAGGGAGAGTGTATCAAGGGCTCCCTCGACCAGCTTCTTACGAATGGCGGGAGCATGGGGTGCGGGACTGGGGACATGTGAGTCAAACAGAGCATGCTATTGGCGACGAAGATGACACAGACCCAAGCGAGGATGAGGCAGACAGGTTCACGGGCGTGGCGCATCTAAGCAAGTATCTTTGTTGAGTGATCCGTGGGGGAGGACGGATGGGTTAGGCTGATAACATGTGTGCTGTATCGTGTTTCTGTGCTTGAAAGTATCACTGCTTCAGAGAAATCAGACATTGGTCTGCTCAGTTGCTCATTCTCGGGGTCCACCCCCGGCCGGGAACAAGGCCGACAATGGAGCCTATGGTGACCCGCCAAGGCGTCACCGCTGAAGGTCTAGACCTTGAAGGCGGCCGAAAACTTTGTGAGTGTTGCTGAGATGACGAGTCCGCTGACAACGAACGCCCGGTGTGTTCCGTCTGTTCCGTCAAGGGCGCGGCACCCCGGAGCCAAGCCTACTGAACGCCCCGGGCACCTGCAGGGCCGGTGCCTGAGGGTTTTTCGATGATCATAAGGGGGCGACCTCGATCCACTTGAAGCAATGGATGAAGCGGTCATTGATAACTGATGGTTGGGTCCCTGAGGGAGTTCACCCATTAGCTTAGCGGGGCTCTAGAGTTGGTTTGCGGGATTATCAGGATAAAACAAGACGCGACCTAGACGCTAAGTAGCAAACTCAGACTACTAAGGCCCCAGCAAGGGGTCCTGGAAAAAATTACCTTGCGATATAGCCATCGAAGGTTTAGCAGGGAGTCTCGGCGGGGGACACTCATGTCGACCCGTCGCTTGATATAGTAGACTTTTTAGCCTATAAACTCGGGCAGCGGGGAGGGACAGCCGGAGCCGTAGAGATAAAAGGGGATTGATTATTATTAGTCAATAGCAAGGGTGTGTGAGTATTGGAGTGTGTGAGCTGGAGATGAGTGGGTTATCCGTCTGTGTCATTAGAGGTTAGGGTGCGTTAGTTTAAACGGTGGGGTGAGGCCGCAAAACTGAGTATGGATCGAGACGGCAACCGAGACACTAGATCAAATAAGGCCGTCTGTCACGGTTGTCAATCAGGTCCCTAGAAACCCCACAGCTCACCCTGCCCATCGGTACCACCAGCTCAGGCCAGGGGACGATCATCCCAGATGGGCGGACGATCAGAGGTTGATGAGCCACAGTGGACCTGGCGAGTGGAAGTGGGTCCCTCTCCCGTGGGATGCGGATGAGAAGACACGCCAGCGACGTCAGTTAAGTTATCCAGATGGGGATGTGATGAGCGCCTTCGCGCTGGGATAAAGATAAAATGCCTGGACCTTGGCTGCGGCATGCGAGCCGTGAGATGTGATGGCATCATTGTTACGGATCAAGATTCGAGATGCGCAGCGGCCTTGGGGGCGGATGAGATGACCACGTCCTGGTCTGATCAACATAAGCATTTATGGGATACAGTATTCTGCCGGCCAACGCAACGCCTTTGCAGAAATCCATGCCCCAGTACATTGCATCCGGAAACGGAATACGGAAATGACTCCGCTCGAACCCTGGCTCCTGAGCGCTTGGGCCAGCTCTTGTCCGGAACTTGGATGTGCCGAGGACCCGAGCGTCATCCCTTGTGCCCTTGATGCCGATCCCCCGCGGCCTCACTCCTCCAGATGGTGAGACCGCCGCCTCCTGGGGGTCAGCGGGTCACCAACGGCAGACGTTCAGGGGAATGATTCAGTACCCGGCTCCTCGCAGGTCCTCCTTTGCCAAGAGTAACCTGGTGCAGGTCCTGTCGTACGCTCGATTCAGGTTGATCTGTGGTTGAGGTGGTACCAACTTACATAGATGGCTTCCCTCCCCGATGATCCGAAAGATACGAAAGGAGGAGGACGCATGTTCACGTGCAAGAAAGCCTACATCAGTACAGCTATACAGAAGTAGTTCAACGCCTCCTGCGAACATCCCTCCTTCGACCCCAGCTGCCTGCCAGCTGCCTGTCGGTCAGCTGTCCAGCTCTCACCACACTCGCCCAGCTACATTGTTTGCTTGCCGCTGTGTTATCCGCTCCTTATTTGCATCTGCCCAGAACGCGTCCACTTCGATCTCGCTCCTCCTTCATTCAACACGCCATGCTACCCCCTTTGGATTCTCGATCCCCGACGACATCAGCGCTCCTGGCCCGTGGTCGTACGACGCAACATCATCCGCGACGCAACTCCACCCGACCGCTAACCATCATCGTCGTGCCGTCGTAAGTCCGCTGACATAGTTTTCGAGGTCGTTTTTGGTTGCTCTAGGAACTTCTGCTGCGATGAGTTTGCCCAAGCCGCCGACGTCGCTGGACGGTTCGTGCTCCGTCATCTACAAGAACATCCTTTACTCTTTCACGCCCGAGGCCTTCTTGTCCCTGTCTTTGGAGGAAGGCGCAAAATGGAAGCAGCTGGAGATGGGAGAGAAGGTTTCGGGGGCCGTCTGTGTTGGGGCGACCCCCAGTGATGCCGCTCAGGCTGGCCTCTTCGTCGTCGGTGGAACCGGCGGCTCGGATGGCTACACTGGGCTGCAAAAGTATACCTACTCGACCGGCAAGTGGACTACCATCACCCCCTCCGAGTTGATTACTAAAGATCGCCTGTGGCATGGCTCGACGTACATCAAGGCCGACGATGCCATCCTCATCTACGCCGGCAGCCGAGACGGAGTCCCGGCCCCCTCGGGCGAAACCTTCACCATCCAGGCGTCCGAGCCCTACAGCGTCAACTCCCATGGCCCTAGCTCTAGCCCCGGTGTCAGGCCTATCCTTCTCAACTGGTCCGATGCCGATGCTTGCTTGGTCGGCGGCGACACTGGAAATATCGCTGTTGCCTTATTCAATCCGACTACAGGCTGGAGGGAAGCGGGAGCCACCTTGGCGGAACCTTTATCGAAGGACTTGAGTTGCGTTCAGGCGATTGTGATGCCAGGGGATGATGGCTCCAAGAGCCTCTACAGTTTCGATCTCTCACAATCCCCCAACCTGGTCCGCCGATTTGTTCTCCAGGACGCCTCCGGCGCGGCCCTTTCCAACTCGGCCGCCGTCACCAATGAGAAGCGCGATCTGTCCCTGGACGACTGGCCAGAGTACAACTCGACGTTTGCACCAACCGCTACGCGGCAGAAATTTGCCGTTGCCCAAGGCGCAGACGGCAAGGTTGTCTTCTCTGGTGGTAATTCCGAGGTGCCTCTTGCCATCTTCAATGCTACCGAGAACTCGTGGCTCGACGCTACCGAGGTGTTCGAGGTCGAGAAGCAAATGGTTCTGTCCGAGAGCACGTTGACCTCTTTGGCTTTGTCAACAACCGAGACATCTAGCTCGACCAAGTCGACCAAGTCAACTTCTACGAAGACGAGGTTGTCGACCTCAGAGAACTCGGAGATCTCGTCGACCTTTGCGACCTCGACTGCCTTATCAACACGCAGCTCAACCGCTTCTCTGACAATATCCGAGGCCAGCGCCTCGGCCACGACGGATGCTGCAGGCGCGGCCGCTGGCAGCAGTGACGATGATTCCGGTCTCAGCTCCCACGTCATCCTGGGTATCACACTTGGATCGATCCTCGGATTCTTGGCCTTTCTTGGTCTGCTGCTGCTGCTCTTGGCGCGGCGACGCAAGGCTAGCAGAAACGGTATGGAGGCTAGCAGCGCCAGGGACTTTCCCCCCGATGAGATGGACTCGGTAGCCTTTGGCAACGGTCCACGCCAGCCGCTCTCGCCCGGTCAAATCCGCGGCCATAACGCCACGCTGTCTCAAGAATCCTACTCATCCATGGCTATTTTGGTAGGTCGCGCCGGGAAGCAGAAGACCAACCTGACGCGGAAGCCTAGCAGTGATACGGCTCGAAACTCCGGCAGCTCTTTGCACAAGCAGCTGAAGGCCACCATCAGCAAGCCGATTCTGCAGGAGATGCCGTACCCTGCTCTGCAGGGATACGACACCAGCGGTATTGCTCTCGACCGGACGGTCCCAGAGCCCCGACCCCGTGCGGGACTCATTGAAGCCCAGAGCGGTATGCGGAGGAGCTCTGGCTGGAACCGATACTGGTCCGGCAGCAGCGCATTGCAGATCCTCGGCTTCGGTGGTTCCAAGAGGACAACCGTTGGCTCTGAGCAGAGCTCCCGCTACTCCGAGTCCACGCACCATCGTAACACGAGGGCCACGCAGGACTCGTCAACTATTCCATCGCTGATCTTTGACTTCCGCCCCGAGATAAATCGGGTCAATTCCGGCAGCCTTGTTGTGGCCGAGTGCAATAAGATCCCCTTTGAGGATGGAGTAGCCGGCAAGATCGAACGCCCCCCCTCGAGGACGTCGTCGTCGGGCTGCTCTAGTGGCATCCCGGAGAGCGTCAATGAAGCCTGGGACCCTACCTTCAGCTCGAAGCCCTGGGGTGCTGACCGTGCGCCTAGTAGCTCCTATAACCCCAGCTCCTACTTCGGAACGCCGCTCTCCCCAAGCGTCGCGGGCCGGCGGAGCCCCCCTACAGGTGTGAGCAGCCAGCCTCAGCTTGCAATGGCCTCGACATCGTCAGATATGAGCTGGCTGAATCTTAGTGACCGGTCGCGAGTGTGAAGCAGCCGCAGCCTCGACGAATAGTTACGATGCCCAAGTCAGAACTGGCTCTTGTGGGTTATACTTTCCCCAGAATTAGAGTTACAGTCCCCGAGCCTATCAGAATTTCCCAGTGCGTTATCGTAGCGGCTCCATCGCATGCCGAGTGCACGGACCTTCTCTTGTCAGTGTTGGATTGTGACCCTGTATTACGAAACCTCTGATAGATCGATATCCTGACCTTAGTCAGAGGGGGTGTGAGATGACATAAAACCCCTCTTGAGAAAAGAGGGGGCTGGAGGCATCGAAGATCAATACAATCATCAGATTCTGGATCGATATCCTATTGAACATTATCCCTCAGATTGAATGTGCCGTACGCTATCCAACATCAGGCTAAACCGTCGACTCCCCGTTAGGGGAACTAAGGACCGACAGCCCTCGTCATCGATTGCAAGATTTAGCATGTGAAAGAGAGAAAGTCCGTAGAGGCAGCCGATATACTTCCTAACCCGCATGATGCCTGTCAAACCCCCCCTAAAATGTACATTCGCGTGGTATTATGTCGCTTTTAGCTAGCGATGCGATCATTACATATCTGGTGGCACGAAGTTGACTGAACTGACTTACCCTTGCTGCCTGTCTCCTATCGGGAGCGCAAGCTTGGACCAAGTCCTCATTATTTGCTATGTCCTGCGGGCACTACGAGGCCGGCCGGAACGGGAATATCAGTAGATTCAAATGCAGAATGACGGCAACACCCACGTCGATACGGTAGTAAGGTGACCGGCTCACAATCCTGAAGGACCAATTGGAAGTCAGGAAATGCTTCTTTACGGCAAGTGCCGCGGCGTGGAAAACGGCCATAAATTCCCTGGTCGACGGCGGTAACGTCAATGAGCAAGCGTCTGCCAATGCGATTTCACGTTCAGTAAGCATGATTGAATCATGAAATCGTCAATTAATTGCGCCTCGTAACTTTCCAGCCCTTTGCTCGGTTCTCTTGTCTGGGCAGTGTTATGCGGTGCTAAGTGCGCAATGTATTAACGCGTGTTATTGGAAGCGGCCTGCCGCCACGAAAAGTCCTATGCAGTCACAAATTCGTCATTGCGAAGCCGCAGGGAGGACTGTGCGAAGTGACCAAGAAATCACGGGTCATGGTGCCAGCCAAAACGAAAAGGAGCCGTGTGATCGAGGCGCCTCGTGGCTGCAAAAAAATGAGGACCAATGTGTGATAAGATCTAATGAGGGCGTATACCAAGGTGATCGCAAACTACCGCCTGTCGATAACCACCACCGCCACTACTTAACATTTTCTTTTATGATTGTAACTTTATATACGGGTCAAGTTTGGGTGGTTTTCTGTTAGTGCTTTGATTTGCGGGTGTATCTGCAGCACGCAGCTTACAGATTGGAGTTACCAGACTCACGACGGCTGCTAATCGAGGCCGATGTATACTATTGCAAGTGGGCAGTATTCACCTTTAAGGCACTATCGCGAATCAGTCTATCAATAGCTGTGGTTTGGTAATCTCCAGTGAATGATAAGATTGAAGAAGCAGTGAGTCGTGAATGTAGTAGCAGTGCTCATGACGGTTCTGACCCTTCTGTTCGCAAAGTTGGAGGTTTAACATCCCTCTCATAGGGTTCTGCCCCATTAATGCGCCGACTACTGGCAGTAGATAAGGAATCGGGGGATTTAGACGTGGAATCTGATGAACCAAGCTGCGGATTGGATGAGGAAGACGCGGATTCGAGGGCGATGCATCTCGCCATCCGGGAGTGAGGATGCCATCTGAATACGGCGTGTTGTCGATTTCCTCCTGGCTGAAGCTCGCTCCAATGAATTCAAAGTGCAGGACCGCTTGCATGCTTGCAGCCGCACGTACCCATCATCCTGCAGTAGGGTGTGTGTGCTTGCATAAGGCAAGCGAGGGGCTGTCTTGTCGTATCTAGCGCCCGTGGCCCAGAGCGGGGTATAAAGTGCCTCTATTTTGTCTCTCCCTAGAGTAAGAACGATCTCATGCAAACGATCACTCAACAAAGCATCCTAACAGGTAGGAAGAAATTGCAGTATATAACCGCTTGACTGACAATTAATCAGAAGAAATGTACAAAAACACTCCAACCGACCACACTTCACGCACAAAAAAGAAGTGGAATGATGACAAAGAGTGCTCGTCTTGCCCACCGGAACAGATTTCGAGCCTGATTCGTATTCCTCGGATAGCTGGATTGAAAAATATAGCTACGCAGCTATATAAAGGGGGCCAACAGATGAGCATACCGAACAGCGGAGATGACAAAGGCGAGTGGTTGTACATGAAGCTGTATGTTAAAGGAGAAGAGTACCTTCCCACGGACTAAGTGACAACTAGAATGGGTTGCGCTTCCCTGTTATCAGAATTAAGTTTAGGAATTTGATAAGACGGTGACTATTTGGAATCTCTTCCTCCACAAATATATTCTCAGATATATCGGCACATAACCGCGTCGGGCGGTATCAGTCTGGACGGCGGTAGCGACGAGGCAGTTGTTGTCCTGGTGATGGTGGTAGTCCATGCAGTAACAATTTCAGCTTGGTATATACATTATATACCTTCAGCAATAGAAGTGCTATATGAGTAAAGTCCTGGTTGGAGGTCATGACGGCCATGTGACCCTTGATTTCGTCATCTTTTTCGAAAGGCAAGGTACCAAAGGCTTCTAGGGCGGTCCCCCGGAAGATATTTACGTCATCCGTATTCTCCGCTGTTATACGTCCTGCTAACTGATCTAACTGGTCCATTGCTAAAGAGTTGTCTCTAGCTTCGGGACCAAAGCCAGACTTCGACGGCCTGTGTGTTCACGTATATGCCCGCCATCTTCACCTGCTCGTTGCGCTCGGGGATGTTGGTCTGATCTATGCTGATGGCGTCGATCTAGAGCATGATGGACTTGTTATGCTCTTTGCGTTGTGTCAAGTAGGCATGTAGGTTGGTTGTTACCTCGAAAGGCCATCCATCTAGCTCGATCGTTTCTTTGCAAGCAGATTCTCCCCAGTAGTAGGAAAGAGCTCTATAGGGAATCTTATTGGCACATTATGACTTGTCGTAGTGCGGGTCGAGAGTTTCTGCATCTAGTCTAGAGACGAAATGGATTTTACACTGGACTATCTCATCAAGCTCTCCGCTCACAGGTGGGAGAAGCTCAACAAGACGTAGGTGCCACGAATTCCGTAGGGGACTGTATTGGAAGAGCTTTATGAGACCCATTAAGAAGACTTACAAGCTCTTAGCTCCTGTTGATTACCGAATATTTGAATGGAAGGGTGATATACTGAATAGTTATCCTGGCAGTCCTCGAATGGGTTGAAGCCCCTCTTCCCTTAGCTAGCTGCCGCTATTAGCGCCGTTACTCAGCCTCAGCCGGACGCAGCTGCGCATTTCTTGTTCATAAATCAGGCATTAAGCAGCTTGTTCCTCAAGCAGACCTCGTTGGTGAAATTTCATAAGCTGGGATTTTTCGATATCCTCGAGTAGACTACTTCAGCGAAATTTCTCATAATCGTAGATGGTTATCCAAGTCTTCCATATCATAAAGAAGAGCTCGACAACCTAACCTATCGAATCCGGCAATCCGTTCCTGTTGTATATCCGCTGCCTTTGGTGAGTTATCTACGACCACATCGACGTCCATAACTAACCTTCCCTTTACAGGCCCCATACGACATAATTAATGGGTTGGTCGGTTAATGGGGTAGCGGACTTACCCTTTTGTCTATTTCTCGCAGATCCGTCAATACCAGTCAACATCATTAAAGCCATCCCATTACCGCCTAACAAGACATTCACAGCAAACGAGGTAGTTCTCTGGGACCAGATCTATTTCACCACGTAGTACAAGCCGCGCTCTGACATTGGATAATGATGAGTCAGCCAATTCTCAACATCCCCTTCGCCTACCGCGCGCTCTTCTTCTACTTTGAACCTTTTGGAGTCCTCGTCGGCGCCCTGTTGCTCCACTTTCGCCCCTTGAGCTTCCTCAACGCCATGGCTCTGGCTGCCAAATACGCGCCGGATAACCAGATCATCTACGACCAGCTTGCTGCGACATATACCCTATTTGCGTTCAATAAAGCTAAATGACCTGCAGGTGTGGAGAGGGGTCCTGGTCGGTATCTTGTTGTGTGATGCTATACATTTATTTGGGAGTTGGGCAGCTCTGGGCGGGACAGTGTTCTGGGATCCTCGTACCTGGAGGCCCGAAGATTGGGTGAACCTTGTGAGTCTTTGGGGACAGGCAGCCCAAGACCAACACGAGCGTCACCGTCGGCGTTGCCGCTAGTCTATTCTTCTCTGGCAGTGCATTGGGCATCGTCTTGCACCGACGAGACTCTACTACTTCTCTCATATCGGCTAATGGGATTGGAGTACATTCCTCACCTCTTGTCCCTCGGGCGGCAAGGCTAGTTTTGGCTCACCTATGCTGCCGCGTCAGTGGGCGAGTTGGGTTTGGCCGTTAACGTATCGCTGCGGTCCTACATGAATAATTTAAACTCTAGAGACGATGGAGTGCCATTAAATGAGTGTATCTATTAAATTATTCGCATCACTCTTCGAAACAGAATCCGCTGTCTTATCCACTCGGCTATTATCCACACCCATCTACACATGGCTTCTCCTTCGAAGCGGGGCAGATGCGCAGCAGCATTTGCGTTGGCAAACATCCTCCTCGCACTCAAACTCCAGTGCATGGTACATGAACCAGTTACCAATTGGGCTGATCCTCGGTCCCTGGTTGAAACAGGTATCATCACTGCCACCACTGGTGATGGAGATTCCAGCTGCAACATAGACCGTCTCGCCGCACAAAGAGGTTGCCGATGGGTTTTCGAATGTCTCAAGAATAGCGCTGACCGGGACCCAACACTCACTGGGACTCTCAGTGCAATAACTGTTGAAAGCCCAGTTTCCAAGCCCAGTGTTGACGGTGATGGGGTCGTCATCGACCTGCAGGTGAATGTCCGTGACGGTAACACTACGGATCGGGCTGAGGACGATGTGGAGGTATTTTTCGGTCGTGGGGCAGTCCTCGATGGAGTAGGTAACTCCATTTTGAACGCCTTGCGGATCATTCTCGCTGAAATCTTGGCCGCATTGGAGGTTGGTTTGCCTCGTAGAGTATGACATTTTTAAAGGTCCAGGCCCTCTTTCGACGCAGCAGGGAGGCGCACCATTCGGGCATGTGTCGTACGTCCGGGGGAAGAATCGCTCCGGCAAGTTGTTTGCAGGTCGGCATCTGCTGATGGGCGGGCATTGGCAGGTCGCAGATTCGTCGACGGAGCAGGTGTCGATGGACTCGGAAACAAGGCCGTGGCACTGGCCTGCGAGGAGGAGGCAGGCCAGGCCAGACAAGGCGTTGAATCTCATCTTGGAGGTGGCGTATCTGGGGGATACAGTCCGGAGAGGGAGGGTGGTTTCTCAAACGAAAGCAAGGAGGCGAGCATCAGCTGGCGGTTCTAGGTTGGATAGAATCCGGAGTGGAGTGAATCTGGTGTGGAGAGGAGTCTTGGATGTGAGACTGGTCGAGGCATTGGCCCGTTTATATGCTCTTTGGACGAAGAGAGACCTCCGCCTCTGTCTATCCTGGATCCCTCGTCTCTATCAAAGCCACGTCAATCTCCCAGTCTCCCGGAGTTTTGCCTTGATGCTCACCTCCTGCTGGGCTCTCTCCCGCAGAACCCGGCGGAGGATCTTGTCAGACTAGTGCCTTGTTAGCTCGTCGGATCGTCGGAGGGAGTCATAATATGACACATTATTGTCCACTGACCTGAATACGGGGGATGCTGTCAACAAACACGACCCCACCCCTTAACCATTTTTACTCGGCCGCTCGAGTCTCCATCCACTTAATTGTTTCCTGCTCCGTCACGTCCGAGTTCTTGACAGCGTACGTCCGAGGTACCTCTTCCCCATTAGGTGACAAGGGAGGTATGCTTAGACTGACCAATAACAGCGCCGTCAACTCTCGTGTGGTGGCCGCATCCTTAAATGCTGCTGAGTCACATATTTGCGGATCTCGGCTGGAGGGTCTAGCGCGGCTGTGGGAAAGGAGGATAGAGGTGTCATCAGGACGTCAAGAAGCCTTATTACCCCGCACCGTCAACTCTTCTCGATACCACCAGCACACAATATCGACGTATGTTCTCTAGAATTCCGCCCGGGTGGTTTACCCGAGCGAGGGGAACTACGGGACTGCAGCGCCTCAGAGTGGGACTTGATAGTTGATACACAGGAGAAACAATAATAAGAATGACGGTTACTGCCTTCCTGCATTTATTCTTAAGCCTGATGTATTTTTGGCCTTGATAATTGTTGGATCCGATACGGTCAATTCGATCGGGGCAATAGCGTTCAATACGATGTTGAGACCAAAGATGATTTGTGTTGATCTTAGGATGCCTGCAGCACCCTCTTTTCTGTGAGGGGTTTTCCTGTCAATCTCACTCCTATGACTAAGATCAGGATATTGATATGTCAGAGAGGATTGTGCCTATCCGGCCCTTATTCCGTCACCCGAGGGCCAATCCAACACTTACTTATAGCTGCATCGGAGATGTGTCACGATGTGTATTTGGGTAGCTGGGCGTGTATATGGCGTGTGACTGCTATAGCTATATCCTTCTAGCTGGTTTCAGTATAAGGATGTACAGGGACTCAGAGCGGGGATCATATGCAACTCAGAATATACACACATCCAATGAGACGCCTCACAGAATCAGGGCTCATGACAAGATGCGACCAAGTAGGACTGGTATGTGAGGGAATGGAAGGTTGGCGATACGTTGACCTGGCACGATCATTAAACTTTGTGCTAGACAAGGCTATAGGTAAAATATGAGGATGCACCCCGCGCTCTTTTGACCCACAGGTCAGATGTTCCCCTACCAAGGGTTCATATCTCGCATCAGGTAAGCCCCTCTTCACCTTAAAACTTCTCTTCGTTCACGCCTTCGATCTCCTCCAATGTCACATTAACATTTCCTCAGAGCTTGTTCTCAATACCTCGGCCATACCAGTCAGGAGATGGATACAGCAGAACTTGATCCAATCCACACCGCAAAGGCTGAACGCACTCGTGCCTGAATCAAACCCAAAGGCACGGGAGTAAAAGGACTTCATTTTTGCGATTGAGTTCCTAGGAAAACATCGTTCATCGATATGGAAAAGCTGTCATGCAAGCTCGAAAATCTCCCCCGAGAGGTGCAAGATCAAATTGTTGCCGAGCTAGAGAACACTGGACGTTAACGTTATGTCTAATAGTAGTCAATGTGGTTTCGTGCGGCTATCGGATTGAGGTAATCAAGCTGTCTTGAAAAGCTGGGGCGTAGACTATCCTAGTGGTGCACACTGGGTTCTTATATACGGGTGTCCTTACGAGGGATCGCGGTGATCCTGTCCCGAGCGTGATCCATTCATGATAGGTAAGCGTTCGTGGGTGTCATAGTGTGAAATATATCAACTACGATAAAGCTCCTGTGTTGGATAGCGTACGGTCAATTCGATCTAGGCCTTAGTGTTCAATAGAGTGTGGAGCCCAAATCTGTTGATTCAATTGATCTAGGATGCCTCCGGACCCCTCTTTTCTCGAGAGGGGGTTTATGTCATCTCACACCCTCTGTTGGATTGTGACCCTGTATTACGAAACCTCTGATAGATCGATATCCTGACCTTAGTCAGAAAGGGGGGGTGAGATGAATAAAACCCCTCTCGAGAAAAGAGGGGGCCGGAGGCATCCTAAACAAGACAATGAACAGATTCAGGATCCACACCCTATTGAGCATTAATCCCTGGATCGAATATGCCGTACGCTATCCAACACCATCTCTAAGGTCAGGATATCGATCTATCAGAGGTTTCGTAATACAGGGTTGTTGGATTGAGACCTCGTGTGGTGGCATAACATGCCGGATCCGGACGGCCTGATCCGGAACGCCGGATCTGGTAATAAGCCGGATGCGGCATCATAGCAACGCCGGATCCGTCTCCCTTTGACACCCTGATCTAGATCCCTTCGAGTATAACATAGGGCCCCTACGACCCTCAATCAATGCAAGGAACAACCTTCTCAATGCACATCATTTGATCAATTACTTCTGCTATTGCATACAGCAAATTGCGTATCCAACAAGGGTCACAATCCAACACTCTGCATAAAGGAGTGCTCCACTTTTGCTACGCAAATCGACAGTAAGAAAGTTGTGGGTCCATAATTCTGCCCGTCGTGACCGCCATGTGGCGGAAGAGGCTGTGACACAGTCCTTCACCCGAAACCTCGGGGCTAGATCTCTCAATCACGGACGTGATGTATCCACTAGTGCCCTATTGGTTGTAAGCCACCGGGCGTAATAAATTGTGTGTGTGTGTGTGTGTATCCACCCGAATTCAACATCACGAACAATCGGGGCCACTTTACACAATTTGGCACTGAGCTAGCTCGCGTGTTTGAGGAGGAGGGTATATCCCATCAAGTTCGCTGGCTTAATCCCGGTATACAATATTAGTAATCGCCCTTCTGAAGAATGCCCTTTTCCCTGTCCATTTACGTGCTGACATCTTTGGGGTTTAACCATGAAATATTCCAATTCCACTACCAAAGAGTGGCCAATTCAATTAGGGAATAGTCCACAGATTAATCATCGGACTTGGCGATAAACTGGATGTGATGCCTGAGGCAGAAATCTCTCCAGCATGAGCCTTTTAGCCGAGGCGTTGCAACTGCGAAACCTGAGTGGAGAATAATCTATCCTTAATACACGCCTACATTTGAGCCCCTCGATGACCTCACAACGTATCAGCAATGCTGCGCAAACATGAAGCGCTCACTGTGGTGACGCCTATTCCCAGCTTCATCCCACGCCAGTTCGCCATCAATGTTCTCCACTCGCACAGTGAAGTCATTACCATCAATCCGCTCGTCGTCGAGCACCGGCCCATCAAGGCGCCATCCGATACCCCCGTCGATGAATGCGACAGCAGCTGGTACGAAATTGTTGAGCGCATCCAACTCATCCCAGGCAAAGGCAAGCCCGGCTCTGGCATAATTACCTTCAATGGCGTCTTCCGCGACGTCGCCTTCAAGGGATGCTTCCATAACATGCCCTGGGGCTTGCAAACGCACATCAAAGCCCCGATGAGCGTGGACTTGCGCATAAAATATTCCATCGACGGCAATCAATCGGGCATTGAGCCTCCGCAACGTCTCGAGCTTGGCCTTGAGTCTCTGGGTGCGCCCACAGATGGCTTATACCTACGCCAAGACATTGAGATTACATGCAATATTGCCATGCTCAACTTTGTCAAGACGCCGCTGAAGGCAGAGGGCACAGCCCTGGTGCAACGGATCATCAGAAAGGCTGAGCAGAGTGATGCCGCTGTTCTGCGCACTATGATGGAGAACAGCAAGTTACAGGTGCCCGGCTTGAAAGGCGGATCTAGCTTGCCGGCAGAACTCCCACATGATGGAATCTCACAGCTTCCTCCGATCGAGCTGGCAGCAGAATCTACTCCGACTTTATACTGTGGCGGAGCTTCTCAGCCGTACCTTTCACCCAGCCACAGTCAGCAAATCAATAAACCAGCTCCAGGTCAATTCACTTTACCGCCTCCCTTGTCGAAGGAACAACTTGCTTCCCACGAGTTACCAGGCGACTTGCATCATCGGCTGAACCCGTCTTAACTGCCAGAAGCGCATGCTTTTCGGTCAATGCCAGGTTCCCAGTTGTACGACTTGCCACCCGAAGTCTTCCTTGGGGCATGATAATGCTAGACTTCTAAATGACGAAACTCATGCGCGCCAACATCCATTTTCGCTTCCAAGGCTGAACTTGAATGAGCTTTCTACGCAGGCCTACTTTTGGAGATTGCATATTTCTTGATGGGAACGGGGGCGTTGGTCCTGATTCCTGAATCAACACCTCGTTACATAGACCACAACAGGGCACTTTGGTCGGCACTTGCGTCGCCTCACAGCGAAAGAATTCTCCCAAGTTATCACAGCGAAATTCTCCCAAGTTATAGCAGGCAATTTGATACCAATTACACATTCCCGAATGTGAGTTTAATCACTATCATGTTGGCCATGTCGTTTCCCATACTGCTCTGAGTTCCAGGCTGGCCAAGGGGGCAGCTCCATTACTCAAACTAAGTTAGGGTGTGGTCTATGAATGAAGCATTGTCTCCTTCTCCTTCTCGAAATTCAGGCCAAGCGTCAACGCTCATGCTGGCGGAAACCCTCTCCTCTTCTCCCATTCCTCTTGAAGCAGACAGGATAGCAAGCAAGACGGATAACGTGATCAACTTCGTTACGGATGCCGCAGCTAAGAAAGACAGTCATAGCGAATAGCCCAGAAAGACTTCTTGGGCAGGTGGTAAATGCAGGGTGTACGTATGCGGCTCGGTCTCAACAGGCCAAGGAGGAGTGTCCTGCTCGAGGCCTCTTAATAGCAAGGTCCCTTGGAAAATAAGCACGTGGATCGTGTTAACTGAAGAGTACTTAAGGAAGCAAGACCGCTCGTCTTTCTAGAGCTGTAACTTCCTCCTTTCATCCCACAGTCCCCTTTCATCCCAGTCACTCGACTGCCCTCGCCTCGATTACCCTCACTTCTGATGTCCACTTCTTGACTTGAAGGTCATATCTTTACTTCAGCAATTATAGACTTTACTTATCCTTCAGATGCAGTGGTACGTTAGCGATCGACTCTATTGGTGGGTTAGACTGATCTCTGGTAGCGGGTGCTAGTTCTTGAACTTGGGCTAGATTATTATGTAGAAATAGTACTACCGAGAGAGCAAACGCTCTACCACAACAGATTGAGGCAATTTATAGAGTCGAGCTATGGGTTCTTGGTATGATATCTGGCCGCAACGAGCAAGCAGCAGCTGACTCAACACCTAGTAAAGCCGGATTGTTAAACTCACGCCAAAATTTCGCGTGGTTCTACCTGAGAGAAGAGATCACGGGGACTTAATCACGATTCAGGCGCTTCTGAGAGACACAGTAGCGAACAATACCCGAGAATCATGGCAGGTAGCCATTCAAGGCCCACCTTACCTCATGTCCGATATCTGCCGCCGCCTTCGCAACGGAGATGAGTCCGCGAAAACCGCCATCATCTGTCATGCCACAGGCGAGAAGATGGACTCTTAGTCCCGCTGCGATCAGTGCGAGGACCGTGATCCTCTTCTTGGTGGATGCAGGGTCGTCGAGGGCAGCTTCCGCAGTGCCTGCTCCAACTGCATCTATCGAGGCCGCCAGAAGTCGTGTACTGTACGATATATTGACGAAGAGTATCGGCCCTCGAGTGAAAACAGTGTAACGATCAAGAAGAGGAAATCTCGTACTACAGGACGGCAAGTGGGAGAGGAGCAAGCGCAGAAGAGACCGAGGACTAAGGGATGAGCGTATGAGCTAGGGGTGACAAGGTAGATGTAACTATTATACTTGGTAGAATACATGAATGAAGCCATCAATATCTATAAACTTCCGGCCACAGCGATTGAATAATAAAGCTATCTCAGAGGTACCTGACTTGGTGATATGAGAAACAGGGCAGTGACTTGTCATCAATTCATCTGCTGATATGACAACTGCGATTAATCTAGGCTTACAAGGTCATATGCCTCATGTATGAAATGCGCACAATTCATACACCCTGCCGTCAGTCGTTCCCGCTCATTAAAGACCCAAATAATTTAATCCTAGCTACTTCATGAAGGACCGTGACGAACCTTAGTAGTTAATACATTTTAGCCTATGAGGCTTCGAGAGCAAGGCCATGATAGTAGGCTGCTAATGAAATAATCACGACGACAACATTGCAACGTTATACCTACGGCCGCCGACTCTTGTTTGCCTTCAAGCCACGAATCCAATTCATTGCACTATTTAAGACTCGAGACACAGAGGTCGATGAGCGCTAGTGACTAGTGATGTCATTTAAATCGGCACGGCCCTTCCTATGACACCGTTACCACTAGGAGAGATACTGTTGGCTCGCTAACATATTCAATTTGATTCATCACTAAGACACTATTCCTAATACCCTACTGGAGCTTCTTTACAATTGCAACATGAATATTAACCCGGCCCCTGCAGCAGCTATGATGGACACAGCTATCTTCCCAGCGCCACCGGTAGCGGAGTCGGTGGACGACGACGCACCACTCGTGGAAGTAGATTCAGAAGCCCCAGTCGTGGCTGGCTTTGTAGCCTCGGCCTGAATGCCTGAGACTAAGGCCGTGGCCGAGGCCACGTACGAAGTCGATGTGAAAGAGCATTGCGACATGATCTTATCGACTTCTATTACTTGACTGTTAACTATCTACATGTAGCCATACTCGAACGTGCTATTTTAGGAGTCCATACCTTCTGTCGACTGGCTATTTTGGGACATGCAGCTCGCGCAGAGCGCCATCACAGCAGCAACGTCGAAGCTGGTATTCGTGCAAATACAGTTTGCCTCGATAGCCTCTTCATCAGACTCGTCGCTTTCGCGGAGGTGCAATTTCCTTCTTTTGTCATTATCGTTGTCGGTCTCGTTGGGGTCGATATCGCATGTATTGGTAAGATCGACAATGGGCTGGCAGATAGTTGTGCATGCTGATGGTATGTCGTCTGCACGGAGCTCTTCTGCCAAGGCAGCAGGAATGACTGCAGCCAGGCCAGCGAGAAAAAATGTAGGATGCATGGTGGAGTGTTGATAAGACTCGGACTGTTGATTGATCTGAGTTGATTGTGATATCGAGGGTACCAACTCGAGAGAAACTAATTCCTTTTATACTCAACCCAACATATTTGAAAGTTAACAACTCTTGAAACATGCCACCGTTCGAAAATCCCAACTAGCCAATAGTATCCAGCCTAAATTATATTGCTAGTTGATAAGGGCCCTGGTCTTGTTGGTAATGTTTGAGCTATTACAAGGCTTGAAACGATATAACATCTAAAAATACCCAAAGTCAACTGTAGTCGCACAGAGGATAGATAGTAGGAGCTACCGATTGTCGTCGAAGCATAAGCCAGCCACTACACCATTCTGTTCCTCATCCCCTGACGTTTGAGATAGTATATCATGAGCCTCCTCGCTGAAAGAGTGCTAGAGCGTCGGAACCCCTGATCCGTTTTTCTTTTTCTTTTTTAGCTGCGCTAGCACAAGCCTTTCACTACGTTGACTAATTCTAAAACATATCGCTTGAGTTAGTCAAGTGCCGAAACGATGGCGCTCAGACTACCCAACAGCTTAGTCAAGCTAATAAAGGGTAGTACTCGTTGCACCGTCGTTTGACCCCGCGAAACATCCAGGACATCAGACAACTAATCCTAACCGAGGTAGTATTGCCGCCAACAGAGCGGCTAATCGCTCAGGATATCTCGAACATAGTGCTCTACTATATAGTCGCCGTAGAGGAAAGGTTGGAACTTCTTAGTAAGGCAACAATCGAAGAACTATAATCTCAGAACTGGTTAGGAGGCAATAAAAACAGCCAATAGTCCTGGTAGAAGCTTCAGGCGACTGCAACATGAGGCTATCGCAGCATTAACTAGCCTTATCCATGCTAGAGTGAACTTCAAAGCCGTAAGGACATTCCGCTGTGCCAGCTCTTAACGCCTCAAGCACCTCTGCTAGATTCGGCTAACCACTTTTAGTGGTTGTACTCTAATTTTTCTGCCTCTGAAGTTGCACTGCGGCCGAGGGTGTTATAGTAGACGAACTCGCAAGGCTTGAGTCACTGGAAGCACCTCCCGGATATAAGTCTTTCGACGCTGGGGTAATAAGTTGCTAGAAGAGGCAGGAACTACGGTATGCTTAGCTAAGGATAATCTAGATCGATACAAGGCCGTTCTATGAATGTGCTTGGATCCTGCTAGAATGACACAGCGCTACGCGGCCCACGCCGCGCCGCGATATCCTCGCTTCTTCACTGCTGTTAAGTAATAATAAGCTTGAGAATCCATTCCGTCCGGGTTGTTCTCGTTCTCAACTCGCTCCTACCGGTAGCATGTTCTTTTTCTTCGTAGTATCTCCCTGGACTTGTAATACCCCTCTTGTGCCGCTTAGTTATCTGTCTAGATCTATCGGGCCCGCGGCCACAGAACCAGCCCCTGGGTCTCTTATGCAGTAGTCGAAATTTCCATCCGCATTGTTGCTTCAGTACTTGGGAAACTTGATTTCTGGACTAACGCCACCCAAAACGGTATACGTAAGGAGAAATATAAGAATCTGCGTGCCACCATCGAGCGCGGCCGCTAAGATATAGTTATACTTTATAAACCAGTCTGGCTTCCATCGACGGAGCCAGAATTGGCTCGTAAAGCCAATAGCAAAGTACGAAAGTATGAAGGACGAGATCCCAATGCTAAGAATTCCCGCGTAGGCGAGGATAATGGGCGTGTTAATCTTGGAGAAGCCGATTCTCGGATATGCCCGATAAAGTATATGGAAGATAAGCGGCGGGAGGAAGCCGAGGAGCAGACTGATAGGTATGAGTCTATAGCAAGAGCCTGGGGAGAATATTTCTTTAGCTAGAGCTTTCTATGCAATTGCCTAAGCGATTAGTTTTAGTCCATAATAAGCAGCAGGGGTGAGTGACGTACTTGGGAATTAAACTGCTGAATATTTTAACCGGACCAGATATTAATACTCTAGATAGACAAGAGAATATCTCTCTGGTTAGTGGTAATTTCGACTATCATAATATAATTAATAATAGCACCAACTAGAGTACCAACAACCTGGGCGTAGAACGTCGCTTTTGGCAGGAGCTTTGTATACTGCCCAAACTTCAAGTCCTGCACCATACTGATGCCCTGAATGACTGAGTTGTACCCAAAGAGGGTAAAGTATATATTTGCAAGCGGCTGGCCGGGATAGAGGTAACCCCCAATCATCTGCACGATTGGCTGCACGTTCCCCTGGTATCCCGTAAGTGCGACCTGCGCGCTGAAAAAGAGGATAAAAATTCCAGCCACACCGAGGCTGGTAAAGAACCCGTACCAGGGAAGAGTTAACTTTACTGCATATATAGCAATAACACCTATAATAACGGATAGAATGAGAATACAGGCATACCACTAGCTAGGGCATTCAGGATATACCAGCATTAGTTGGTAATAGGGATCTTTTTCCTCATCGATATCTCGGCTGCTGTTATCTCAAGATTGCCAGAATCTCAGGTTCCATGACCGTGGCGAGAGCAGCTGCCGAAGGCTACTGGATGAGAGGAACGAGTACCCAGTCTTAAGATCATTCCAGTTCCAGAGCAAGAGATGACTAACGGTTGCAGTAATAGCAAGGTTGGTCGTAAAGAGGAACATAGCATAAGTCCCCGCAAAGAAAGAAATACCCTCGGTTTCCAGTGCAGACGGCTGCAGCATATTCTCGTTATTGAGGATTTCCGTCTGGTTATACACGATGTAGTTAGAACTTATCGAGTTTTGAGAGAATAGAAGCTGGGAGAGAAATGGAAAGTCTCGAGCTTGCTATACATTCCTGTAGTAGACGCCGAGGAATAGAAAGATGCAGATAATATACCCAGCCAGGCTGTTTGTCAAGGTCGCGAGCGGCGTCCACAACGGCTTGCTGGAGATAAACTGCCAATCCAACCCTAGCAACAGTATTCCAAGTCCTTTATTGCCGTTAGATCCGCCAAAGATATTGGTGAAGACCATACTATCCTGCTTCGCCAAGCAAAAGATGCTGATACCGGTCAGAATCGGCATGACGTACTCGGGTAGGACCTCCCAGACGAAGGCGGCAATAAGGATCCACCAAAAGAAGCGGAGGCGGTTCCTTGTTTCCCTGCGGTCGCGATGGAGTGTCTCCAGCAAGGTATTCATCGGCAGGAGGCTGGGCTATACCATCTTGGTGGGATACACTAAGACTCGGCGCAGCAGTCCGGCAAAGCCATACCCGACACACTGCGAGGAGACAACGAGCAGGATGGAGATGAGGGCGTTTGGCGCTCTGTCGTAGAACAGCCTCTGGACGGCAATAACCTCGACGGCTAGGGCAGTCTGGGCCCCCGACGAGGCGATTACGACTATGGCTGTGTGTTCCTTTATATTGAATGGGTAAGGATTGAACCACCGCCCGATAAAACCTGTTTTCGGAATAACCTACTCCAGGAAGGTACTGAAAATATAGCTTAAGAGGGCGAGGAAGATGTTGGATACGTCCAGTATGACGGGGCGAAAGAAGTAGATCATCTCCATAATAGCACTAAAGATACCCAGGCTAATACCTATTAAAATAAATATCAGTAACGCCGCCGACAATTTAGACGTGGACTCACCGATGAACCACATCCGGAAGGTCCATAAATTAAGCAAAGGGTCGTCGTCGGCATGGATCACCTTTATCACCAAGTCTTTCTCATCTTCAATTCTATCTGCCCCATTGGACTACATAGACTTATCGTCCGAGAGGCTTTCGGCCTCAATAGAAGCCTGGACTTTGTCAGAGGAGTCATAAGAAATGCTTAGTTGAGTCAAGGTAATTCAAAAGATACCGGGTTTAGCTGGAGGTATCTGAAGAGAGGCTATCTACTCGACTTGGACTGCGTTTTGAGGGGGAATTTATAAAATAAACAGCGCCGGCGCTGAAGTAAAGGGATACGGGAAGAAAAGGACAATATAGATTGACTGCTTGTAGCGAGTTAGGGTATTAATTGTTCAACAACCGCATCAGTAATATATATATATCCGGAGTCCTGCATCTTAAAGAAGGCCCAAGCAGACTGCTCCAGGTCATCATTCTCTCTATAATAATAAACCCAATATGAGAGTTTATAGCAATATCTATTAATAGAAGGTGTACATCTTCAGTCTGAATCTGCTGCACGTAAACAGAGAAAGCTATCCCCGAAGTGTATTAGGTTTGTTTCCACACAAATACCCCGCGATAGATATAGTTAACGGCAACTCAACTGTTAAAACGGCCCGGCGTTTTACCAAACGCAACACAACCCCCCCTAGTAAAGTAGTAGTGCCCCCACCCCAGCCACCGCTAGCCAACCCCACCCATCCTGTCTGATCCAACATATTATTCACGACGGTTAAGACTTGCACTCTGCTCGAAGAAACATTTAAAAGCAGTTCCCAGTTTGACATTGGACATACTTCACCTCAAACTGCCTTCTTAACTATCTTTATTTATTGTCATCCTGATACCCATCCCCATCCTCTACTATAGCGGATGCTGATGTAATTATTTTTAATATTGCCACAGCCCTGGCGGCTCTATTCCTCCTCGAGTTTGGGGCTGATAAATTCATCGATCACACGGCTGTAGTTGCGCGTCGTACGGGGCTTCCTGAGACCGTCGTTGGGCTCCTTACAGCCGGCGGGGAGTGGGAAGAGGTAAGCGTTCAGCGTACTTTATTTCTGACTGCTGCTAATGCAACATAGCTGGCGGTTGTTGTCGCGTCCCTGGCGCGGGGCCGCTCATCCCTAGCCATGGGCAACGTGATCGGCGCCGCCATCTCCAATATCTTGAGTGCCTTCTCGCTCGGCCTGCTATCCTTTGAGACAGGGAGGGCGGCCCAATTTGACAGGAGCGCGCGGATATACTCGCTCGTGCTACTCGTTCTGACGACCTTCGTCATACCAATTCTCTATTTTCCAACGCATGTCATCTGGGAGGTGTGCGGTCCTGTTCTTATCGCCACGTTTGGAATCTATCTTCTGCTCGTAGGCTTGGCCATTGGCCGAGGGGTCCTTACGGCACCCGAAGATTCCGACAGTGATAGTGACAGCGACGCAGAGAGTGACGCTGGCGTTGACGATGATCGCCACTGCAGTTCTGGTACAAGAATTGCCGTGAGCAGAGCGGAGGCTACAGAGACAGATCCGCTCATCAACCCTCGCGTGCCAAAGGTGAGAGCCGCTAGCCCAGGCCACCACCGAGAAGCCACACCTCAACCTGTTCCGTCGCGGCGCCGCAGACGCCGCACTCTCGGATATCATGGCCTCTACCTACTATTCGGATTCATCGCCATCTGTCTCGCCGGCTACATCCTCTCCCAAGCAGCAGCAAATATCACGGACTAGTTTGGCATCTTGGACGTTCTATTCGGCGTTGTTATCCTTGCCATCGCCACCACGCTACCTGAGAAATTCATCGCTATTATAAGCGGCTACCGCGGCCGCCCTGGCATTCTCGTCGCGAATTGCGTCGGCAGTAACATCTTCCTTCTATTGCTGTATGTTGGCATTGTCATAGTTAACACTACGGGTGCTCTGGATGGAGGCAACGTGACGATGCCAGAACTGGTAGCTCTTTGGGGGTCGACACTAGGTTTAACCCTAACAGTCTGGTTTGGAGCCAGGTTTTGCCGCTGGATTGGCGTGGCTATGTTGGTTGGCTATATTATTTTCATTGTGCTCGAGGTCACAGTTATCCACCGTGTGGCGAATTAGATGTGTTACTTTCGCATGAGGACGCGGCCATGACTTCAACATGCCCCACCCAAGACACTGCGCTCCTTTCAGGGGACTCAAGCTGGCAGCCGCTCCGAGCCCCTCCATAGTGATGAGGCATTCGAAACGAGTGATTTTGCTTCAGTGTAATGTGGAAGTTCGCTATCTTTACCCGCACCATAGCAGATGACGGGTTAGCCAACGAGGCTGCAGGCTGCCGGCTGCCTGCATTTCTCGGCTCTCATTGGGCCAGAACATCTGCCACCTTATAGCTTTGGAAGATGTCTATATCACCTAAAAACCTTGTGGTTAGAAATGAAACAAATTACGTGCATCTGAGACAGTCAGTCCCTATCGCAGCTAACTGCTTTGGTGGATTCTATTGACCACCTCTGCTAATGTTTATGGAGTTTGAACCTGGCCCTGGGTGTACAGTACTTGTCTATTTCCCACCGCCGTTGGGACGAAAAGATCTACCATTGGCCCTTGTTATGGGGCCCTACTTCAGGGACAGTCCACCCCCAAGATTCCGCGTGAGACAGTCGCCTAGGCGTATTCTGCCAGTGCCACGAAGCGTTGAGCAGAAACGCTTTACTTGACTGTATCACACTGAATGGATAGGATCACAATGATCATGATGAAAGCTCTTGATTTCTAGCTAAGGGACGGGCCTAGAGCCCGTCTTTTATACATGATGAAGACGGCTACTGCCGGAGGCGGCAGTCCGTCGCCGCCGCACAGGGGCCGGGGCCTTGTGGGTCCCGGGGACCGGGATCGTGGTCACAGGGCCGGCTATGTGGTCTGAGAAGGAAAGGAAAGTCGCGTTGTCTAGGAAAGCCGGAAACGATGTTATCATAGCTCTCAGGATGACCCCGAAATGTGACAGACTGTTCGTTATGATTAGAGTGCGGGAAAGTATCAAAAGAAACTTCTTATTCAGGGATACCAGAATATGGATGTGAATTGTAGTCTTGCACAATAGCTGGGAGACCCCATCGTCGGTCGTTGCTTTGTTATTGAGTCGTTGTCAAAGATGCCACTCCCACATTTTGCTCGAGAAACCAAGATTCCACTCACAGTTCATACCTTTGTTCTAAGGTTTCCGTGGCAAATGCCATATGCACAAACTTTCAGACCAAAGGTGGCCTCGGAAAATGCAGGTAGAGTAAGCGCCATGGAACTCATCCTGGAGTTTTCTGCACCCACCAGGAAGAGACTTACGCCAATGGCATTCTTCGCACTTCCCACGGAAATCCATCTCCTCACCCCTAGCATGACAGATGATGGCATTCCTCGCAGACTCATCTTCGTTGCGGAGGCGTCGGCAGATGTCCATCATGCGAGAGGAAGGGCCTTGGATAGCCACTTGCCATGCCTCCCCGGTTTCTTCTGCCGATTTGCCTTCCACGAGAGTTTGAATTGTGATCACGTTGTCATGGTCTTTTCTCTTGGGCAATACCACTCGGAATTCAGGTGTGAGTTCGACTATGCGGCTTCGCTAAAGGTCGTGTTAGCAATTGACTTCCTCGTGGCGTCCCAGTATCGTACTAAGAGTTCATGGTTCGAGTTCATGGATTTTTCCAACTTCTCGAGGTCCGGTGTCTTCGCTCTCGGCAGCATCATTGTCGCAAGATACTCTGGTCCAATTTCAAGGATGAGGCCTCGCTATCAGGGTTAAGTAGGGCTCCGTCAACGTAGTCGTTCATTCCCTTACCACCGAGCTCAGACTATAATCCATGGTTTGTTGTTAGACCAAGTAGCAGTTTGAATCTTCAATGAAGGCGAGACTTTTGGAAAGCGGGTGGGCATAAGAGAAAGTACGAGAGGAGAGGGAGAAAGGATAGGAGAGCATAGAACATGTGTGTGATGAAAGGGTGAAGTTATGGTCCTGAGAAGATAGGCGGCGTTGCTCCCTTAAGTACTCCTCCATCAATACGCGCTAGCCTCCCATAAGGTCTTGCTAGGCCGCCTTAACCGAGAAAATGCTTTACCAGCGTCATTTGAAACGGTCGATACTCCTGGAGAGTTACGATAATTGGGCGAGGATGATGGCATTGGGCTGATAAGCAGGTCGGCTGAATGCAAGCTGTCACCGTGATCTATAAAAAGGGGGCTTGCATCAAAACTTACTCAATCCATTCACCAGCTCCCTCAATGACAGTAAGCTCATTGGATATCAGCTATCAAGGGATGGGGTCGTTGTTGGCCATCTATCCTCTCTGGCGGGACGAGTGACAGATCTGGTTCTGCCTTATGCCTTGTTCGTCCTCTAGTCTTCCGGGCACCGCCAAGGGACTCATGTGACCTGATATGCTGGGCACCGAATATATAAAGTGATCTCTGCCCGGCTCAGCGCCATCGTCTTTTCTTTCTCTTTCATTAACATCAAAGACAACCTTGCCGGCACCGCTACAATGTCTTCAATACGATCCATTCTCAACTACGTACCTTTTGAGCGAGTCAAGTTCGTTGTCGACTTATCTCAGAAGTTCATCGATGATCTCCAGCATGTCAACGCCACAGAGGAGGAAGTAACCTTCCCCTTCAGCATCTTTCCTCTTGAAAACTTTCAGTCTACTGGGAGCAGCTCCCCATTGTATTTTCCACGAGCTGACACTCGCCTATCTGTCACTCCCCTCCACCTCGCTGCCGCCTATGGTAGAGAGGAGGTCGTTACTCTACTATTGAATTTCTCGGATGTCGATAAACAGCCAGAAAATGGTGGCGCCACCGCTCTTTTCCTGGCTCTCTACTGCGGGCACCTTGGCATAGCTAAGTTGCTTTTGAAACGCGGAGCTCACCCGAATGGCCCGTGCAGCTTTAACGGCCTGCATGCCGCGGCAAGGCGAGGATTTGGGGAGGAGATTACCAAGTTTGTTCAAGATTTTGAGGTTGAAGTTGACATCGAAGATATGGATGGGGCGACGCCTGTTGTATATGCTCTCCAGCTTCCAGAAAAGGAGGCATTAGAAACTATTTTACTTCTGTTCAACTTAGGAGCAAAGAAGGATACTATAGTTGGAGATGGCTGCTGGACATACGCTGATCTCGCTAGATCGATGGGCAAGGAGGACCTGGCAACTTGGTTGGAGAGTGTAGCAGACGATTCATAGAGTCATATGTTCGACTTTTTATAAGCAAGGATATATACCCTGAACTTGGGCTAATAATTTTCTTTAACTGCCAGCATGCAGGCTTAAAGTCTTGATAGATCTCGAAACCAACCAACCGATAAATATTAATAAAGAGTTCGTCTATACACCGAAGAAACAAGAGAAAGCGTCCGCCGTGAACAATGCAACTGTCAGATCTTCAGTAGCGCGCCGCGTCGAGTAGTAGCGAACTTAGTTGACCATCCACATTCATGAGACAGTTCCATGTATTCTCATAGCGTGATTCTGAAGATGCATTTTGTGATCCAAGGATAAGCTGCAAAGACGGCAGTGTAGCTTTTCGTCGTCCTGGATGTTGGAGAGGTGATGCCGTCTGACATGCTTGCTCAGATCGCCGGAGGAGTAGAACGGTCTGATGAGACTCTGGATAGTTGGATCCGAAGACGGGAGAGTGGTAGCCCTGCCGACACAAACAAAGCATCTGCGGGGTCGCTCTTCCGCGTTCATGACGAAGACGGAAGTGGTTGCATTTGCCAATTCCTCACGTGCTTGATGGCTCTTGTCCGAGGTCAGAGCCGCCTGGGGCGCATTCCCTTTGCTAACCGATTGGCGGCAGCGAGTCGTCGGGCCTTCTTGAATGGGGCAGTAGGCCATAACTGCCAGAATCGCTTCATCACGGCGGCGGAATTCGTCCTCGATCGTGCTCGCTACAGGTGCCTTTAAAGCATTGAGCAAGCGTCTCTGGGCGGGATGAGAGTCGGTGACGCATGGTAATGGAGGTGACTCTTCGAAGTATTTCCCAGCCAGCTGTCGCTCTATGTCGACCACGGCCTGCTCCCGAGACCAATCGTCCCGCATCTGCCGTGTGAATTCCCGGCGTAGCTTCGCTCTTTCGCTCTGAAGACTCTTGGTGATTGACTCAAGTCTCTTCCGGCCTTTATCGGACCTGCTCGTTTCTTGACGGAGCGCCCGCTGATGTTGAAGGAGCTTCTGGATTTGGGGGTGACCATCGACTTCGGCAACCTGTTCAGATGTGAGGTCGACAGGACGTCGTTTGCTTTTAGAGTGTCCGATGCTGGTAGCCTGGCGCATCAAGGCTTCTTGCGGCTTTGTCTGGCGCACAATAGCCATCGTGTCAACTGTAATAACGCGGCTGAGGTAATGGTCCCTGAAAACGTTCGAGTTTTTGTGCCCAAGGACCAGATCGCGCAGTCCGTTGCTGACATCCACTTAACTTGATTAGCTCCTATCTTATCTCATAGCTTAGGGGCCCATAACTAGAACGGGGTGCTCACAGGATTGATCAAGCGCGTTGGCAGTGGTGTAACGTAGTGTATATAGGATCACTGTACTACCAAAGCCGGCAAGCATGTCTATCCTTTTCGTCCAACCTGATATCATCGAATATGTCATCCACTTGTTTGCTGATATCTCAAAGCCATTGAAGGCAGTCTTGATGGCCTGCCGGAAGATAAAGGTTTCATCCATGGACTCCTTTAATGGAAGTGGCAGTTCGTATTCGTCAGGGTGGATATCAAGTTTGCTTAAGAGTTCGGGAGTAATGAGGCTAGAAGCCTCAAAGGCTCTGTGTCGAAAAAGGAGGCCAAGGAGGAGGTTATGAGGACTGAGCAGGAAGCATGGATCAAACAAAGACTCCGGAATAGTCATCTCATTTCTGTATTGCGGCTTAGGGTAAGAAATACATAAAATATTGCGGCAGAGAGCAGTCAACTTACATTGCCTTCAGCCCAAGAAAAGTCTTGGTGAAATGAAGCGTGAAGCGGAGTAAGATTTTATGAGGCCCGCCGCCCAGGTCTCGAGACAAGACAACTTTGATGTCTCCATAGTGCAGGTACAGAAGTGCTTCTGGCCTGGATCCACTTGGAGCAATGAGTAGGAGGAAAAGTAGAGCGAGGATGCGATGCTCGCCAATCCGAAACTTCTTCCGGGTAGTACCGATGGTGGTGTCAGCTTGCAGCTCAAGGTCATCCATTGACATGCATCTGTTTTCCCGTCGCTGAAAACTTAGGACATACTCCTCCGCAAGTTCTCTGACGACCTAAGCGGTAATGGTAAGCCTCTGGGGATGTTAGGGGCGAAGGAAATCCTACAGTAAGCATTTTGTCATCCAACTCACGATCGATCCTCTTGTTTGTAAGCCTGCGATATACTAGTCGGAACTCCTTCCAGTAAAGTTCAAGAGAATGGAAAGATTTCAGGCCAGGGAGTTTCCGCCCCTCGTGTCCAGTTGTCTGCCGCATAATCCATCTGAAGAAGGCACTCGTCATATTAATAGAGATGTCGTGCATAGCATGCACGGGGTCCCACCCATTGAATTCGCAGTACCTAAAGCTGTTAGTGGTATAGCATAGGGGAAATAATAGAGGCGCATACTTGTTCCACCGTCACTCGATTCCGTCGAGTTGTTTGATCATAGGTACGCGGGGCATAGCGTTTTCTGGCAACTCGGTCTCCATTGAACTCCTCTTCCATGCGAAGATAATGCTCGGGAGGGAAAGCGTTGCCGTTGTGAAGTTCCGATCCGTCATCAGCATCACCGTCAATGTCACTAAGATCCGTGCCATCGTCTGAAGCTTAGTGTGAGCCGACATCGAACACGCTGTCCCGGTCACTGAAAGAGTCATCAGACTCAGCTGAGGCAGCTAGAAAGATCGTTGCTTCATTCTTTGCAATATGTCAAAGTGCTGCAGATATGGGAATAAAAGTTTCCTGCTGCTGTGATAGCCAGCAACCTCTTTATATGCACTTGCCTGTCCATCGCTCGGCTAGTGTCTGGCAGCGCTCCCCATATGTCAACTCAATCAATCAATCACCACAATCAAATCAATCAACTTGGCCAATTTCCCCCTTCAATCAAATCAACTTTCCTGATTTCTAAGTTGAAATAATTGGTATACTCTTGTCTGCCGGTACGGTGCCTTGATATATCCCTGGTATGGGTTGCCAGGCGGATCCCCTACCCTAGATCATACCACCCAAGATCAACAATGCATGCACTGACGTTAACTCTCTCCTGTAAAAAATTTTCCTGACTAGCGGCTGTTAGCACTAGCGTGGAAAACTTTCCAGGCCCACCAAATTTGGCTGCTGCAGCAGCTGGTGCCCATCGGGCACTAACACTGCAATAAAGGAAGGATTGAGAGGATTGACTTCCTTTACGCAGCAGCCACGGCCACAGCCCAAGGGCTCCGGCCATGATCGAGGCCTGCTGCCCTGACCAGCTGGGCAGCTAAGATAGCAGCAGGGTCACAGCACGGCTTGCGGGGGCCAATCGACACCGCTGTGGCTCCTATACATGCTGTAATGCTGGTTCAGACCTCGCAGCAAGTATAGCTATTGCAGCCGCCAGGAGCAATCACGACACCAGCTTCAATCTAGGTGGGCGTCGACCTTTGCCCTGATCTCTACGACTCGGCACTTAGGTATATAAGGCCACTGCGTCTTAGTACCTGCTTAGGCCTCCGGGCCTGAGCTGCCCTGACCTCTGCGTCTCGGCACTTAGGTGCATAAGGCCACCGCGTCTTAGCACCTGCCTCGGCCTCCGGGCTTAGGCTACTACGACCTCCGGGTCTTAGATGCCTTGATCTACAGATCTTGGCTGTTAATCCAGGTCTATAAGAAGTCACAGAATCGGGCTACTTATAGGCATCAGGGTTCTGGCTTGATGACCCTGATCAATGGATGCTAGCTGCAGTGGTTTTTCCCTCTACACTCCCGCGAGGTTTTCCCATCTGCAGTTATTCCTATCATACGGATCTCGATTTCTGGAGGTTTTGAATGCCGGCAGGCAGGAATAGGAATACTGAAGAATTTCAAGCTGGTTAATAAATATGGGTATGCTGACACCCGCCCTGACAATCCGCTGACGGATATCGGGCTTGAAATAATAGGTCAAATAGGGCCTTTTAATTGCTAGATGGAGGAGGAAGAAGGGTTGCAGTCTAAGTCTAGGTCTAGGTCTAGGTCTAGATCTAGGTCTATGACTGCAGGCCCGAGCTATGGGCCAGTGGTGTCTATAGCTCCGGCCCCGGGTTACTGTACTTTAGGTTTCTTCAGCTGTTGATACCAGCCTAGCACGTCGTCTTGCCCCCTTGGGGATTCTGTGGATAGCTTTAGGCAATCTTCACGACGGTAATAAAACAACAACAACAACAACAACAACAACAACAACACTGACAACGTTGAAACTGGTATCTACTAACACAACCCATTTTGGTTTGTTCCTCACCAGTCTAAGACGCGCTGACCTTACCTCCAAACGCGTCGCGCGTCACGACAACTCATCCTCCAGCACTTTTACTATGAACCCTTTTCAATGAACCCCTAGTCACGCCACAGCAAGATGTCTGACTCGCCCATGCTTTCATCGCCAACAAGCATATCGCCGGCAATCTCAACGCCGTGCACAACGCCATCGCCGTCCCTTCTGCCTTCTCGCGACTAGCCCAACCCCGGACGGTGGCCAGGCAGTTGGAAGAGGGAGCCGTTGTGGCGTTACCCGCGAACCCAACCATTGAGGATTTACCGAAGATTGTTTGGAAGAACCGTCGCTTCGTTCAAGAAGACTCACTAGCCCGAAAGGGTGCAAAGGGCAGGAAGAGCTGGATCAGATCGCACGGGACATTCTTGATTGAACTCAATCATCATGATCAACCGATGGGGCACGTGTAGTGCTGCAGTCAGTGTGATATCAAGGGCGAGGCCGAGTTCTTCTCGGTGCAAGCCACATCTTCTGCAGCAGATCATCTTCGCAAGTTTGTTTCCATCCCGCAAGAGCCTCACGACAAGGCATTCATTGGCTGACCTGCATAGAGTTCATCGGATCACTCCCGCGAGTCAGTTGAGCCCTAGCGATGATAGCGCCATTGATCTCCATTATCATACAACATCAAAACGACGTCGGCTTGAACAGAGTATCATACCCAAGGCAAGAGTCAAGGCTATACAAGAGCTAAGCGTCGGGTTTGTCGTTGATAGTGATGTACCATTTACTATCTTCGAGCACAGCTTTCTACGAAAGCTCTTTAATCAATTTGACCATGAACTAGTACTTCAGATTCCTTGGAGTAGCAGTTCTCTTACCCGAGAGCTCCAGCGTCTCTTTGAGACGAAGAAGGATGTCATCAAAGCAGAACTGCGGGATGCCTTGACGTCAATACACCTCAGTTTTGACCTCTGGACGTCGCCGAATCGATTGGCAAGAATGGCTGTCTTTGCCCACTTCATTGACCAACGGGGGCATCATCAGTCTCGATTGCTTGCTCTGCGACGCCAATCAGGCAGTCACAGCGGTAAGAATCTCGCTGGTACTCTCGTTGACATCGTCCAAGAATGGAGTATTAACGGGCACGTTGGTACTGTCGTTTCAGACAACCTGACTACGAATGATATGTGTCTATACCATGTGTATAGGAAGCTTGATTCTTCAATGAGATCTGTCGATGTTAAAGCGCGTCGGATGCGTTGCTATGGGCACATTCTCAATCTTGTTGCGCGTGCATTTCTGTTCGGCAACGACGCGGAGGCTTTCGAGCTGGAGTCGGATGTCAACAACATCCGAGGTCTTGCTGAGCAGGATCTTGCCCACTGGCGCACAAAGGGCCCAATTGGAAAGCTTCACAATATCGTCAAGTTCACCAGATCATCGCCACAGCGGAGTGAACATTTCAAGCGGATTGCTCAGGAGCAGGACTACGAGGGATATCTCATTTGTGAGGAATCGACTGCAGAGCTTGAAGTAACGCTCAATAATAAAACACGGTGGAATTCTACCTACATAATGATTCAGAGGGCCTTGCGGAAGCAGACTGACATACAAGCCTTCGTCTTTGCACTCGAAGGCAAATCAGATGAAGCAAAACGGATCCCCTCTGATGATGTTTTATCTAATGAGGATTGGCGTGTGCTGGGCGAGATCAGCGAAATCCTCAAGCCTATACATCTCCAGACGATGCAAACACAGGGTTGGGGTAAGGGTGACGGCCACGGGCGGCTGTGGGAGGTGTTAGTAGGAATGGAATACCTACTGGAGCACTTGGAGGAGTGGAAGAGCTTTTACGATAAGGTTACAATCAAGACAATAAGTGCGACCAGCTTGGATGGCCTCGCGCCAATCGCGACGGGATCCGTCTTTGGCACAGAACCCGAAGGGCGGCCAACCCGGACGCGTCGTCGCCCTGCTCGCTTTGAAGAGGATGAGGCTTACGCGTCTCAACAACGGAGCCAGACATCAAGGTTCGCGGGAACCGCCTTGCCGGAGCGTTCTCAGACGGAGTATTCATCGGTGGGTAAGGCACCGGCGTCGGGTGTCTCACAGAAGAGCACCTTGCCGGCCGATCATCGAGCGTATATCCGGACATCTATTAACAATGGATGGAAGAAGCTAGATGAGTATTACAATAAGCTCGGAGAATCTCCATTATTTGCCGCGGCTATTGTTCTCCATCCGAGGTTCGGTATTAGCTGGCTAGAGGCTACTTGGGTCTCGGAGGAGCAGTTGATGTGGGTTCGCGATGCAAAGGCAGGCATAAAGGAGTACTTCACCCGATGGTACGACTCGAAGCAAGAAAAAGACGAGGAGAAGCTGCACCATACGACACTGCCGAGGACGATGGGCCAGGAGGATGACCAGTACACTGAATGGATCAACAGCAAGACGAAGAAGGCATTTGCAACAGGGAGCAGTTTCAGTGAGCTGGACAGGTATCTCTGTATCGAGCCACAAGACACGCAGGATCCGATCCAGTGGTGGAGAGACCACAAGGCTTCCTTTCCTCTAGTAAGCAGCTTTGCACTAGATATGTTGGCAATTCCAGCGATGGCCAGCGATTGTGAGAGGCAATTTAGTCTGGCCAAACTGACTCTGACGTCGCAGAGGCTCTCAATGGGTTCAGGGACGCTGGAACAGGTTCAATGCCTCAAGAACTGGGTTAGACATGGTGGGGTAGAGCTAGGAAGCTGGGTGAATAGTGTTGGAGATCACAAGTGTGAGGCGACCAAGTCGGTGGCAAAGGTGTGGAAGAAGGTGGAACATTCCACAGAGATCGTGCCTGTACATAAATAGTAGTTCTCCTACTATTTATTTAGTATGAATTAAGCAACTTGAATCTTCTCATTTCAACACTTCTCGCGCTTGCCAAAGGCGAAGGGGAGGCTCACGGATCGGCGCTTGGAGCCCTCGGTCTTCTCCTCCTTCTTGGGCTCCTCCTTGGGCTCCTCCTCCTTGGGGGTCTCGGCGGCCTTTTCTTTCTTGGGAGGAGCGGGCTTGAAGTTCTCAATGGTCTTCTTGTAAGCCTCAGACTCGGTGACGGTGGCAGCGAGCTCCTTAGCCTCGGCGATCTCGAGCTTCAGCTGGGCGACCCAGTTGTCACGCTCAGCAGTGTTGGCGGCATTGAAGCTGTGCTTGTTGCCCTTAGAGGTGAAGTGGAACTTGTGGGAGCCATCGGTCTCGGGCTCGGTGGCATCGGCCTGTGGGGCGCGTCGTTAAGGCACGCTGCAGATGGGTTTTTGTGGACCTGCGGGAGCTTAGCTTACCAGGCTGATGATGCTGGAAGGGTTCTTCTTGTCCCCGATGAAGAGGAGACCCTGACCGGTGTGGGAGGCCCAGGCGATGTTGCCGTGGGCAGTCTCGGCCGACTTCTCGGTCTTGAGGTAGTGGGCGAGCGCCTTGGGCTCGAAGGCGTTGGTGCCGAAGAAGAAGAACTCCTTGCTGGCAATCAGGTTCCTGTGGGAGAATCAAGGTCAGCAAACGGGTCATGTGCATCGCGATGCGACGCGGCGGCGCCACACACGGGCAAGGGCTTACTTGGGGAAGCTGAGGCTCTGAGCCTCGTGGCCCAGATGGCCCTCCTCGACGGGCTTGCCTTCCTCCTTCTTGCCCTCAGCCTTGGACTCCTCGGCGGGCTTGTCCTCGGTGGCGGGAGCAGACTCGGCGGGGGTCTCCTCAGGGGGCTTGGACTCGACAGCGGGGGTCTTGGTGGCGGGAGCGGGAGTGGTCTCGGGCTTGGTCTCCTGAGGGACCTCGACGTTCTTCTGTTCCTCGCCATTTTGAATAGAGTTGTAGTGGGAGTAGGTATTGGGGGGGATCTCAAGGGGGTATCACAACAAACAAAGACGGAGGTATAATAAAGAAAAAAGATCCAGATCTAGAAAAAAGGCGTTGGATTTTGGAGTGTGGTCTTGGGGTAGAGTGGTGAGGAAGGAAGAGGAGGAGGGAAAGGTAGCTGGAGGGCGGGGACGCGGGGGGTACGGATGTCCATCAAGACATCACGAATAAAAGTAGCTTCAGCATGGATATAGACTCTCCACCAGCTCAGCCTGCAACAGATTTCCATCATGACGCTCCTTCTCAGGATGATGACGTCATTTCGATGTCGGGGCTGGCAGTACCAGCTGTCTTCAACGCTGTCACCGCACCGCACCGCGTCTGCACCCTCTCGCTCTCCAGCAGCGGTCCCTGGGAAGCTTAGTCAGGGAGTTACGGGACCCACCAGCGGTGATCATCTTTCCTTGGTAGCTCAAACTTGCCCACGCTCCACAGTACCAAGTACCTGGATACTTTCCTCACCTTCTCCGTATTCTCGTCCGAAGCGGGTGAGGCAACCAGAGCTATCTGTGGCCGCTCCTCGCGTAGCAGTTCCTGGCCGTTTCCATGTCCTTTGCCAGCCGTGTGCTCGGCAGCCTTGCTACGAAGATTCCGACACTCCCTATTTCCCAGGCATTCGGCCGGCCGCAGAATATCTCAGCGAGCCGCGCACGCTTGGATATCTGGCCTTCTCACCTTAATTTCAATCATACATCAGAAGCGATTCAACTGGAGCCTCAAGCACGTTTTGCGATATCTGGTGAGCAGTTCTTGCCACCGATCATCGTCCTTGAGCAAGAGCCAGAAACAATTCGACACGCCCTTCGGCTGGGCTGTGAATCCGCCAAGGATCCTATAGATTCATGCAAGTGGCAGAGAGTGGACGAAAGGACTCTGCCTAAAGTAGGTGACGACGCGCGAGGCTGTTAACTATACGGCCCCGAGGATCGCAAGATCAACCGGCCCTCCGTTGGCCTGTAGAGTTAGGATCCTACGATTCTAGGCCCTCGTGCCTGCAGCTGTCCCGTGTACAACCCAGTTGACCCACCGACAGATCCTCCTCGGACGACCCAAGCCCCTTTCATCCTCGGGAGGCCTGATCCTTGGGATGTAATGTGTCTATTCGCATGACACCACGAGACTGTGCATGAAAGACCTGTGCTCAGCCATCCGATTTGCGCAGTCTCTGAGCTCTTTCTCTTGGAATCGCCGTCCGCGCCCTTGGTGTCCTTTCGGCTCTTATTCTAGTCACAACACCCCCGAGCTATCTTAGTCAATATGGAATCTTCTTTGTGGGCGCGAATCCTGCTCTAGCCTTCCCTTTGACGTCGCCGATCATCGTGGTACATGATAAGGCACCCGAATCGCCCTTGTCAAGGCGTGCAAGTCTCCGCCTCACCTGCTCCATCAAAGCCCCTCGACGGGTAGAATTCATGCAAATCGACACTTACACGTCACGGCCTTCGCTGATATTCAAGGCTGTACGTGAAGCAGTTGCCTCCACCTGTTCCACCGATGAGGAGGAGGTTCCTTATTTTGTTCCCCGGATATTCATTTGCCTACGCCAGGTAGTCCTTATTTTGTTCCCTTGGGCCCCTATTTTGTCAACCAAAGGAGGGCCTTTTGAATAAGTCTGACTATGGGGCTCTGGTGCGATGTTGTGACGCCTTGGGGTACCCAGGTCTCAAGGGGAGCAAGTGGATTGGGGAGTGGTAGGCTTCGGCTATAGTAGAACCGTCTGCCCGAGAATCTCCATTAGTCGTGAACGAGGGTTGGCGCAAGCTATCATACCTCTCCAACTTCCTCTGTTTCCTCGTCCTCAGCTTCAGGGCGTTCCTCGTGTGTGCGCGTCAACCGGGCTAGTTTCGTTGAGGGCAATGAATCATTCACAGGTGCAGCGTCAAGTCGCCCTGGGCTGCGGCGGTGACGCGTCTCGGGCTTGGTCTTTGTTCTCTGGGGAGTGCTCTGGGTGGCTCCGTTCAAGCTCTGTTCCAGGTGACTTAGCATCTGGTCAAAGGGATGGACGACGATAAGTATACCTGCGCCCTCGTTTGCAACAGCGTCTAGCAACTTGCCTAGCAAGGACTGTGACGGCTTCACACGAGCGCTGCGAGAGAAAGGGGTGTCACCAAAATGTCCATAGGACCCTACAGTGGCTGTAATCTGAATGAAAATGAAAGTCACGCCAACCCAGGATTCTCCACCGTTGATCAAATGGTGAATATTCCAACATCGCTGTACACGATAGAAACGAGATTGGATGCTGTTAGATACGCAATTTGCTGTATGCAATAGTAGAAGTGATTGATCAATTGATGTAAATTGAGATGGTTGTCCCTTCATTGATTGAGGGTCATAGGGTCCCTATTTTATACTCAAAGGGATCTAGATCAGGGTGTCAAAGGGATCCGGATCCGGCGTTGTTATGATGCCGCATCCGGCGTTCCGCATCCGGCGTTCCACATCCGGCGTTCCGGATCAGGCATGTTATGCCGCCACACGAGGTCTCAATCCAACAGTTCTCTAAAGGGTTAACATGCATTCTAGCCAGTCAAGAAGTAGGTCTAGGAAAAACCCCACAAAACCCCACTAAGAAATGCTCTACTACTTTTGTCACCCTTTATTAATTAGTATAGGTGGACTTTAATTACGGCAACAATGTAGTTACTGGTAATATTACCACTTCTCCAGTGATGACCCACCGGGTACATCGCAGTGTAAACTGCTGGACTTGGCACGGACTGTGTCACATAGCTAGTCTCAGAGACTACAATCCAACCACGGAATTTGCCCACGATAACCTAGCAACATCTATAGCTATAAAGACCTACCCTTTCAATAGAGTTGACGTCCACTCCGCAGCACAGCTGTGAGAGGCATACCGGGCGTAATAGACGTGTGTGTGTGTAATCTAGATCCTTCCAGACGTCGTATCATAACAAAAAAGAGTAAAGAGTGTGTTTTAGAACAAAATATAGAAAACTAGACTCTTTACCAAATCCCATCGATGCGCAACAAAGTCTCATGCCTCTTGTCTCAACCAGTCATGGTTCGAAGTGCCTCCGTATCTAGCAACTTGTACCGGCCCTCATCGACCAACCGGTGAGTAGTGATGCGCTCGGGGTAGTTCCTCATAAACATGTTGGTGAAATGCTTTCCGTAATGGATCCCCTCTTCTGGGCTCTGACCGGCTTCATACCCCGGAAGAGGGTTAATGACTATCTGAAAGCTGGGCTCATGAAAGTAAGCAAAGGCGAATCTCTCTTTCATATTAAGCCCCACCTTGTGGAGTGTTGAAGGGAGGACCGAGTTGGTCATGTACTGCATTATATCACCTAGGAACTATTATCAGCAGGGCGCCTGTTAGGTTAGAGATGGGAAGCTTGCCTGGGAAAACCGTAAATACATTCTCGGCTGGGGGGATAAACACCCAACCGTCACTATCTTCCTTCATTCCAGCAGCACTCCTCTCCCAGTTCGCAACGGACTCGTCCTTATAGGGAGGACGAACGAAGAGAGCTAGATACGGAATCAGCAGGTGCACTTATGTTAGAACTGGGTCAAGAGGGCTCGCCTACCTCCAACATCGTCAGCGGCCGCAATTACAAGCAAACCATAATCAGTATGAGAGCCGATGCCTCGGCCGCCTTCGTCTTTCCCATTGATATCGTTGGTTGTGTGAAATCTGAACCCAACGCATTAGCTTTGTCTCATCTCAAAAAGAAGCCATAGGTTTATGCCTGAGAATTCGCATGTGATGCCACCCATCTTTCGTAGTGTGCGTCAGAGATCCCTCTGGTACATTGATACCCAGCTCAATAAGCTGGAGAAGCTTCTCGCCGGTCTGCCCGAGGCTGTCCATGTATTTCTTCACGGGGTCCCGCAGATCTGCGTCAGGCCAAGGACAGCGCCCATGGCATGGCCACTTGGCGGACACCCTGGGATTGTCAAGGTCAAGGTCCTTCGTGACGGTAAAGATCTCACTATAATCCGCAAGGCTATCTGTAAGCTCTTCCCCGCTCGTAATATAATTGGAATAGCTTTGGCTATCGATGCACGCAGCTTTCTGGTGAAAGGGCTTCTGGAAGAAGTGCTTACTGGCCTTATTGGCTGCTTTATAGAGCGTCTGCTGCTCAGCGTCTATGGAAATCTGCAAGATTCCATCCTGCTGCCAGGCCGCCACCAGTGCTTTGCCCATACTCAGGTCAGCCGCTAAGCCCATATCCTCACTGGGCAATGTAAATGTCTGGAGGCGTCCAACTGTGGTACGGTAGTCTGGAGGCATAGCGTCGCCCGAGTGCTGTGGCTTTTGAGGAGGTTCGGCCATTATTGTAAGGGCTCTTTGTGCTGGACTTTGACGGAAAAGAAAGGCTGCAGTAAATCACCAGCATGCAGCAAGATATGGACTAGCAGTAAGAACATGGGTTAGGGCAAAACGCGGGGCAAGAGCGTCCTCTGAAAAGGTGCACGTGCACAGTCTGGGTTCGGCGCTGATGGATCTTTCTTTTCCTTCTAGCCCGGTTTGCTTGGAGCTGTTGCTGGAGAAAGCCGATGCTCATCAGGGTCTGTCCTCAGGTTCTAAAGTCGCTAGCACCGCAAGGTCCTGCCTGCTCGGGCAAGGTTACCCGGAAATTTAGCTTGAGAGTTATCGCCCTTACCTATCTGCTTATGCGCTTTCTAAATTTGCCTATAAACTATCAATCCTGCCCGCAATCAGCTCCATGCGCTCTGTGAAAGCATGCCCTGTGTATATGAGCACTCAGCGGATTGACCATGGAGCACAAGAGACCGCCTGTAGTCGCATGGCTATGCACGGTCAAGCAAGAAGGGCTGCGACTGATAGCACCGATGCGATATGGTGTATGGCTTACTTTGAGCGCTCGATACCTTACCGAAAAATTCATCGAAGGTGAAGAATGATGCTCTGATTGCTAACTGTTAGGTACATGCACATCTCCAAATAGTCAAACCCAGTCGTTGGTCGTTGTGGCTGGCCACGCTGATAATGGCTTTTGTTGTGTATGCACCAAATAGTCTACACAGCGTCCCAGCAATCTGTCTCCAGGGTCTGGACCGCTAGGCACCTCTAGATTCATGGGGTCAGCCCACATGCTCTGATCTAACATCCAGAGCGTATTATCAAACGCTAGGCCGAGAACAACTCGCCACGCCTTACCATTGATGTGGTGGTGAAAGGCAAGATAAAAAGTAAAAAATGTCATGCGCACCCGTGCCGAGATTGCGGGCTGGGGCCTCCTCATTCAGAGCCAAAAGCGGGCAGTACCTAACCATCAACAGTCAATTTATATAGCAAGGGCGGCCCTGTTTGAACGAGCAATACATCGTTAGGCATAGAGCTCGGTCGATTTTGAACTCATGATCTGGCCTTATGTTTGCTATTTATATGAGTCGGTTGTTGGCCGGGCGGCTGTCGTATTATGCCAAGCTTTACGATGGGCATAATGAAGAAAACTCGTATGCTTGTTGTGGAAAGACTGCCTACTGTCATAAGGGTTATTTCATTCTAGGGGAGGGAAGAGACCGAGAGCACGCTTGGTCCTTCTTCTCTCCGCCACCTACGCCAATTATACACTATGGTCCTTCCCAAACCAGCACATCGGATAGGCCGAGACCTTGACCTTCGCAATCTCCTTCCTAAGCAAGCGCTGTTCTTGCAACCGTGGTGTGGCAGCTGTGCATTAGTCTCCGAATTCTACTGTCTTCACCTCGCCTACCTCGTATTTGACATCCCGGTCGACGGCGGTCTGCACTACCAGGTCAAGTGTCTTACCCGATCCGGTGAAACCAGTGCGGGGGGTATAGACGATGTTACCCCCTTTGTTGAAGCCAGCTGCGGACAGCGCTCCGTCCCGGCGTTGCCGTACCTCCTCGACATGCAGGGATTTTGAACTATGGGCAAATCCCATTTCGCGGTAGGCGACAGGGCTCCCCTCGCCCGGCTCGCAGCAACCAAAACCTCTTTGTACCCAGCCTTGTACAGTTCACCTTGTCGCCAAAGGAACATGACCTTGACCATCATCTGCATGTACAGTTAGGACGATAGTCATCCCGGAGGAGAAGCGGCTCAACGGTTGACGTTAACTCCGCCCTCGTGGATCAGCGATAGGGCTGTTGTAACACCAAAGTGGCCACCGCCAATAAAGAAGTGCCATATGGGGAGACAGTAGATGTCACTGCGGCGTAGCAAGGCCGCATACACGGCCCCCAGAATGTGCCGCTTTTAGTCCCGGCGTCAGTTCGTTTCACCAGCGTAGGATGGGTCGGAACATTCCGATGACGAGAGCTATGGATCACCCAAGTGCAGTATGAAACTCATATGGTAAAACTTGCATTGGCGCTACGTGGGTGGTGGATGGATTTCCTGCAAGGCGATCAGTGGCTTACCAATGACGATGACCGACGTAGCATCGCGATCATCAAAGCGCTGCCCGCTTTTCAATTACCAATTACATGCTGACGAGCCGATTCCAGCCCAGCCCTGCCCTTTTCGAGTGTTTTCAGACCGTGAAGGACCAAGCTGCTTCCGGCCGAGCCTTTCTTGTGGCAGCGATGAGAGGCTCGCAAGACTGGCAGTACCTTCAGCGATCACTCATTCTGTCCAATAGATATGGAATTTTCTGACGTAACAAGAAATATTGACACCTTATATGAAGATGGGCATTGTGGAGATCCTTTCTCAAATTGAAATGGCTCATGGTGTCTTCATGTGCCGTGAACATGCATGACGCGGACTAGCAGCCACCTCGAGGGGGTAATCGAGCTTCCAGCTCTCAACGCACACCATTTCCTGTTGGAAAGCCCGCCAAGCACTTTATTTGAAGGAGGGCCGGAACATAGCCGCGGCAGCAACGGATGCTACTCCGCTGAATGCGACGTGGAGGGCGGAGCAGGGCCTCCAAAAGGTAAAAGAATGCCAGATTCTCCACCAAAAGGTCCAGATGCCCTCTCCATGAGAAAGGTACTCACCCACAAACTCCATCTTCTACCCAAACACCAACAACGTTGATCTGGCTTCTAACTTGATCTCTTGTTCCACCCCCCCCCCCCCCCATCATGCCTCCCCATTGGGTCCATTCATTTCAACCCTCCCCTTCGCAACCAACTCCCCCCAACAGCCCCCTGCTGCAGAAGCCAACCGATGCTAAGAATCCAGTCACGTCCAATGGAAGTCTTGGTCTCGATGGGAAGGACGCGGAATCATCCCTCGCAGAACGACTCTTGATGGCACTGGAAAAGTTCGTTGATGAAAGACCTCCATCCGATAGCTTATCCTCGGGGGACAAAGCTCCAACCGAGGGGGAAGAGACACAGGCCAAGCGAGTACCGAAGCTGGAATATAAGCGCAAAGAGGAAGTGTATAATAACTAATATACCACTCGTACTCTTGCTAACAGGTGAAACAGTTAGAGATAAAAAATATATATAAATATATAATCGTTGAGATGGTACCAGGACCGGAATCTGGCGGGGATGATCTAGCTCGATTCATCGACTTGGATGGAACAAAAATCTAGGGCAGATAGAGTAAAGAGAATGCAACGGCCTTAATCGAAGATGCCCCGCCCGAAGCCCCTGGCCCAAATGGTACAGATTCTCTTGACATGAAATAACCGGACAAGGCCGTGAGGAGGGAGGCTTAGTTCTCATACTTTCCAGACGCTAACCTCTGCCCCTCGACCAAAGGCACAACGATCTTCCCTACATTGGGGACCAGTACAAGCCTGTAGAGAAGTACTCCAAGCATCTCCTGGCGGCGATTGCTCTGATTGCTCGCCACGGCATGAGCACCAATTTCCGCCCCCATGTTGCTCATCGCCACGACTTCCTCCCTAACGACAAGGTCCGGCTTGAGACCCCGCTCGACGGCATGCCGTACAAGCTGACCATGGCCACCAACATTAACAAGCTTGACTTTGACAATATACACTCCACATGCTTCAAGGTCATTGGGGGAGACATCATCGGCATTGAGCACGGTGAGGGGCCCGCGCCGCTGGCGGCGAGCAAAATCCCAAATGCGACCGAGGTCGGCACCGACGAACAGCTGGTCGATGCTCTTATCAAGGCGGGCGTCCTCAAGGCGACCTGATCCAATCGTCGCCAACCTTACCTACTTGAGCTTTATAGTTAAATGAATATTATGCCCTATGGGTTTATCTAGGGGCCACCAATTGCTGTGAAATATATAAACGGAGCCTTCCTTTTGGGTTTGTCTGCAGGGAGGATTCTGGCGACAAGGTCAAGTTTGTGTTAGAAGATCGCAACAACTGTGTCTACAGTTATGTTTTCTAAACCCGATAAGAGGGAGACTGTGACGCAATGATATGTAAAGCATAGGAGGGGCAGACACGTTGATTCTAGGAGCATCTAACCTTTGACGGGACATTATACAAGACAACCACAATATAGTAGGTAACCCATAGACCGATGAGGTCCACAATGCTAGCAGAGGATAGGGTAGCCTTAAGACTGTAGAGATTGAATGTATATCTCGAGTCCATATTAAGCAGGGGGGAGTTCTCTCAAGGCCGTAGGGAGAGATGGAGACATGCTTAGGTTACTAACTATCCTGTCAGGTATGGCGAATCTAGGACCTCCAGGGTCCAGCTCAAGAAGAGGAGGCTGCAACTATCATAAAGAAGAAGCGTCGACAACTATACGACGGCTTGTCATGTACATCCTAGACCCCGCACAACTATGACAAACTCGCCCGCTACTGTCAACATCCGTTAGATCGTGACGACAGTTGTGTCGATCGCAGAATATGATATTATGCTTATTTGTAAATGATGGATGTTAAAATATGAATTAATTTCTTTCCAATAACGATAAGGTGTACTTTACAGAAGCGCTTGTCTATTATTTCAGCTATCATCTACTCGGTTGGGATTATCATCTCAACGTGATTTCATACGAGATATTCTTTGTCTGCTCTCCTCACGTGATCACCATAGCTCATTCTAAGGTTGGAAACAAACAAGAGAAAGTTCATGCACATATGGTAGTCAAATCAATCAGTGGGCTGTATGCAAGCGACTCGTGAAATGAGGCACAAGGTGTGGTTGGATGAGTCGTGCTGCACGGAGCCGACCGTCCCACCTGCAGCGAACGTCGGCATTCGGCGTTAATAGTTCACTTTCGGTTGGACCGGCTGTGGCTGCGCTGAGGGCCTTGGGCGACAACGTCGGACTCGTAATTTCGCAGTTGCTGCTCGTACCTGGGGTTGCGAAGGAACTTGGGCACGGAATCCTGCAGATACATTGTCAGCGCCCGTCGGCGTGGCGAGAAAGGGGTTTAGTCAAAACTTACACTAGCCATCAGCTTGAAAACCGCGTTTTGGGCGTCCTCAAAGAGGGACGTCACTTCTTGGAGGGTGTCGATCATAGCAACGTCCTGTCCAACGGCCTTAGTCATTCGGGTGGAAAGGTTGTTGCGGAGCTGGTGGTCAATGTTGAGCTCGCAAGGAGATCCGGGGGCCAGGAAAGCGTTGTAGATCCCGTACGCTTGGGCCATGATCTCCTCGACGCCGTCCATCGAGGTGCTGCTGGGGTTCTTCTGGGCTGCACGGGTCACGGCCTTGCAGTTGTGGAAGAACTCATCCACATCCTGGTAGAACGACAGGTTCTCCTCGCAGTGGGTATCGCGAAGGTTCTCGCGGAAGAGCAGGCGGAGTGCAGGGTCAGTGAGAATCTTGTCGAGTCGCGGAGTGTTGGAGTCACATGTAATGCCGTTTCGCTGCGAAGGGGCACCGCCTTCGCTTTCCAAGGCACGTCCCCTCGAGCCAGTACCGTTGAGAAGATCCTTGCCGCGCTGCGAGATTTGGTAGATAGCATACTTGGTGGGCTGGAACACGTTGTAGCCAGGGTTCTGGGACATGTAGGCTCGATCTTGGGCGACAACCTCAACCAGATCGTACTCGACGAAAAGAGAAACAATCTCAACAGTCTCGCGGCGATCGACAATAGTGGAGCAGTTCATTAGCCAGTCAGTAGCAGCCTTACCAGTGAAGGTGTCGAGATACGACTTTCCGTTCACCTTACGCTCAGCAGCCATCTTAACACCGGTCAGGCCTTCCCTGTAATCGTCTAGCGAGTCCGAATCAGCGGCGTTGACCGTTGACTTGATGTTTCGGCCCTCAGAACCAACGAACCGGCGGAAAATGACCTCGATAGTACCCTGGTCCTGAAGCAGCTTATCCGTTTGGGCATCTCGCTCGAAGAGCACTAGCTGGGTCGCACCGAGGTTGGCCAGTTCTGTCACCTGCTTCTGCTGAATGCCGTTTCTCGAGCAGAACCTATCCAGCACAGCGACTCCTTTAGGCGTCAATTGCCAGACGGATCCCTTCATGTTGTATACCTGCTGGTACTTGTCGTCAGCAGCCTCAATAAAGCGGGCCTCAACGAAGCGCTGGTAGATAGAGCGGGCCATATCCTTAGCCATAGAGAAGGTATTCGTTGTGGTGGTGGTGATAATGCGAGAAGGGTCCTTGGGATCGGGCATGCGGTTTGACTGGGAGAACTTGAGTGATCCAAGGTTGTTGATAGCATCATCGGAGAGGAAGATATACTCGACCTTAGTCAATCGGACGCGGTGGGCAGAAAGCGGCAACAGACTGACGACGAGAGTGGAAAAGAGATTCTCGAAGTCCTGTTGTGCAAACAAAGTCAGCCATCGCTCAGAAGAGAACGGGTACGGGAGCTGCGTTTCAGACGGTGGCGTCTCATGCCCGCGCGGAAGGCCGCAGAGCCACCGGCGCACAAAAAACGGCGAGGCAGATGTAAGTATCGTAGAACCATGGTACATGCCCTTGTGAAAGGCCGGTCATCGTCCGTCATGCGCAACAAGCGCGAAGATGTTTGATGCATCTTGTTTGCCGTGGCGGGAGGAGCCTTGATGGGAGGAGGTTGGTTTGGGTCTGTGGTCGCGTAGGGTTGGGACAGCCGGTGGTTCGCCGTGGGCGCCTGGGAAGCGAGGGCGCTATCCAGGTTGGAGCTGGACAAGAGAGATTGGTTCGAGGCGCTCTTGAAGCGGTACTTCCTGTCCGGGCTGGAGGGCTCAGAGCTGGGGTTGGAGCTGGGCAGGAGGGAGAGTCTCGAAAGGGTGCTGTTGGATTGCCGGTAGCGGATCGAGGGCTCCGAGATGGTCGCGATGGCGTTCTGGGTTCTGTCCAAGATCGATGATCGCTGGTTGAGTGTCGAGACGGAGACGGTATGGCGGTGGGAGTGGGGGTAGGCTGGAGGAGCAGCGGTGGCTCCTACAGTACGAAAGACCCTTTAACGTCCCTAGCATCCCAACTCAGTCCATCTCCATACACCAGCCAACGTCTTGGACATGAAGCCACCCTCACCCTCACTCTCCATCCTATCCTCATTCATTTACTCCCAGCTAAGAAGGTCTATTCGAATTTGTACAGATATCATTGCGATTGTGCCTTGGTGGCACGGCTATCGCTGTAGGGTAGCTAGGGTCAATGTGATTGTACCTTCCATGCTTGTGGACCTTCAAAAGCGAGCCACGCCCATTCTTTTTCCACCTTCAACTCGGTGGCGGGCGCCCATCACCCGGGTTTACTATGCCTGGTGCCACCAAGCCCTGCATGAAGATCAATCTTGAGAATTGAACCTCATAGCGACGGGCATCTTGGCTTAGTGGCTATTGCACTTCCCAGCCAAGGCAAGAGGTAATGCGCACTTCACTAATGCATCGCGGTAGTCCCGCTTACTAAATGAGACAGTGGCGCTAGATTTGTGCTTGTGACACGGCTCGTAGCTGTGCTGTATAGAATAAAGCGTTGGGAAATGAGACGTTACATTGACTAAAACTCTTAGTTTATGCAAGCTGTCTACGAAAAGCATAAGCAATGACACTGACATGACGTTCTGTCGTAGACAGCGATGGAGGCCCAATAAGCCCATATAATAGAGATAATGAATGAGCCTTATTTTCTACATAGGGAATCGCGCATAGAGCGCCGTTTAGTACGTAGGAGCGGAGCCCCTATTATGGGTCTGCTCCCGTTCGTCCTTAACCAATCATATCTAGCTACCTTGCAACACGTTCCCACCTATAGACCCTGTCTGTCCACGCTTGGTCTTAAGGAGAAAGGGAGTAGACTAAACCGCGATAGAATGAAAGCCACGCTATGTTTCAGAGAGCTGGCAGCTCACGCGTGGGACGTTGGGAAACAATCAAGGCTACGAGAGCATGACGACATCATCGGTCGATCAATGCCGTTTTACCAATGCCGTTTTACCAATGCCGACAGCTTTCCAGGCTTGAGGTTCTGAGCCTTGTCAAGTAACTGTGAGGACAGAGTGGCCTTGAATGAGAAATAGTGACTGCTGAACAAGTCGGTGCGTTGAACAGGACAATCCAGAGTTAGCGCGTCGATCATGTTCTGGTCTAACCTATAAAAGTAACCACATGGTGATCGCGGGGTATTCCGTCCGTCCCAAAAGCCCTAGGTGTTAAGCCGCGGCATGGGCCGAGGCTTGCGCAAGGGCAGCCATGATGACGAAAGTTGGTTCTACGTTGCCACATGGACATCCGTAGTCTCCATTGTGGAGAATATCCCCCTTTGCCCCAATCGTGAGCCATTCACTCTGCGGTTATTAATGGGCTCGTCAAGGCTGTGAAGAAGTCTTTACACGCTGCGCAGTGCAACGGCCCAGCAAGCACCCACCCTCCCCGGGGGTCACAGAGCACAATGGGGCAAATCGGCGTTGAGTCGACACGGCCGTAAACAAAGGACACGTTCTCAGTAGTCTTCAAGGAAAACCAGGTGTGTTGATCTTAGCTACTTCCTCTCGGCATTACATTATCTGGCCCCGTGGTGGTCGAGCGTAAGCCTCTCGCTGCAACTGCCCTGGAAAGGCAATGCCACGGGCGCTGGCCGCAAGCCTCCGTCTGAGCGTCTAGGGGAGCTGGCGCGACCGATGACAAACTTGCTAGTATGGCCAACTGTCAGAACTGGTGGGTTGACAAATCGAGGAATTATGATCCCTTTAAGACAGCCCTACTTTGAAAAGAGCCAGGGCCAATGCGGTTGGGGGAGCCTAGAGTGATAATGCCCTTTTTGATTGGGAACCTGACTAGATTAGTAGATGTGTCAAGTGCCAGGATAAGGGATTATCGACCACGGGATCCCACTCTTCGAGCTGTCCAGATTGAGCTTGTTTATCCACGTGGTGGTGTGGTGTTCAAGTTTCTCAGACCTCTCGACCCCATCCCATCGGCAATATATATGGACGTCGTCACCTCCCCTTCCGCTTTTGGTGCTGCCTGTTGCGGAGGCAATATACTTTCACCAGATTAATTACCTACCTCTTCCTTTTCCGAGAAACCTCGGCGCCTTTTTGATTCCCGCTTCCCACGTTTCTTCAATCGAAAATATGGCTGAGTCGGGCTCGACGCAGGCTAAGACCCAACCCAAGGCCAACCTCAATGGCCTCGGCATCTTCTGGATCACGTTTGCCCTCTCCTGGACCTTCATCGTCGCAGGCGGCATGATCTTCCTATGGCGTCGTCGCGATATGCCTATCCTGAGGATTCGAGGTCTACCGCTGTCATCCCTTGCCATCACATTGCTCCATCTCTACTGGGGCGCCGTCCAGACCGGGTATGTCTATTTCCGTCTCACTACACCCGAGGTAGAGTACTGTATCATGAGCATTTACCTCCCCTGCGGCATCGCTCTATTCCATGCCTCCAACAGCCGGTTTCTCCATGTCGCCAAAGCCCAGAAGGAACTCTTCGCCTCGGACGCTGCTTCGATTAATAGCAAGCGTGCCAAGGCTAAGTCCCTCATCGGCCGCTTTCGATCTCTCAACTACACCAGAAAGATCCTGATCCTCGTGGGCGCGGGCATGAGCTGTCAGGTAACACAGCTTGCAGGTGGTATCACCGTACAATTACTGACCCGAAAACCAGTTCTTTCTTACAGTCTTCATGTACCTTATTTCGAGAAAGTTCCATCCCTCCTTCGGCATCCCGGGCACCGAGGTTACGGGAACTGAAGACTTTTAGAAGTCTCAAATGGGCAGGGGCTGGGAATGGTAGTACCGACTATTTCCCCAAGTAACCTGAGTACTAATATTATTCTAGGTGGCCATCTGTCTTTTGGCAGTTCTTCTGGGCATGGATCGTCGCTCTATACATTCTCTGGTACGCTCGTTGAATCAATGATATACTAGGATGGAGGACACAAACTATTGCTTGCTGCCTTTTGAGGTTAGTATCCCTTAATATAAGATGGCTGACTCTATGCTCACTCTCAAGAAGTCTTCATGCTACCCCTATGTGGCTTATTGCTTTATATGTCCCTGCCATGTCGGTGGTTAACAGAGTCTGGGTTCCTCCTCAATGGTAAGCTATCCTAATATTTATGTGTTTACAGAGGATATGCCGAGCTCACTCTAATTAAGGATTGCCATCTCGATCCTGATGCTTGAGATCTTCACTATCTTCTTTCCTTGTTGGGAAGTCTTTAGATACTAGACTCTACGCTAAGAGACCCTCGACTCTATCAATCAATGGCAACTTAATAAGAGTGTTGGCAAGACCTCGGGGTCTATTCCCACAGGCTCCACGAAGGTGGCTGGCTCATCGCTGACTGTATGGTCTAAGGGTGACTCTATCGAGAACAGTGTTGGCGAGAGTATCCTCACCATGGAAGCTCTCGAGTGCGTCCTTGAGCGAAATCCCGAGCCTCTCTAGAAGTTCTCTGCCCTCCGAGATTTTTCTGGAGAAAACATTGCCTTCCTGAGAGCCGTCGCTGAGTGGCAGTCTTCGCTTCCTCTTGCGGTTCTCGACCCGGAGAAGATCAAGGATGATGTGGCCCAGGAACTTGTCCGCGAACGATTCAACAGCGCTCTCAGAATCTACATCAACTTCGTCAGCTCCCACCATGCCAAGTTCCAAATCAACCTTTCCTCACAAGATCTCAAGAGGCTCGCGTCTGTTTTCGAGCCGTCCGCCCGCATTCTCTATGGCGAGAAGCACGAGATTGATCCCGCTACGCCCTTCGACTCCTTTGAAATGACTAGCAAGGTCAAGTCGTCTTCTGGGTCATGTCGCGGCTCCGAGACCGGCAACATGACTGGATCGATCAACGAGACGGAAGCCATTGGAGACAAGGCCCTCTACTGGGGTGACATCCCTGATGGCTTCGATGCCACCATTTTTCATGACGCTGAATCAAGCATCAAGTATCTTGTTTTCACCAATACCTGGCCAAAGTTTGTTAAAGATCGACAATCCTCGATTAACTCAAACGGTAACCTTGAGGCAGGAAATGCCATTCCTGCTACCCCTTGAGCGTGGTTAGGAGTTAGGGAGGTAGGGTTATTTAGGCCTTCTGGGACGGATCTTGACGCTTTTATATATGAATGTAGCTAAACTGATAAATCGATATACATTTCTCTTGCCGTTTCTGATTCCCTTTGTAATTCTGTGAAGTATGTAATTTATAATGCCCTTAAGTTGTCTAAACAGTCTTATTCTTTGACGTGGCACGCAGCCCTACCTTTGCTTCCCAAGACGCCGCCATCTCTATAACTGTAGCTAATATAATGCCTGGCTTGTGGTAATAATTATGATGCAAAGTACTCGTAACGGTATATTATAAGTCTCTTCTCTTAGAAAATTTGTCCTGCATTTTATATAAAGTAAGGCTCTGTCTATATGATTTTCTGGTCATCCTGCAGAAGCGACGATTTCTATATAGCTTTGCGTGTATCTATCAGATTCTATGAGTTTCCATATATACCTGTGACGACAAATAAAATGCGAAATAACCAAGACATAATGCCATTAAAACTGGCCAAAGATTAATAAATTCAGGATAACTTGCTTACTCTATCCAGCGTGTTGAGACAGCTGGACATACTACTCAGCCCTCTCTGAGAGCTAAGGCAAGTAATCAAAACTTAGAACCTAATTGCCCCTTCCAAGTCCGGAAATCCCTTTTAGCGTCAACACGCTATTGCTACATCCTCGGCTTATACACACCATTCACCCTCATTTTCAAGCAGAGCTCTTTTTATGTTAGGCATTTATTGCAGGCAATTATATTACTAGTGCCTGTGGTATTAATAAATAGGTCGAGGTCGTTATCACATAAGATATTTTGGACAACTATATTAGCTGAGGCTACAGCTTTGGTGCGAAGACGACTGTATAAGAGGGAAAGATTAGGATTAGTATATAAATCGTCGATAATAACCAGGCCTGCAGCAAGGCCGCCATTGGTCTGTCGCTCGATGAGGTTGTCCCAGACCTTAATATTAATAGCACTGTCGAGGATGATTCTATAGGTGCTAAAGGCAATATCTGTCGGCAGTTATCAACAGCTAGAATTTATTACGCTAATATAGTTATGTGAGACCATGACGCTATCAACGCTAGGATCAACAAAGACGCCGATACAACTGTCGCTAATATTATTATATTGCACATTTGCGCCCGGGGTCTGGATATAAAGTGCGACGTTGTACTCCGAAATGTAGTTGTTTGAGGCCTGGACACCGGCCATATCATCCACGCAGATACCGATGAACCCCAGCTTCATCGATGAGACCACGGTACTATCAACGACTCGGGTATTGGTCGAGCCAGCCGTGAGGAACCCGTATAGTTGGCCGTTGATGAGCCTATTTCCCGTCACCCGAGCGTTCTGGGCACCGACCACGGCTATATTCGCGCCGGAGAAGTTGCTGACTTGGAAGCCGGTAATTAACACGTCCTTTACCGGCTCTCCTACTGAGAGGACCTTCCAGTGTTCGACCAGGAACGGGGCCAAGTCAATCTCAGACCCCATTACGCAGATGCCCGCCTCCATACCGAGACCAGTTAGGTTAGAACAGTGATTTGTAATAGCAGTAGTAGGGGGAATGAGGATGGCGCCCAACCCGACTAGGGCAATGCCGTCTTTCTCGATTGTCAGCTGCTCGGCCTAGATGCCGGCTTTAACGAGGATTCGACCCCCCCGAGAAGCCGCGTTAATCGCGTCCTGAATGAGCTGGCCAGGCTGGATATGTATGGTGCGGCAGTCCTTGTTATCATAGCGTTCCTTACTGGCTTCATAGTCCTTGCCCTTGTGTTCCTTATCCTTATCTAGATGTTGGCAATGCTACTTTTCCACCCCAACACACCTATTATCCTTTATCCATAGATAACAGTAACGCCTATTTTCCTACTTATATTAGCAATTGTCCCTGACTGAAGATGTTAGCAGTTTATGCATTTAATTTTAAGAAAGCAGATAAACCTTAGAGGCCAGCAGCATTATCAGGGTTTTGAAGGGGGGAAGCAGTTATAAGGCTAAAGAAAACGCTAATAGTAACTCCCAAGTTCAGCTTTATAGTAGTTAAATTTTCTAAGTAGATAAGTAATAACTAGTTGTGTATAAGCCTTTTAACTCTTAAGAGGGAGAAGGTAGAAGATAAATATAATAAATAATTAAACTTAAGATAAGAAGAAGATAATTATATATATCCATAAGAAAAGTATCTAATTCTCTTCTTAATTACTGCTAAATAGCTATTAGTAACTAAGAATGATTTTCCACAGGTCTCTAATTTTTAAGTAAATATATGTAACTATAACTTCACCCCTCTTCTAAATTAGCTATCTTGTTATTTATACTCCCCAGTAATAAACAGTCGAGAAGGAATGTAGACTTTGCAAATATAAAAATATCATAACCTACAGATAGACTTGCTTATTATTATATAAATATTTCCAGCTTCCTCTAATTATTATAGAGCCAATCTTTTTATTCTTCTGAATTTGTAGGTTATACAGATAAAACTAGCCTATATAGATAGAGGGAGGTAAGCGTTACAGAAACGTCAGCGAGCGTTAATTATGCTTTTTCATGACGGTATTATGCAACAGTGTCACGATATAGGGTTCGATTCAGGTCGGCTGGTAAAGGCCACACTGCATATTGACATCCAATATCCAACCCCAACAAGCCCCATGTTTAGCCCGCTCCCCTCTCAGAACAAAACCCAAGAACAGAAAGAAAAGCAAAGAAAAGACCACTCGACGAGGATTTCGAGAGCATGCATCCTAATAAAAGACTACGTGTCTCGATAGGTTATCCCAGAATGCTGGCGAGAAGTTAGGGCGTTCACTTGACTTCACTCTCTTGACCTTCCTCGCTGGGGGAGTGTCCTGGGAGAGCTCGTCTGCGCCCTGTGGCTTTCGATTCGGTGGTCTCGCCATGAACGACCATTGTTAGGCGGTCCCCGTCTGAATGACCACTTCAACTTGATTCGAACTCCTCCATCGCAGTGGCTTGGCAGCGGCCACGGTACTGGATAGGCAAGATAAGCGATTGCCTTGATGAGCGTATCATTCATTGGAGGGCTGCATCTGTCCAGGTTATCTGCTCTGCCTTCCACTCTGTCGAGGCACAGCCATCAATTACAGAGATGCCGTGCCGTCTCCCTGCATCGACATAACAGAGCACAGGGGTACCGCACTGTGGCACCTAAACAGGAGCCTTCCTCCTACGTCTGCAGTTGGCTTGCATCATGGGAATCACAGGCGTGGAGCTATGCAACTGCAGCTGTGGGACATCTGCGGGCCTGGACGCAAGTCGCAGCGATATACGAAGGTTGGCGACAAAATTTGTGCTCACCCTTTGCAATGCTTACGGCACCGCCCTTCAAAATAACAACTATCCCGAGGGAAATCCTTCCAGGCCTTGATCTACGCTGCCTGCAGCTTCTTATCTGGGAGGCGGCTCTTAGAGGTTATGATAGTCTTTAGCCGGGCCCAAGACGGCTCGATTATAGAGAGGTCTAGAGAGTTAGGAGGCCATTGAAGATGGTAGCCTGACTCTTCCTAAAACTTTAAATTCCAGTATGATGCATGTGCTGGCGTGTTATCTTCTTCTAGGACTCAGTTATCATCTTCAACCTCTTGGGCCATACATAGTAAGGTCCCTTATAATGATAACTGAAGCAGCCCTAGAACATGAACTCTATCCGGCCTCTCCAACGTCTTCAAATAACATGCTTTTCGTGGGCCTCATTAAGCAGCCGCCACAGACGTATTTTACATCATACAGAGCCCTACACAACAGAGGTCTCATCAAATCAAATCACTTTCATCTAGTCCTCAAGGGTCTAGTGGCGATGGTCCCAGCACCAGGCTAATCGACGTCACATCTGTAATGAATTAAGCCCCGGCTTCGTCGTCAGCTTACAGGGCTTGTAGCCCTGTTCTTGAGAAATCGTGCCACACTTCGGCCTGAGATTTTGATGGGGCCAACAGTGCCACCAGCAGCGGCAGCGGCAGCAGCAGTTATCGTAGAAGAGGTAGTCGTAGCGACGGTCGTAGGAGACGGGGCAGTTGTAGTGGAAGGGGCAGCTGTGCCGGCGGCGCGTTTTCTTGAGGGCTGAATTCTTGAGGGCTGAATTCTTGTCTTTGGCTTCGGAGGCGGCTTGCCTAGCTCAAGAGCAATGTCGTGACTTGGATATTCCCTCGTAGTGCTATTCTTAGTGATAATAGCTATCGTCTGGGCAGCGATGTCCCCTACGAGCAGCAGCGGTCTTCCAGATCGGGGACGGGCAATAACGTACGCCTCAAGCACTAGCTGCCCTTCTACCCATCCTTTCTCCCTGGCCTTTCGGAATAGGCAGGTCAATTGACTTGGTAAGATGCCTGTAATCTTGAAGATCTCGTCCCTAGTGTATCCCTCGCCCTTCAGGGCTAGGGCTGAGGTACGGGTGCTATTATTGTGGTTCTTAGTCTTTGGTATCGTTAGTGGGGCCTTGCTGCAGGTCTTGGGTTGTGCCTTGGGTCTCACTTGTATGGTAGAAGAGAACCAGGAAACTCGCTCACGGGGGACGTAAAACTCCCCCAAAAAATCAGGGGAAAAGTCCCCTAATGACAATAATGATGAGAAAAAGCAATATACAAAAGACATAGATAAATGAGGTTGTATTAGTGGCTTAAGCTGTGTTGAATGCGCGATGCTCATACTGTTGCACTGTGGCGTTTAGAGAACGCCATCAAAATAATCTAGCATCCAAGTCGGCCACAATGAGCCCGATGGGCATTGTCACAAATCAAAGGGGCCGCATCACGCTGTGAGTGTGCTTTTTAATCTTAAAAGCCGCCTCTTCAGTTTTTCTCACCTACTCACTCATAGCCGATGCTCCGCAGGGAGATATGGCTCATGAGCCGGGGACGCGACACGCTGAGGCGTGTTGGTCCGCTCTAGGAGCGCTCGCTGTAAGGTGGTTGCGTCAGAAGTGTTATTCTACACGGAAGCGCTGCTCCACCCGGAGCAATGACCCACCCGGAAGCCTGCTCCACTCAGAAGCGGTGTCCCATTCATTTGAACGGGCTTCCGTACCAAGGTTGGCGACAAAGTTATCCTCACCTTGTTACCCCACCAATATACCGGATAGGCTTAGCGGCTCCCTCCCCCTCTTCTGCCGCCTTGCCTATCGGCTCCGTCCCATCCCACCGTTCACTCTTCCATCCCTCATCCGCTGCTGGCGTCGGGGATCGCACGGTTGGTGCTGATCCAGAGGTCGGTTGCCTTTGTTTACCTGTCATTTTCTCTCCTTGCAGTGCACTTTCGAATGGGTAGGAGCCTACGTACCTCCCAACTGAAGCATTCCATCTCTCCTCCCGCACAGTGAATAAACCCTCGCGTTATTTTCAACATCGTCTCCTGGCCTTTTCATCTCTGCATCTCCATCTCTGCGCTTTCGTCCTGAAGAGCGAAGAGCGAGAGTCCTCCGACATCGATCGAGCCATCCCCTCCCCTCCAACTCCTCTCAAGGCCTCGAATTGTACCCGCACCAAACAGCTGAGCGACGAGGTCAGCTGAAAGTGCCTTGTCAGCTGTGATTGGTGTGTTCCCAAAGGATTCATCTGTATGGCCTATCCCCTGCAAGATTTCAGGGACTAGCAGGGCTGTGCTGGAAATGGCTTGACATGGGTCTTCAGTTGAGGCTGTGGATACCTTGAACTCGTCAGCCGCTGAGTGCAACCAGCATCAGGGATCAAGCCAGTTGTGACCTCCGGCAATCTGAAGTGCTGCTGGAAGAAACGAACATTAGGTCACACTACTTTGTGATTCGACGGTCAGCCCAACATTTCCCATTGTATGCCCACGCTCGGCGACTAATCCAAAGTTTTTATTGGTCTTACCATGAGGGCGACTTCAAAGTCACCGCCAAGCTGAACAGGCAAACATGCATCAGTCATTCCGTTTATTGGATACTAGTTTAGAAATCGAGAACTTCAACAAAAGGTGGTGTGAACAATACCACTCACCGGCATTCCCTCGATAGCGCAATTAAAGGCTTGCGCACGGCACTCATCCCCGCGCAAAGGTTCTTGAGGTAGCGGCAACTTCCGCGGCCTCAGCGTCTAGCGTTGCGATCTCTTTAATATCATATCCGCACCGGCTGTCACAAGGGCCTGTCAGTTCGATTGCCGGGGTCGCCAAGCTTCCGTGGGGCATTTACCGGGAAAAAAAGTGTTGCTTCCGGTGACAATGATGACCCGCACAGCCTTATCCGCTGCAGCTAGCAATAGCTTGTCCAGAAAGGCTGAGATAGCTCGTCAGAGAGCGCATTTCGCTTCGTGGGTCGGTTGAGGGTGGGGACTCGTACTCCTTCAGCCGGAGTGAAGTCTCGTACTAATTGTTGACTCATGGTCAAGTCCCGAAAGAAGCAAAGAAGAAAGATAGCGTGTAGAATGCTGAGGGGGCACCCGGAGTCAGCTGAGGCGAGGAGCTTGGGACGGCTAAATTGCCAATTGGAGATGACTTTTTGAGGATACACCAAGGATCAACTCTGCCGGTGTCTGTTGGCTCAAACACTTGTGCGACCTCCAAAATTTGGGCTCAGAATGTCGATCAATTGACACGTAGTACGGCCAGACATGTCTTTGACCGACTCGGCATACGACATGTACACGGCTCGGCGCATACAGCTAGCGGCACGCCACGAGGCTATGTGCTCGCCTTGCCGTCAATTGAATTGAAGGATTTTGGCGGAGGAGGTTGGTCCGCCGTGTCCGCATTACTAGAGTAGGAAATGCATGTTTGCGACCTGTCTCTATTGGGTTGAAGCAGGTCGCTATTACCGTTAGTGAAGCTCGTCCTGTCGTGGCGGTGACGGGCCCCGGGGGGGGGGGTGTGACTTGTCACGAATGGGCCAAATCGAGCAATCTCAACCCCTCTTTGTCCAACTAAAAACGTCACTAACCCCTTCGTATTCCAGCTATCCCGCTTCGTCTTCGTGCCGGAACAGGGGCTGGAGGAACTAGCATTGACAGGAGGGTCCGGCTGACAATCGCCGCGCTAGTCGAGCCGTGCAGTTCATGGGCACGCTAGCCATTGTCAATATTACGCTAGTTCAAGAGCCTGCACGTTGTCAGAGTACATCCATACACGATGCTGCAGTTCCCGGGCGTTGAAGATGTCTATCAAGTCTTCTTGATCCTGGACTCGTGAGGCTACTATGATCCATGCGGTTAGTATGGCCACTTGGCAGTCGCGTACACGCTAAACCTCATCCTAGGATGAGAGGTGGTTCCATTCATTAACATTGTCATGTGGCCGGTGTCACTTGCGCCTGTTTTCCACTATCGAGTTAATGGCTCGCCATGTATGGGACAAAGGAAATGACGACAAGTCCGCATGAGAGAACGAGAAAAGAGAGAGGCTAGAAAGCCATGAGTTACACCACTTAAACCTGGTCCGATGACAGTGAAAAAGTTCTAGTCGATCTGCCCAAGCTACACTCCTACACTCCCCAAGCTTATCTTGTTTGTCCATTTGATTTTGATACCATCACCGTTAAAACTGCAATCTTAATTTCATCTCACCTTAGCCTCTCTAAACAAGAACAAGGCTTCATAATATGCAGAACTTCTCAGAACGGCTTGAGTCCGGCATGAGGCCCATGCCTCTCTCCTTTAGCTACGGGGTGTTGGACACCCCTCGCTTTTCAACAGTTACCGCAGCCTTCCAGCATTATGTAGCCGTGAGGGCTGGTGCCATCGCTACTCGGGACCTCTCAACCCAGCCTCCATCCCATATCACGCATGGTGAGCTTGCCCCGAGAAGTGCCAGTCTTGCACGGAAGCTGCAAGGTCTGGGCGTGGTACCAGGACATCGTGTACCCCTTGTCGTCAAGAGTGGTATCGATATGCTCGCAGGTATTACGTCCATTCTTGGCTCTCGTGCTCAATATGTGCCTCTTGATGGAATGATTGTTTCCGATGCAACCCTGAAGTTTGTTTTAGAGCAGACCCGAGGGCATACTGTCTTGGCTTTACGGTCTACCAGTCATCGGCTATCTCATATTGATAAATTCAATGTTGTCGCCATTCACAATTTGGAATATGTCGATGTTACTCGCCAAAATGTTACCAACCTCGTCTTTCAGTTACTCAGTGATCTTGGTATCGCACCTGGTACACGAGTCGGTGGAGTACTCAATATCAGCTTTAATATAGGTAAGTATTCCAAGGTTGTTGTCAGTTGTTTACAGTGTCGACTCATACTATTGCAGCCGCATGGGAGGTACTCGGTTGTCTTGTGAATAGAGGCATTCTAATCCCTCATGGCCCAGGCTGGCGAAAAGCCTTACAAGAGGTAAGACAGATTGACCACCAGGAATTGATCAGAAGTTGACGTCTAATCACGATGCAGGTTGACGTCCTTGTGTGTGCCCCAAGCATATTGGCCAAATATAACCCTGTGCGCTATCCTAATAGCAAAGTTGTGGCTACAGCTGGCGAGCCTTCATCCCAACGGTATATTTCACTTAAATCATATTTCCTAGTCTAGATCTGTATCTGCATATTAATCCTTGCCTAGACTTGCTGATCTATGGGCCTCGCACTGCACGTATTACAATTGCTGTGGCCCTTCAGAGACCATCATTGTCAACACCATGCACAAGCACCAAACCTACCCGCCATTGTCTATTGGCGCACCAACACCAAACAATAATGTTCCCATACTTAATGATAACAGCCAGCCAACCGATATTGGTGAGATTGGTGCCATGTGGGCTGGCGGGTTAGGGGTCACCCGTGGCTATGTCAGTTTGCCAGAGAAGACAGCCGAGAGATACGCTCACGATCCCTTTATGAACGATGAGTAAGTATATGAGATATACGGGCGGATTCCCCACGTGCTAACTGGGGTAGGTCTAAAATATATAACACGGGGGACCTTTGCAGCTGGAACGTCGATGGGTCCGTTCACATCCTAGGTCGCGTTAGCGATAGAGTCAAAGTCAGGGTAAGAAGAATTGAAATGCATTGACTACACTTCAGAGACGCTAAGACTCAATTGCAGAGATTTAGAGAGGAGTTTGATGGTGCAGTCGCTTCAATGGACTCCTGTCGAGCCGTCAACCGAGCCGCAGCTCTGCCCACTGAGGGAGAAATTCATGGTTTTCTCACTCCAAAAGACTGCGATCTTGGGAAGGTGGTAGATCATGTTAAGAGCCGTCAACCATACTATGCCATCCCAACTCATTTCGACTTGCTGGACACATTCCCCATGACTGTCAATGGAAAGATTGACAAGAAAGCCCTCAGAGCTAGAGACTCCTTGGCTGAGAAGAGCTCTCCCACCGAGGAGAAGACCCCTACAGAAGTCATTGCTTCTCCAAAGCCTGCGGTCATCAGCCACTCGCGATCCGACAGCTCGACTTCAAGCCTCACACAAGTCAGCTATACCTCCGAAAAATCAGAAGCCACTGTTGTTGAAGAGAGCATCGACCTCGAAGCGGCGCTTCCGGAAAAGAGGCAAAGGAAACGTATGCGGGGTCTCCGACATCGCATCCTCATTGTGTATCGCCTCTTGTTCACTCTGGTTGGCATCTTCAACATCGCAGCTGCTCTCGCAGTCATTCTCTCTGGTATCCAAAGAGAATGGCTAGGTACGGTTCCAGCGATCAACCTCGCCCTTGCCGTTCTTATTCGACAGGACTTCATCATCAATGCCCTATATACGATAACGTGCAGTATACCCAAGTCCTGGCCACTCGCTATCAGATCTCGATGCGCCAAGATTTATCACCTTGGTGGCGTTCACTCTGGCGCTGCAATTAGCGCCGGCGCCTGGCTCCTCGCTTCCAACATTGGCAATGTTGTGTGCATGACTTCAAAATGCTCTAACTGGGGCCATCAGTCGCTGGCTGTAAATATCATCTCTTGGATGCTTTTGGCTCTCTTCTTCGTCATGTTTGTGATGGCGTATCCATCAGTCCGAAAAGCACACCATGATTTATTTGAGAAAACGCATCGCTTTGTTGGATGGGGCATGCTTGGTCTCTTTTGGGCCCAAGTGGTTCTTACCTATAATGATACTAGGGACTTAAGCACATCTTTGGGCAGCACCTGTGTACAGTCAGCCTCATTCTGGCTCCTCACTATTACCACTGCCAGCATTGCTTTGTCTTGGGTTTTTCTACGAAAGGTACCTGTTCAAGCAGAAATCCTCTCTGATCACGCCATTAGACTTCATTTTGACTATACAGTCCCAGTCAATGGGTCATTTACTCGCTTGTCTAAGCATCCTCTGCTCGAGTGGCATTCCTTTGCCACCATCCCAACTCCAGAGCCTGCAAACAACCGCCCTAAAGGCTATTCCCTCATTATCTCAAACGCAGGCGACTGGACTAAGGCAATGATAAAAGAGGAACCGACTCATATTTGGACTCGTGGAGTTCCTACGTGCGGCGTTATGCGTACCACTACTCTCTTTAACCGTATTATCCTAATTGCAACTGGATCTGGCATCGGACCTATGTTAGGCCACATTCAAAGTCTTTCTTGCCCGATACAGCTAATTTGGTCAACATCTCGACCAGAGCAAACGTTTGGAAAGGATCTGTGTAACGTTATCAAGGCCCAGATACCTAACGCAGTTATCCATGATACCAAGAGATTTGGCCGCCCAGATCTAGTTAAGATGGGTTATAATCTTGTGCAAAGTTTCAAGGCGGAGGCTGTGATTATTATTGCAAACGAGAAGGTTACTAAGAAGGTTGTTTATGGTCTTGAGACTCGGGGTGTTCTTGCATATGGGGCGATTTGGGATAGCTGAGGTGGATTATTAGATGGTTTAAATGCTTGATTTGTTGTTGTAGAGATTATAATTATGCTTGATTAAGAATCACATGCGAACGATGACTGGGATGAATTCACCCTTAACGCACAAATACAACGCTGGCCTATATAAAGCGACATTGTACTGGGCGTTTCTAACCTTTGTTTTTTTATCCCGGCAAGTATTGCACGCATGTGCTGTTATGATCCGCGCCCTCTCTGGGATTCTGTCAACACATTAGCTATCAACATGCTGGTTCTAACACGAGAAGTAAAGGATTGAATTTAATACTAGCTGCCGACATCCTTCCCATCGCGTTGTTGTTCATGTCGTTTGTATCCATGATCTCTACAAAAGGCTGTCTCGAGTACGGGTCGATCCATTGGTAGTCATCAGGGTAGTTGCCTGAGACCGTGTGATGCTCGCCGACAATAAAGGTTGTTTCATTGTCGATGCTGCTGAGCTCGTGACCAGTGAGAGAGGCAGCTAAGTGGTCCAAATGAACAGCGTCGAGATGTTTAAAGGGCTGGCTTTGTGACAAAGCCGTCCGGAGGGTGGTCTGATGGATGAAGATGGTTAAGAAAACCAAGGCAGCGCCACCGAGTAAGAATAGGATTCGGCGTTTTTGACGGACGGGCTGTAGAGTCCCTGCAAGGAATGTGAACGCCTTATAAAGTCGATCGTCGATACTGGTGTCTGTATAAGAGGTTTCGTTGTCGGATACAAGGACATAGGCTCCTCGCTACCAAAGCTGAGGCGTTAGTGTCTCTTTGCACGTCTGTCAATATGGTGGATCTTATGCGGTCGGCCATGTTTTAAAGCGACCGAGGGGGTGTTTAGACCGTCCGCTTTGGATCTGTCCAGGCTGGTCAAGGTTGGCGACGAGTGCAATCTTTCACGCAGAGCGCTGTTTCATGCAAATAAACAAACGACGAATGCATAGAAATTGCCTTGCCATTTACAAAGGAGATGGTGTGCGTTGTGCAGTATTTAAATCAGGCCCCCTATCCGTTTGGTTGCTGTAAGGCTCCTCAGTACCACTGCCCACCTGCAAGACGGTACGAAGGCTAGCGCACAAAATGTGTGTGGTCCGATGGATGTTTGTGGCTTGACGGTGAGTAAACATGCACGATGTTATCGCAACATGCAGGTGCCTACTTGTGTGCTTGGAGGTTGGGAATGTATTACTGTGAAATGTACGGAGGAAGACTTCAACAGTCATTGCATGCCAAGAAATTAGCGCCGATTAGCGAACAATCCTAGGGAATATCCCCCTCTTGATTCCACATCAATTTTACGCCTCAACGTATTTACGATGGTCAATAAAACGGATATCGCGACCAGGGCTGTGGTTGTGACATTGAAGTCGCCCCATAGGGTAACGGTACAGCGGGGCTTCACGGGCGATTACGTCTACACGTTCCGGATAACTCTTGCTCTGCGGAGTGGAGCCCTGGGCGGGGCTATGAGCCGCGTCCCCTTAGGAGGATTTTCTAACCAATAAGGTTGGTCGTCCTGCGGGAAGGTTGGTTTGCGATCTTTGTGCACGTTTAGCAAGGTCCTCCCATGCCAACGGGTAGCTTCAAGCCATCCGTTGCATCTTCATCACATCTCACCCCATTCATCCTCTGCTCAAGTTCACCGACCAATCGACTTGCATGTGATGAAAAGGCTGCTCACGGAGATAGCCGGCTCCACGAGCATAACGTGGTCCCATCCATTAGCAGCAGGTCTAGACTGTGTGACACTGATTCTCTCTGGGGATCTAGACAATGGAACAGCACGATTTTTATGGGAAAGTGTGCCTTAGCATTATATTGACACAATCTGCTCTCAATCGGGATATACATATATGCTGTTATTTAAAACAAACAATAACGTTTGTGACAGCAGAGGTTTGCCCTTTAGAATTGAAGGACGAAAAGGTTGATTCGAAAATTTGTCATTGTGGCTTGCGATACGAAATAATGTAACTATGCGTAGGACTGCTCGGCAAACTCCGCCGACTTATCTATACATGCATTAGTTAGACATCGGCCGCTACAAGGCTATTCTCACGCATATGCCGGGTATAGGAAAAGCCAACGCGGTAGCAGTCGCCGCTAACTGCAAGGCGATAGTACCGTAACGCCTTCCCTCGATCATTTGAGAGGCGTTGGTTTCCACTTTCTGCCTGATATCTAGGCCCTTGCTAGAAAGTCTGTCTGTGTGTGGTCACTCCATGATGTTTTTTTTTACCCTTGGCGCGTTGCATGACGAGGTGTGATGTGTGGACCGAACCGTGTGTCAGAATGGTCGTGTCGTCCTCTAAGGAAAACAGCCATTTCGCTTCGTCGACAATACGGCGATCCCATTCTCAACCTCAACTTGTGGGCAGGTCGACGACATACCTGTCTGGAGCAGACCGAGGAATGACCCGCACCAACTTCAGCTCCTTCTCTATCTCGAAATATTGACGCCGAATCAATGGATCTACCCTACTTCTCAACGCACGCTAGTAATATTTCCATCGTATCCGATGAAGGCAAGAAAATCCGCTCGGCTGGGCCGTCGAATGGACGCTATTTGCTATCTCCATTTCCGAAAGACAGTTGCTTTATGCCACCTAATTATGGCATGAAACCACCTCCAAATCCCAAGACGGGCAACTCGTATACTGTCTCGCCTGCCGGCCATGGTATTACGGTGAATACATCAAGGTCGGAGAAGTCAGAGCTACCAAAGCTCCTTGAGCACGCCAAAGACGACAGTGCTACGACGGCCAACCCGTGGAGGCATGTCGACTACCTGTCTCACGACTGGAAGGAGGAAGATATCTGGTCATCATGGAAATATATCACCACTCGCCGAAGAGAGTATCCAGAGTATCCAAATAGTTCTCGTCTAGAGAATGCATCTTGGAGAGCATGGATAAAATGCAAATACAAACTGAAGACTGTGTCTCCCGAGACCCTCAACTGGTAAGGGATGGTGGAATTCGCGCGAATATCAAGCTAACCTAGCGTAGGTTCAAGGATTGTGATGTGACTTGGCTATATGGGCCCTTTCAGCAAGATCCAAGCAAGATCTGTTGTGCAGATACTGAACTTTCCAGTATCCCATCATCCAAGTCCAATTCACAAGTTAGCATTAATATGAAGTCTATATTAAAGAGAACGGTCCCGGAGATCATACTGTAGAGGCCGTTATTGCCTTTATTGTTACTCAAGCATACAGCACTAGTAGTCCGAGCATAGGAAATAATCGGCCAGGGATTAACAAGGCCTACTCTTAATCGAGCAGCAGTGACGGGTTATGTTATGTCTTCGAGACAAATGAGCCGCAATGCCTCTAGTATGCTGTCGTCTTCAGCCTCTGGGGTCTTATCATCAGGCATCAAGCAAAAATCCATCCGCTTCAATAACAAAGTCGAGCAATGTATTATCGTCAATGGTCATGGTGATGACGACAATGGCATAAATTCCGATCCATATAGCCATAGTGATTCCGATGACGGCCTCAGGACGAAGCGGCTTCGGCCACGAAAGCAGGCTCCATTGGTGAGGAGGAAATCAACGAATGATAAGAACTCATTTATTTCTGACGGAAAGACGCTTGCGATGCTTCCGTCGACAACACTTAATCACCGAGGAGATATTCTAGAACCCATGGAAGAGGCAATGAAACACAGCATCAGCATTCGCAATCCTACGCTCTCGCCATCCTTGTCACAAGAGACGTGTCCCAAACCCTTGGGTAAGTTCTTTGAAGAAGAGGAGGATCATGATATAACAGATGTCGATGTCGATGCAGACTCAGCCTGGTACGGCGCTAAGAGTTTCGAAAACCCTGGTTTGCACCGCCGGACCTCTACAGACAACATAACCGCCGAGCCAACTGGCATGCGTCGCACCCCTTCCGGCATGTTTATGCCATATGAGGAGGGAGAATCATCGTCGAAGGATGCGATATTTTGCCGCTTTATTAACCTCGTTAACACAGCCAGGGACATGACATATTTTATTTGGAATATGGGCTGGAGAAAGTGAGGGCCTTGACAGCGGAGACATTTCATGTAGAAGAAGGGAACCAGATTGCAGCAGCATTCATGGTTGCCGGAGTATCTGTTAGATTGTGGCTGGATAATGCACTGAAACAGGGCCTTTGCTTTAGATTGAAGGATATCAGATATCTGCATCTGGACGAGGAGCTACAGTTGCCCAATAAGCGCATAGGATAGAGATAATGAAAGAGCCTTATTTTCTACATAATAGAGCGCGGCGGTGAGCGATATTTGCACAATGGAGCGGATCCCCTATTGTGGGTTGGCACGGTCCAATCATAACAGCGCTCCTTGCAGCAGCATCTGTGGCTGAATATGCAGGTGATGATAAAACCCCGCTCTGGTGGAAAAGAGGACACAAGAGTCCAGAAGAAGAAGAAAAACAACAACCAAGCATACGATCGAGAATTGATCCACATCTATCTAGCTATCCCTAATCTGCATTAAATACAAATCGCGTATCCAACAGTATCCTAGGGAATGCATATAGTCATGTGTCTAGGCTGTCGGAGATGACTGTCATCTAACGAGGTATGTGACCCATGTTGCTTCAGTGACTTGACCCACCCGTCTGAACTACGCAGTAAACGCCCCCGCAGTAGCTCTTCTCAGTTGGGTCTCTGTGGCTCATCAGGTCCGAAATTGGATAAAACCTTCTTGGGCAGAACGTCATCACCAGTCATTGGATTCGACTCAACCCCCCAACAGGCTCTCAGAGGACGAGCTTGATCAGTATCTATCAGAGCCACCGGTGGACAACATCGCATACAAAGCTGACCCAATTGCTTGGTGGAGGGATGTCGGCGCTGTGCGTTTTTCTCGGCTGTCTTATATGGCTGTTGACTTTCTCACTATCGCATCGTCTTCTGCAGAAACGGAGAGAGCTTTCAGCAGTTGCGGGAGGATGGTAACACCACTCAGATCTCGCCTACGGCGCCACATTGTGGCCATGGCTCAGTGCCTTCGCTCCTGGAGTAAAGCTGGCATTTATCAGCCAACTCTTCCTCTTAGTCTGCTTGAAGGGGACAATTGGAGGCAAGTTCTTCAATTGGTGGGCAGGATCACCGTAGATAGGGATAATGAGGACCAGCATTGAGCCATTGATCGAATCGATCGACTGAGAGGGCCGCTCGATCGACATCGATCGATTGAAGGTGACGATCGACATAAATCGATCGATCAGGGCTCAGAATCGATCTATACGATCGATTTCTAAGTCTGCCCGACACTACACCAAATTTGACTTAGAAAACTTACGACATCCAGCTTCGTTCCTCAAGGCTCTTTTGCGCAAACCACTCGTAGTTTGCCTCTCCTGTATTTCAAATATGACTCTGGATTTGATTTGTTTGATTTGAGGGCAGCGCTGCGGTTCATACTGGCTCGATGCCCTGCATACACGAGCTTCGGCAAACTCCGGCGCGACACAAGGTGGTACTCGTCAGCACCAAACCCATCCTTGGTGAACTCAAAGTTGCAGGAGCGCCGGCGGAAACTCGACGTCATATCCAACCCGGATCGAGAGATCGCTATTTTCTCTTCAATGTTCGAGATCCCGATTACTTCGAATACGGTCAAGTTTTTTTCGAAGACTATGTAACTACACTTGTACGCACCTTCAATTGTGCCAAGCTGAAGTCTGTAGAAACCTTACACCAGGCTTACTAGTTTCGGTCCAGTATCTCCCGTGCGTCACTTGTTGATCTGTTTTAACGCGGCGCCGGTCGGATCATCGGCATAGAAATATCCCAGCAAAGGCAATGATTGTCACTTCCCTGCAGCTTGCATGTGATAAAAAGGCTGCTCACGGAGACAGCCGTCTCCACGAGCATAACTGGGTAAGTGAGGCTTCTTGGAGAACCTCGATGACGAGTGTATTTTTACTGCATGGAGCCGGTTGCAGGGACAATCCTGGTCCCAGGTAGCCTGGTGGTTGAGAACGAGTTGTCAACACCTGAGGCAAGATACTGAACCATATCCTTAAAAGTTCAGCTAATTTCCGTGGTCGGCGCTTGCTTCGGAAAGTGCCGTTGTCAAACCGTATGAGTGACAGCTTGCCATCAAATCGTGCATATGGAAAGTTCCGTGCACCCCGGCTCCTGCTTTGGGGCTGGCGTCTTCCCACAAAACAACCTTCCCGCACGACAACCAACCTTATTGGTTAGAAAATCCTCCTAAGGGGATGCGGCTCAGTGCCCCGCCTAGGGTTCCACTCGACGGTAGAAGGGGCACAAGGGGTAGAAGGGGCATAAGTGGCAGAAGGGTCGAATTGGTCGTAGTTAGGCACTGGAGGTCAAGCAAGGGGGACATTGAGCCTCATATTAGTCACTCGGAGCTGGAGCGCAGGTGCAGTGGGACACCCATGCCTCCCAAGCTGCTACGGAAGCTTCCTTGTTGCTGACCGTCTAGAGTCCGCGACTGCCTACAATTAATTAGCGAGCCTTTCGAGGCTGCAAAGTGATCTTCACTTATTGCCGGCCTTGTGACTTGCACCTTCCCCAACACTCCCAGCAGTCCTGCATCCCAGCAATCCTGCAGCAAATCAAGTTCTCCCAGCACAAATTTCGAGACATTGACATTAACGTGGAAATCCAAGGTTGCGCCAACGCTACCTGAACTAAGCCACCTCTGTCATGGAGTTGAGTTGTGAATCTCACTAGAAGGTCCTAACTTAACTAAGTGGTTAACTGGGCAGCTGGGGTCAAATTGGGGCCGATTGGGCCCGGATTACGCTGTGGACAGCCTCATCTAGCAGCCGCTGCTAGCCCTGCCTGCCAAGTCTACCAAGCCGGCTTAAGTCGAGCCAATTCAATAAAGTTAGGCTGCTGAGGATCCAAGCTGAGTCAAGTTGAAGGCCCGACTTGACTTGACTTACCTCGGCGGCAGCGCTGCTTATAATACTCGCTGATGTTCAATTCGATGTTCGACTCCTCTATGAGGATATCATACCGATGTTCATTTACCCATTTCCAGGGCCTAAGGCAATCGAAGGACATATCTCTCTTCGGGAAACCCTCGGGGTGCTCAGGAAGTGGTTCCCGGCTTTCTTCAGTTACCAAACCTAGTGCTAGATATGCTGGGGTGTTTCCCTTGTAGGATGTGCCGTCAGAAACCGAACCATTTTCGTCGGATCTCTCAAGATGAACGCCGATGAATAGTGCAGTAAACCCTAAGCTTTCCATTTCTTCCTTCTATTTTGTTTTCGAGGAAACACGGTTTAAGATTGCTCTTTTGTCATAGGATATAGAGTTGATAATACTAATATTGCCATCTATTTTCGGTGGATATTGTGTTAAATGCCGTGAGACATAAGGTATGTGGAAGCGGGAGGTATATATAGCTGGCTCCAGACGTCCGAAAGTAGGTCTAAAAATGGGACGAATGGCCTAAAGCGAGACCTTATCTATTTTCTTTTATACCGAACTAAGTTGATAGTCGACAGGAGAGGACCAAACGAGGGCCATAAGAATCCAAGAACTGGGGCCGGGATAAACATATCCCACTTCCTGGACCCTGGGGACAGAGATATTAAAAGGAAAATAATTACGGGCTGACTGAACATTCCAGCTGTCAATAAAGCCGTAAATATCTCTCAGTCGGTCGACTTATTATTTCAGAACGCTGTTTAGTCTTTGCTCCCTAACATGGACATTTCAAATAGAACCAAAACTCTCATGGACAGGGCATTCGAACATCAAGGCTGATTCAAGCATGCCGTAAGTCTAAGTGCAAACCCTGTTTTCCTCAGCTATGATCTTATCAGCTTCTTCAACGGTAACGACTGCCCTATAAATCTTGCCTTGATGTCTATGGAAACCACTGGCGACCTTTATTATTCGGAACTTCTTTTAAGTTAAAGAGCCTTGATGCTGAGATGAAAGGAGCGGTCTTCGGGATGAAGCAGGTCCTTTCGATCAATATCCAGGATGGTGTCGTGCTCGCCGCTGTGTCCAACGTTGGCTTTGGCAAGGTTGATGAGAGACTTAAGGATGGAATATTCGATCTTGAGCTTGATGGAGTAGACCATTCCCTTGATAGCAGGTTGAAAGTTGTACGGGTTGTTGTACTCGAGGACGAGGACGGCGACGTCGAGAATGATAACAAGAATATTAACCACAACGAGATAGTATAGCATCCTGGAGGCCTGGGCACCACGGAGAGCTTCCTGCATCTGGAAGGCTTTGTAGGTATACCAAATGTATAGGCCCGAAATAATCATCTCCTGGATGAAAAGGGACATTTGGGTCTTCTCGTATACCGGGTAGGCGGTGACGTAGGGACCGGGTTCTGGGGCCAGAATAGCCCGGTAGGCGACAATGATCGTAAAGACGTGGCCGATAAAAACGTTAGTAATAATCATGGCCAAGACCAGACGGAGGATCCTCTCATCATATAAGATAAGGTATAGCCGTGAATAAAGAACGAGGGAGTGGCCAGTGACCATGGGAACCCAGCCGATCACAGCAATAGTAACCCATACCACAGTATTTTTTAAGATGCTAAAGTTCTATATCAGATAACTGATAGTATAGAAAAAGATGCCCCAGGTAGTAAAGAAGAAGCTCCAGAAGCATAGACCGCTTTTCCGCTTAAATATGAAAAATATGATGATATTAAGCTCAATGACATTATATAGGGCGATGAAGGATACCATCGCAAGACCGATAGGGCCATCAACCGAGAAGTCGTCCACATAGCCCATGTTGAAGGGCAGATGGAAGACGTCTTGAGGAGTGAGCGATGATGATATCGAGAAACATGAAAGACGGGCAGCTGAGAGAAATAAGAACTTTCATCTTGACACTGATGAGAACCCCTGGAGTCAATGCGCTAGAAATGGGCTGAAGGTTAATGGAAAGCATCGGCAGGAGTGAAACCAATCGTAGGGCAGAGCTGTCCAAGGGTTCACCTCCATCAGCACCAGACTGTCGTTGCGTCCGTTACACTGGTCGATTCATCTCTGCGGTGATTGGGGACGGAACGCCACCACACTACCGGTACAATAGCTCGCGGTGAAGGAGGGCTACTAGTGTTGCAGGCCCGCTTTGCTTAGTGCAGTGGGCCGTGAGTCACGTCATGTCCCTGCAGAACCTTCTAGACTTTGCCAAGCCCCTCAGCATATCGTAGTGGAGGGATCTGACAAAGTCTGCGTGAACCATCTCAAAGGTATCTCTGCTGCTGTAGGATGTGTTGTGCCTTTACAATGTGTCGCAGCTGCATCAAACCTTCGATTAAAATTAATATGCTGGGAAAGTGAAACCGAGCTACAACCTGGCTACAACCAAGCAGAGAAGCCAACACGGTCGCCGGAGGAGATGGTTCCAGCGCTCAAGCACATCCTTAACAGGCGACTAGATCTCAGAGATGTATCGATGCACAAGGTTGGGCATAGTATGTAGAACAAATAACAGAGGAAGAGGAAGTGTTGAGGACAACCGATGGAGGCAGTGGCCTGGTTCAGTGAGCCAGTTTGCAAGGATCTCTGACTCAGCGAGACAACTCAATGCCATGACCGAAGTGGCTCAATTCAGGAGTTCAGGTCGATCTATGCCAACGGAAACCTGAATGCTGGCACTCTCTCGGATTTCGCATTCATGCAAATACATCAAATTTCGTATTGGAAGAAATAAGAACGTAACGGTTTGATGTATACCCAACTTCTCCCTCTAACGAAGGGATATTGACATGTTAGCTGAGTCTGGTTTGCTGCATGACTATTCGGGGACATATGGAAGGGGTGAGAGCGACACGGGGTGGAAAATGTCAAGATTCGTCCGTCAATCATACACAGACAGTTCCGATCTGGACTCGAGCACTTCCGCACTTCCCTACTTTGTCCCTTACAACATATTGGTTGCCGTTCATATGCGGGCTTGTCCACAGCTACCGCCCATCTGGCACCAGCCATCCGAGCGTGCTAGATCGAAGCCTCCCACCCCTCATACGGCGTCATTCCTGAGTCATGATGGTGAGTTGCGCCATCTGCTTTTGTCGGAGCCACTGCTTCATCGGAACTTCCCAGCAATAAGATCATCTGGAACTTTCCTGTTTGTGTCCGCCGTTTGAAGGCTGTTGACAATGATATTGATGGTGCCAGGCTGTGTGCTGTCCCGGCGAACCAGCGGCCCGAGTCGCACAAACTTGTAGCAGGCGGGATTTGCCGTGGGCAAACAATCCAATCACGTTGTCCGTGCGTTAGCCCTACTTGTTGCAACGAACAGGCCAGCTCACTCTGCGGGCCCCAGCTCCCAACACCTTGGCCTGAAGTTCGCTGGCGCTGATGGGAAATCCGTTTTAGTCGTCCGCCACGCGTTGTAAAATTGCCAGGAAACCCCATTGACGTGGGCTTCTAAGTAACGCTACTATGGAGTCTGCGCCGAGGCTTTTTCTGGCCCATGACAGCAAAGCACTAAGCACTAAGAGAGCAGTCTGGACAGTGATCTAAATGCAGTATCACGTTATTGAGTGGAACCTTACAAGTCGCACAGCCGCCGACCCAACAAATGCCAGAAAGTCGTCAGATGGAACCATGTCCATTTCACCAACGAGATTAACCAGTTGGCCAATTCGATGGGCTAACTTCGCGATCCAACCAGTTCAACCCGAGGCGTTTGTAGTTGACAAAAAGCATGCAGGACTTGGGGATAAACGTACGCACGGGCCCGTTTGTATGAATTTTGTCGAAACACAAGGGGGACCAGGGCATCAAGGTTACGTCTATACGTTCCGGATAACTCTTCCAGGCCTTGCTCTGCGGAGTGGACAATCTGCCTGGAAATTACCCCAGGGCGTTGGGTTTGCGACCGCCCTAAGCCTTGAAGTGGAGCCTTGGGCGGGGCCCTGAGCCGGGTCTTGGGCTCGAGGATATTCTAACCAATAAGGTTGGTTGTCCTGCGGGAAGGTTGTTTTGCGGGAAGACGCCCCGGTCCGCGCCTCATTTTGTATGGCCCACATGGGTTGTTCAGCCAGAACAACCAAAAGAACAGTATGCACGATTTGGTCAGCAAGCGTGTCACTCATACGGGCTTTGCAACGGCATTTTCCGAAGCAAGCGCCTACCACGGAAATTAGCCCAACATTAAGGATTGGTTCAGCATCTTGGCTCGGGTGTTGACAACTCGTTCCCAACCACCGGGCTACCTAGAACCAGGATTGTGACTACAACCGGCTCTATGCAGCAAAAATACACTCCACATTTGAGTTCTCCGGGAAGCCCCACTTTCCCAATGGTTAAGTCGTTCAATTCTAAAGGGCAAACCTCTGCTGTCACAAACGTCTTTGTTTTGAATAACAGCACATATTTTGTTGGTGGGAGCGGCCTTTAGCGTAGATCACACCCGTCCGTAGGGTAGGAGCTGAAGATGGCAGGAAAACAAGGGAAAGCAACAATCTGGCCGTCTCCTGGGGGGATGAGATGCAGGAAGCAATGGTTACACTGCTTTCTGACGTCTCCAAAGGGAAAGAAAAGATAAATATCGACAAGAGCTGCTGCGGCAGCTATAGTGTAACGGGTGCAATGCGACAAAAGGTGTAGTCAAGTGTAAAGGAAGGAAAAAGCGTGTCGTTTCAATTTCTCGGGCAGACTAGACGCCTTAAGTAGGGCCATAATAAGCTAGCTACCGGCCTCTACTGCATTAAAACTCCAGGTGGACCGTTGGCCCCATCACAATATGTAATTATGTCCCGATTGAGGGCAGATTGTGTCAATATAATGCTAAGGCACACTTTCCCATAAAAATCGTGCTGTTCCATTGTCTGGATCCCCAGAGAGAATCAAGCTGGCAGCAACTTACCAATGGCGCAAATTCCTTTATTGTTTGAGCAGCACTCAGGATGAGGAGGTTCGGCCATGACTACGATGGCGAGCGAGAGGGACAGGACTGCGAGGACGTTCTTGGAGAGCATTTTGAACTGCAGGCTAGTTTCGAGACTTGCAATTGCTTGTTGGCATATAATAAGTCGCGGAAGTGACTGATCGCGATGGATTGATTGAGTTGTGTGATGGGTGAGATATCTGAGAGGGACGCCTTCTGTATAGACTTTTGATCTTCCCAACTTTCACATGCTATAGTGAGAATTATCGTCATGTACAGCAGCAGTAATCGATATTGGTATCCAGTCTATCAACCAGAACTGCCGAAGAAAGTATTCGGGATTCACCAATTCATAAGAGCTTTTAAACAGGGATTCCCAAGTTTTATCATATGCTATGGCAGCTATACCAATGTCAGAATTTACCGATTCCTAAGAGCTTTTAAATGTGGCATGATCAAATCCTTGACGCTACATACCCTTGCAACCAACACTACGTAGTATGTTCGTATGACTCGCATGTAAAGGGGTTCGGGCGGTGAAACAGCGATCGGCATTTGAGAAACATTCCGCTCCGGTAGTTCTCGTCAAGCTGCGTTAGTGGCATCCAATGGGCCGTTGGCTGATGATCTCTCCCAAAAAGATGCCTTGCAGAATACCCATGCTACCCTCAACAGTGGCTTCGAAGCATGGTAAAATTACGTGTGCACTCGAGAGGTAAGAGCCAGGTCTGTGGGGCTATGACGCTGTTTGAGAGACTTATTAGAGTCACGATACCCGCCATCCAATCTCGCCTCGATTCGGGCACACACATACATACATACAACTACTTCAAAGTCGTACCTTGCACTGACGCCATGGCCGCCTACGATATCAAGGGCAAATATGCCATCGTCACTGGTGCTGGGTCCGGTAGGTTTTACCTTTAGATGGAGCTTCATTTTTAATACCCACAATACCCACATACGATGGGCATGTACGGTTGTGAATTCGTAAGAGCTGACTGAGATATAGGCATCTGCCTGGCCTTTGCGGAGCAGCTTCTTGAATCTTGAGGGAGGCTGCTCGGTCACGATAGCCGATGTGAAGCTTTGGCCCGAAGCCGAGGCTCTTGTAACCAAGTACGCCTCCAAAGACGCCACCACACCGGTCGATTTTCACAAAGCGGATATTAGTGACTGGGGACAGATCGCCTCTCTGTGGAAGAAGACTCTCGAAACGTTTGGACGTATTGATATTGTGGTCAACGGTGCTGGCGTCTACGAGCCACCCTCTAGCACGTTCTGGAACGCGCCTGGCATCTCGCCTCTAGCTGAGGATAAGGTAGACGCCTCACCAGGCGTCTATCATACATTCTCAGTAAATGCCATAGGACCTATCCACCTCGCTCAGATTGCCATTGATTACTGGCTGGAGAACCGGAACCCCTCGGACGGTGGTGGACGCCTGGGCAGGCTTGACGAAGCATAGTCCAAAGTGTAGTCCCACGATGTGCAATGCTCCACTCGGTTCGAGGTGCCGAATTGCTTGGTATGAGAGCTTCTCTGCATCTCTACAGACCTAGTCGTGTGTCGAAGGGACACTACACCTTCCCCAGAAAAATGGGCGACAGGGGACCAACGAAGTGTCTGTAGCTGCTGTGTTTTGTTGCATCAATCGTAGCGTGCCGTGTTCCTGATTCTGGGTCCACGGAGAAGAAACTACTGTTCTGTTTGAGAGCTCGTCGTTGTGGGACATCGCAAACGTCCTTGCGATGATGGGCAAACCCTAAACCCAGCTCTGCAGGACGTCTAGGTTCATTGGTGCTGTCACCAGGCCTGGCGCGAGAAGAGGTTTGGAGGGTGTGGGGCGGCCGGAAGTCACAAGGATAACGCCACATTGGGACAGGGGCATTCCAGCACCCCCCTGCTGCAGCCACTTAGAGCAAGTTGCCGACTGAGACCAAGTGCGGGAGCGCTTTGATTTGCCGCACTTACCTTAATCATGTCTGGGTACGCCGGTATGCTTGGGAAAGCCTTGTCCAGGGCAATGTAAGGGGCCGTATCAACACTTGAGGCTAACACATTGCTTTCCTCCCAGGAAATACCGCAAAATAAGTGGGTGTGAGATCGCCTACCCCAAAAGCCAGCTGACGTCACCGAGTGTCAACCCCGCGTAGCCCGGACAACGAAGAAATGACGGAGAAACATGCCCATTTATGGCACGTTTGAACATGACAGAAAGGTACCTTCTTGCAAAGGGGCTTCCAATCAGCGGAAGAATTCGGCGGTAGAAATGGCCTCGGCCTTTCTGCGCGGAAATTCGAGCTGCGTGTTAGCTTGGGGATTCGGGTTCCTTTTGCTGCTGAAGTGTCGAGTGGCATACCATCTCAGCCCTGTCACCGGACGCTAAGGTCAGGCTTATGGCATAGAGACGACGGCAACGGCTTGATTTCCACATAACGAAAGTTGATGGCCGAGGATTCTCGTCAGTGCTAGGAACACTGTCTTCTCGCCACAGTTCGTCACTAACCCAGGACCATGCCAGCACCCAGCGGCCCAACTGCAGAATGCGGTGGAACGGACAGTAGCGCAAACACAAACTTCACCCTGCACGGGAAGCTCCGCCGGGGCGATGTACCGGCCTTCTGCAAGCCACAGAATGGCATCCAAAAGGCATCATCTAAGGGGGCATCGATCACAGTATGGCAACCCCAGTACCTACTTCCCCAACCGGGCCCTCCGGGAATGCGAACGGAACAGCGCCACCTAGCTCAAAATCAATCCGCGCCCCTTTCAACTTTTGTCCTCTGAATGCTTCATCCCTATGAAGCGACCGTGACCCACGATATTACGACTCATGGACCCACCCACAAGGATTTCGTCTCTCAAGCGCTAAGAGCGGCGGATGTAACGCTTGCATGTCTGGATATCAGCGGCCCGTGGCGTTAGGATTGGTATCTGCCACTTTCACATGGCTTCCGCTGTCAACGACGCACCGGTGCCGTTGCTGCCAGGAGTGGATACGAAGACCAACCAACACCTTGCGTGATACCGATTCGTGTCGGTAACTATTCTAGCGAATGACTCGCGCAACGCCCTGTCTACCTGTTGTGCCGGTGACATCTCGTGTTTGACATAATAGACGCTGCCCAAGACATTGATTCTTTCGCGCCGCGGAAATCTGGAAATACACTGAAACCCTGGCGCTCACCGCTCTCTCTATAGCGATGGTCAGCGTTTTGCTGATCTTAATTTTCTTCTCGACGACGGGGGTTACCAGGCTGGAGATTGCACATTAGGTGCTGAATTGTACGGAGGAGGGACCCGACGAGATGTTATGCGAACTTGAAGGTATAGTCAGATCTACTAGGAATCGCATCCAATCTCGCGACACTCAGCCACTCCAGCCTCCAACCCTAGAGCGCTACTCCTACAGTGATGTTCATCCTGAAACTCGTTCAGCATTCTATGTTGATCACTTAGCCCGGGTTATGCCATACTTCCCTCCCCAGAGTTTACCAGAAATACAAGTTGGCTTTAGCGTGACGCCAAACGCTACGCCACTCCACAAGCAACGTCCGTGCCGAGTCCAGACCAGTCTTCGGCAAGGCCGTGCTCTCTGAAAGCTTGCCTGAAGCTCTAGAAGATTTCTCACTAGAGTCGTCTTCAGGTACCGGGGCCTCTTGTGCTGTTAATGGTGGGCGGCTTTCCGGCAGGGGGAGGAAGGCTTGAATTCCAGCCAATCTGTGCAGAGGCCGGGGATGCTTGCGGGCGTTACGACGTACTTAATGTTAGTGCTTTGTCACTAGATCCGTACGAGGGCTGGACTTCCAACTCCTGTGGCTTAAGCTATGGACTGGCGGCTGATGATACACCAATACCATGGGCAAGGATACCTATTTTAATCACTATCGTCCTTCATTTAAATTGTGATGCCTCTTCTAAATGGAATCAGAGTCTGGCTAAAGTTATGGCCATTCCAAGCTGATGTCAACCCATACTTGGTTCACAATAATCACACTCCTCTCTCCCCAATTTGTCCTCCAAGAGGTCACCAAAGATAACCTTGCTCTTGCTTTGCTGGCCTGGGGCTTTACGATTGGCTTTGGATGGCTCACCACCTAGACAGCCATAAAGTAAACAAAACATATTTACAAGAGACGCGGCCTTCTCGTATTCCACAGTACCTATATCTGGATAATTTGGCTCGAGATTCTTATATACCTCATCTTCAGCATTATTTGTTAGCTGCACTTAAAAGGCATAATTCCCCCGAGGTAAGCGTTAATCCCCTATATGTTAGATGATTCCTCCTTGCACAGCCCGCGTTTCCTATCGGTGCAACAGGTCGAACATATCTGGATAGTTAAGGTAACACTGGAAATATTGACCGTGCTGGTAATCGAATATAGCAACATGGCAATTGACACCTACTGGTGAGGGCAGTTAAGAGTGCGAGGAGGGATCTCTTGGTGATATAATATTTAAAGAAGATACTAAAGATTAAATCTTCTAGTTTTGCCTTCTTCTTTTATATTCATAAGCAGTCCAAAAGCACCCTAAGTCACCAAGAATACAATAATAACCTCTATAGTTACTATATAGGTACTTCAAGTAAGTATACTCTACTTACCTTTCTAAAGTTTATTAATAATTCTAACTATTTTAGGTTTAATTTCTTCTTCAAATTATTATTAATCGTTACTCTATCCTTCTCGTAAATCGGATAATAGCATACCGTCTTAAGGTCGGTATTGCAGTCTTAATTATAGCTATTAATATCTCGGTCTATAATATTTGGATCCCCACCTATCTCCAGATCTCAGAGAGGTATATCTAGATTAACGAATAGTAGGACCGTATCGAGAAGGGGATCTACCTTCTTATTAATAGAGCGCTCAATTTCTATTTTATTTGTATTATTCAACAGAACCTGGTGGCAAATAGCCTAACTAAGTATAAGAGTCTAGTCAAGTTTAATATATACATCATCAGATTATCCCTTAGCATAGATATCCTTATTATTTCTATAATAAGCTTGAATAACATGTTTGTATAAGTCAACTCTATTATATTACCCTACATTATATAAACCAATAAACTTTCAGAACAAGGAAAAATAGAATAAAAAATAGAAGACAATTCTAACTATGAATTCAGTTACATACAGTTTCATCCCTTCACCTACATAATCAAGCTCAAGATAGAGATATCAATAGCAGACTTAATAGGGAAAATTACCAGACAAGGACAATATGATGTTATCTCTAATGGTACTTTTGGCGACCTTGAGACAGCGCAACAGGGAAACGGTCCAAGTAAAAACCTCACATCTACATATAGCAGGACAAGAGTCTCTACAGATGGAATTCATACTATCCGCGGAGTTGATGCAGTATCTATCGAGTTGCAGGAAAGACCAGATAAGTCAGCTGCCTTCAATAGCCGGTCAAAGACGAACAGGGACACAAAGTTTCTTGGCCAATCTTCATCTTCAAGCTTACAAGTGGGCGTGGCTATTTATACTACAGAAGGCAATCGCATAGACGTCAACACTACGATAACCAATCATGGGGAAAGTATATATAGTGTTGCAGATAGCTTTGACGAGAATGGGTCGGCAAGGAAGGACGATAATGACGAAAGACCACTAAGGTACAAGCAGATAGAAGATAAGAAGTAAATGTTAATATGGATAAGCGCAGATCATCTTCTTCCAGACCCCACGAGCCGATGCCGTCGTAATCGTGCTGTAACCAAATTGACTAACGGCATGTCGAGCGCAGGTGAAGGGCTCGGCAAAGCCGTCCTCCGAGTCCGCGGAGCCGTCGTTTGAGTCTGAGCAGCCTTCGTCTAGATTTAACTCTTTAGGGCGTTTGCCGTATAAAACTTCAATAATTCGAGGTTTCGGCCACGCGTACTCCCCATATTTGCAGGCGTATTGCGGCTGGCAGCTGGGAAAACTCGAGAAAGGTGTTGATTGAGCACGTAACCCCCCTACCCCTACCTAGGCTCGCCGCCAACTGATGGACGGGCCACAGGGGCCAGATGACCGATGTGAATGGCGATGGGAATTTTTGGCATGGGAAGCAGCTCGGTCGCGCTCGTCTGAGGCGGCGTACAAAGAACGGAAGCTCAAGATGGCAGACACGATCAGATCGCGACGTGAAGATGAGGAATGCGGCAGAAGTGACCGTGAAGAATGGGAGGCAATAAGTAATCTCTGGTGGACGGAAAGACCAGCAGGGTCCCAGATGCTTCCAAGAACCCAAAGTCAAGCGCGACCGCAGATGAACCATGATCTGCTCTCGCACCTCGATGTTGTCGGTGTTGGCAGGAATTCGTGTACCGCAGCAAGGGCCGCGGCATCCCACACGAGATCTGCCAATCCGGCTCAGCAGGGACGCCACCAATCGCACGCTTGATTTTATGTGCGCCACGCAATGGCGAGCTTAAACGTTCCCCCCACTCGCATGGCGTGATCATAATCCTAAGGTAGAGAGATCGCGAGAAATTTGCAAATAAGGGTCTAGATCTAGTGAGATAGGGCAATGAAGGACATGATTTCATTAATCTTGCGTCCATTCTCATGATGTAGCAGGCACTGCGAAAGCTTGTTCAACAGTTGACCCAACACACGACTTCGCGACGTTGGCGGCTCTGGAGAGTAATTTAACAAGGAAAAACCCAGTGGCTTCCACGTGTGATTAAGATGGAAGGGTCAATTCTAGCTTTCCTTAATAGCTATGTCTTTTCGCCTTCAGCAAAGTTTACTGCCGCATTCCCTTCTCCTGGAGTCGCTTAGTCAACTTCTCCTCCTCCTCGAGTAAGTGGTTATCCTGCCCAACTGGGCCTACAGTAGGATACAGTGACTCTAAGGGCACTTCGCGAACATTAACAGACGAGTTGTCCTTGCTTCCGATAAGCAATGTCTCAATAATGTTGCCATCACCATATTGCGGCTCCTTTAGGACACGCATCATAACCGAGGCGCACTGCTCAGGCGTGAGAGTCAGGTCATCAGGGTGCACCCTATCGCGGCAGTATTCCGGGTGGAAGATTGGTGTCTAGAAGTAGGAAGTGACACCTCATTAGCAAATAATCCAACAAACGCCATTAGACACCAAGTGACTCGGGACTCGCGATGTAACCAAGTAAGAAAGCAGTTTAGGAAGGAATCAAGGGAGGATAAACGTACGTAAACAGCACCAGGGCAAACAGCCGCATTCCTAATACCCAGCCGCTTTCGTAGCTGGCCTAGAGATCGAACAAAGCTCACAATAGCTGCTTTGCTAGAAAAGTATAGGGGCGTTTGGAGCGAATGGACATAGGCTCCAAGACTGGCAATCCAGAGCAAGTTACCCTCAACATATCGGTTCTCCAGCCAGTAATCAATGGCAATCTGGGCGAGGCGGATAGGTCCTATGGCATTTACTGAGAATGTATGATAGACGCCTGGTGAGGCGTCTACCTTATCCTCAGCTAGAGGCGAGATGCCAGGCGCGTTCCAGAACGTGCTAGAGGGTGGCTCGTAGACGCCAGCACCGTTGACCACAATATCAATACGTCCAAACGTTTCGAGAGTCTTCTCCCACAGAGAGGCGATCTGTCCCCAGTCACTGATATCCGTTTTGTGAAAATCGACCGAAAGTGTGGTGGCGTCTTTGGAGGCGTACTTGGTTACAAGAGCCTCGGCTTCGGGCCGAAGTTTCACGTCGGCTATCATGACCGAGCAGCCTCCTTCAAGAAGCTGCTCCGCAAAGGCCAGGCAGATGCCTATATCTCAATCAGCTCTCACGAATTCACAACCGTACATGCCCAATTATATGTGGGTATTGTGGGAATTAAGAATGAAGCTCCATCTAAAGATAAAACCTACCGGATCCAGCACCAGTGACGATGGCATATTTGCCCTTGATATCGTAGGTGGTCATGGCGTCAGTGCAAGGTACGACTTTGAAGTAGATGTATGTGCATGCCCGAATAGAGGCGAGATTGAATGGCGGGTACCATGACTCTAATAAGTCTCTCAAACAGCGGCATAGCCCCGCAGACCTGGCTCATGCCTCTCGAGTGCTCACGTAATTTGACCATGCTTCGAAACCACTGATGAGGGTAGCGTGGGAATTCTACCAAGCACTTTTTTGGTCGAGATCATCAGCCAACAACCCGTTGGATGCCACTGACGCAGCTTGACGAGAACTACCGGAGCAGAATGTCACTCAAACGCCGATCGCTGTTTCACCGCCCGGACCCCTTTCATGCGAGTCATTGAACATACTACGTAGTGTTGGTTGCAAGGGCATGTAGCGCCAAGGATTTGATCATGCCACAGCGAAGTCGGACTTGTTCCCCGGTTTACTAGCGGGCCCCACAAGTACTAGGCGCGGCACTAGGCAGGTAGTTGCCGGCTTACGAACTGCTATTTGTTAGTTGCTCTCCGTTAGTCCGTAGTGGTACGTGTTAGATACGCAATTTGCTGTATGCGATAGCAGAAGTGATTGATCAAATGATGTAAATTGAGAAGGTTCTTCTCCTTCTTAAGGGTTCAGGGCAAGCTTTTTATGCCTTTTCTGTGCTATGTGGAATCAACTAGAAGCTGCTTGCTAAGCCAGTGGCAATAGGTGGCAACTTTTATCTTCAATGGCGATATTCCTATTAGCCTTTCTGCCGTATGCCGCCACACGAGGTCACAATCCAACAGTACGTAAAAATCTGTCCCCATTGACTGGTTCGTGTCCCTACTAGTGGAATATTCAGAACTGACAGGTCAAGGGATCATTACTCGAACATGGTAGGTTTCCTGACACCCTGGCCGCAACAAAGAAATCTCACCCAGATGGGGAATGCACTAGAGAAAGTTACCGTCCATTGTCTTACATCATCTGTAACATCTTCCCCTGGATGATTGAGCCAGTGAGCTCGTCAACAATACAAAGCCCTCACGACTCGCAGCTCCTTGCCGTTGTACCTGGTGTCTCCTGCGGCTTCCGATCCCGAATAAAGAAATCACCTTGGAAACAGTCTTCGCAACCGAGGCTTTCTCGACGTTCTTGGTTTGCTAGCCCATCATGGCGGATTCTACGGAATGGGAAGCTGTGAAGCCCGGAGGGCTTGCAGCAGCGATTCTCGGCGTAACGATTGCTTTCTCCGTCCTATGTATCGTTGTTGTCGGCCTGCGCGTCGGCGCTAGGGTATCAACGGGAGTTTTCGGACTTGAGGACTGGCTTATGTGCGTTGGATTTGTAAGTGTTAGAGCGAACGACACCCTTATCAGAAGCAGACTGACAAGACCAGGCCCTCAATATGGTCCATAATGGGATTGTTATTTGGGGAACTTTTACAGGTATCGGTACCTATGATTCAAAGCTGAATACTGCGATGATGATAGAAGGGGCTAAGGTTTGTGAATTCTGTAGTTTTGATGCTTATTTGTTTGGCTGATCCCCTCCCCTAGTCTATTGTGTTCTGGCAAATATTCTACATCAGCGGATCCGTTTTCATTAAGGCTAGCATCTGCGCGACATTGGCACGAATTGCTACGCAGCGCCGATATATCTACACTCTTTGGGGACTTGTTGCTGTATCGGTCATAGCTACCCTGGTTGCCATTTCTGCAGTCTTGGTCCGGTGTAAGCCGGTAGCAGCGTCGTGGAATCCAGCTCTAGGAACGTGTATTGACCAATCCATCATTATTGCCTTGACATATGCTGTCTCGGTAATTAATATCGTGACGGACTGGGCTGTCGCAGTTATCCCGGTATTCATCCTCTGGAATCTCCAGATGCGGAAGACCCTCAAGAAGATGATTGCCCTGGTCCTAGGCCTTGGTGTGCTGTGAGTTTCTTCTCCAAATATCCTACTGGCGTCCTCTCGTTAATCCAGTATCCCAGGGCTTCTATTGCGACCATCATTCGAATGCCGTACTCCTCAGTCTATTCCCACACCACCGATCTACTCCGTGAGTCAGCCCCTCCCCAAACTAGATCAAGTCGACTAATATTGTCACTTGTCTATCAGATGACATCGGAAACATCATCCTATGGACTGTAGTCGAATGCGATCTCGGTATTATCGCGGGCTCGATGCCAATGCTCCGAACGTACATCCGGATGTTTGCCAAGGACGAGAGCTCCTATCAAGGGGGTTCAGGAGACTTGAATCTGGTGACAATTGGGAGGATCAAGGGGAAACACAACCCGATCCATGACGCTGAATTTATGGTCACCGCCGTTGGTGGCAATGATCGTGAGAGCGACAAGGATGATGAAAGTACGAAACAGATGATTAAGGTCACGAGGAGGATAGATCAGGTTTCAAGCAGAGGTTATGAGCAGGTTTAGTGCAAAGACTTAGTACCATACTTGATAAACAAATAAGACGGGCAAGCAAGTGAGATACCGAACTGTAATCGGCCCATAGCTTAGCCCAGGGTTGCAACATTAACTACTAGTTTTTTAACTAGTAGTTAAAAACTAGTAGTTTTTTAGTTATTAGTTTGAAAAATTTTTAACTAGGCTAGTTATTAGTTTAGGATTTTTTTAACTAGCCTAGTTTTAGTTAGTTAATTAGTTACTAATTAGTATTTTTTAACTACTGAAAAATAAAAAAAGTAAAGATATTTAAAAAGTAAATAGATTTTATTTATTAATATTAAAAATTAAAAATTACTCTATTTTTATAGCTAGAATTTTTAAAGATTTTATTTTAATTGTTTTTAAAATACAGTGTGAATACAGTGCTGATCACACTATATCCACACTGTACTAGTAACCTTCCTATTTGGGTTAGTAGATGCTATCCGCTCTTATCTATTGGTCAGTTAACTTACATACTGTAAATCTCAATGTTTTACAGTTAATTTTACTAAAAAGTACTCTTTATTAATTGAATATTAAACTTTAAGATAAAAAGAGTTGGCTAAATAGTAGCTTAAAAAATAAAGAATAATATAATATTTAATTTATAATTTCTTTTATAATATTAAGTATTGTATAAAGCTTTTAAGTAGTATTCTTTTATATATATAATTTAATATTTTAAATGTCATAATATTGCTATTTCTCACTTAATATTAATGATAAAAATCTCATTTATTTATATATTATATCTCAATAATATATATTAAATAATAAGATTTTTTATATATTTTTAAAAAAAATATTCTTATAATTAGACTTTTTAATATAAATCTCAATAATTAGTAAAAAGAAATACTTAATTAATTTATAATAAGGCAATTTAATAAGAGATAAAATCCTAATAAAATGACATAAATTTGCTATATAACTACTAAAAAGAAAAAGAAAAAATATCTATTAAATCAGTCCTCTAGAATAATATCCTCCAATTCCTTTCCATTCTCCTTAAGCCAACTCTTTAATAAAAGAGTTTTTCGAACTATTTCTGGATCTAATCTATTTCTAGACTTAGTAACTATATTATTACTAATAGAAAATTGACTTTCTATAGCTCCAGAAGTAGCAGGAATAGCTAAAAAACGCCTAGCTAATATACTTAATATAGGAAATCTTAAAGAATTAGATTTCTAATAATCAAATACACTAGCCTATAAAGTAAATTAATAAGATAAAAAAAAAGATAAAAAAGCATAAAAAACTTACCTTTCTAGACAATCTAGTCTTACTTAAATAGATATCTATTTTATCTTCTTTCTTTTCCTGAGAATTTATATATAAATTCTCTTTAAAATTAGAATAAGGTGAGTGAGGGCTATATAAATCTTCAAATTCTTCTATATTAAAAGGATTTAAAACTCTAGCTTTCTCACTCTTCACTCTAATAAAATAAATTAATAAAAAATATATAATCTTAATTTAAAATAACTTACTGATTAAATTCAGCCTTAAAGATAGATAAAATATCATCTTCTATAGTAGAATAATAATATAAAAATCTTCCTTCTTTAAAGTGATTTATCTTAAATCTGGGATCTAAAATAATACTTATAAGAAAAGGCTTATAATCTTCTAATAAGCTTTTAGAAAGCTTTCTGGGAAAGTATTTCTCTAGCTTAATATATCCAGCATTAATAGCTAAAGAAAAAGCAGAGAAATAAGAAGCCTATTTAAAAATTAATAAAAAATTAAATAAAAAGAAAATAAATTACTTACTGAATCCTTCTGCAAATTATAAGCAGATAACAAGTCATTCAATTTCTTAAATATAATATATATATATAAAAAGCCTTGAGGAAGAGTTATATAAGTCTGACTTTGCAATTTAACAGAAGGATTTAAAAAAACCTCAAAAATCCGCTTTAATTCCTCAATTTCAGCCCATTCTGAAGACTTTAAGAATAACTTTTTATACTCCAAATTAGAGGTATTTTTGGAGATATATATAAGTGGATTCTTTAGTTCCAAAAAGGTATTGAGTATGAAGAAAGTGGAATTCCAGCGTGTAGAATTATCTAAAGATTTATTATTAGTAAAAAGAACTTAAAAATAAATAAAAATAAAAATAGAATATACCTAAGGGAATTTGCCTCTTTTTGGATTTTAAAACCCCTTCTTGAATACCCTGATTAATAGCTTGATTTAAAAGCTTATGAGGTTTATGAGTATACTTAATAATAGTATAAAGTCTTCTAACTCGACTTATAAGACCTAGAAAAAATTAGTAAAAAATATAAAAAATATATATATAAAAAGCTTACTAGTAAAAGAAGGGGTGTTAAATTCCTCATTAGAAATCTCCTCATTCTAGCTGTTTAATCCTATAACTGATATATTAGTATAGTTTAAAAAGCTTTCTTCAGTAAAAGGGCTTAATATATAGTTTTTTAGAATATCCTGCGCAACTAAGTTAATAATATACGCTATATATCTAATATCCCCTATAAAGTCCCTATTTAAAGAGCTTATAAAGCTCTTTTTAAAGGACTGAATAAAGATATTATTATTAGATGCATTAACATACATAATAAGCTTGCGTGACAAATAAGCTTGTATAACAAAAATCCCTCCATCTATATTATCTCTATTTAATCAATTAATTCTTAACCATAAAATATATCTAACCCTTATATTAAGGGTAGAATCCTTCTTGCGCTTCAGGCCCTTTAAAATAACCTAAAATTAAAGCTCCGACGCGCTGCAGAGATCTATAAAGTTGGCTGTATGATGCTATGGCGCCGGTAGAAGGGGATTTAATCCCGATGCAATTAGATCCCCAAATTACATAAGCTGTCCGATCTAGAAGAGCAGATTATTATTCAGTTTATCCTCAATCTGGATTTGTAAGGGTTTCCCCCGCGACTATATAGTATTAAAGAAATAGCTAACTAACTGCTCGCTAACTGCAATATATTACTCGTTAATAAGTACTAGGCTTCTAACTTTATTAGGTAATAACTAGAGCTTAAGATATATTTTTTTTATAAATATAATTATTAAAGAGCTAAATATAAAGATCTAATTATTATTTATAATTAATTCCAGCTTGTAGAGAATATAATTGCAAAATATAATATCAACCTAGCTAATATCTATAACTTTAATAAGACCAGCTTTATAATAGGTATTATTATAAGTAGAATAGTCATTATAGATATAGATAGATATAGAAACTTAAAACTAGTCCAGCCTGGAAACTGGAAATAGGTTACAGTTATTTAGGCGATTAATATAAAAGACTAGGCAATCTAGCTATTTATTGTAATTGCAGGCCAATATCACCTTGCTAGCTGGTATCAGAAAAGCAACCTCCCGGGCAATTAGGCTATTATAACAACTTAAAATAGCTAAACTAATAATAAGATAGGTTTTAAGTAGCTTAAGTACTTTAACTGGCATATAAAGGATCGATTAACTGGTCGCTATTATCTTCTAATCCTCGATAGATATAAAAGTTACCACTCTATTAACTTTGAGAAATATTATAAAGAGAATAATATTATTACGCTTTATATGCCGCCTCATTCATCTCATCTACTCCAGCCTCTTAATATTAGATATTTTGGGCCGCTTAAAATAGCTTATAGTTAAGAAATTAAGTAATTAATTAGATACTCTATAACTTACGTTACGAAGACCGAGTTCTTCCCAGCCTTCTATGCTACCTACACAGCTGCTATAACAAGGAGTAATATTAAGGGAGGTTTTTAAGGGGCCGGACTTGTTCCCTTGAACCTAGAAAATGTTATATCGAAGCTTGATGTGCAGCTACGGACTCTAATACCGGCTGCAGAGGAGGTTGGCCTCTCCGACTCTTGGGTCTTGAAGACCCCAAAGATAGTACTTGAGGCTAGTTTGCAGTCTGAATATCTTAAAAGATAAATAAGAAGGTATCAGAGCAGCTCTTTAGTATTTATTCTTAAGGCACTTAAGTTATTTTCTAAGGGAATAAAGGTAATAATATATTAAATAGCATTATTAAAGTCTAAGAACCAGATCCTTTAACAGGTAAATAAGACTCTTAGCAAGTAGCATAGAGCAAAAAGGACCCGCCTATAGAATAGAGGGAAGATGACTGTAGATGAGGGAAAGGGGTGAGATAGATCAGAGAGATATTGATATACAGGTAGCAGCTGAATCGTCGAGAAGTGGTAGTCGAGCGAGGTCGGTGATGCTGAGGGAAAGGCGCTGTGGAACTTATAGAAAGGCCGGTTATAATATAAGGACCTATCAGGCTGTTATTGAGACCTCTGGAGAAGAGTATAGCAATTAGTTTTAATTGATTTAAGGTATTATTATATTTTTATTAAAGTTTTAATTTTAAAGGTTAGTATTTTTATTATGTAAGCTTGTTTATTATGCAAGCTTATTATGTATGTTATCTCTAGTAATACTAAAGATAAATTAGCAAAAAAAATCTTAATAAGATTAAAAAAATATACTAAATAAGAAACTTAAAAAGAAATACCTAATAATATTCTTAGAGACAATAGCAGGATATACTTCTATAGCTTTTAAAAATTTACTATAAATGTATATACCTATATGACTCTCAGTTAAAGAGTGAAATCCTATATTGAAAAAATCAGTAAAATTTCTATATTATAATGATATAAAAAGTTTTTAAAAAATGCTTACTAATTAGCTTATAAATCAGATTGAAATTACTGTCTAAAAAAACAGTAAGAATTCCTAAATAGGCAACCTGATTACTAGCAGTCCAAATATCAAATATAAGGGAAAAAGTCCCTAAAGATAATATATTAGCTGCTAGTAAGAAATTCAGATTAATTAGACTTATATTAAAGGTATTTATTAAGATTTTTTTAATTTTTTTCCTATTGATAATAAGTCCAGCTCTAGAAAAAAGAATTATTAAAAAAATACTAATAAAAGGATATTAAAATAACTTACTTATTATAGTAATTTAATAGATTTTGAAAAGAAGAGGAAGAAAAAATGCGAAAAGAGAGATTATTTTCTATAATAAATTCAAGTATTTTATTATAAGCTCCTACTTCAGTAAAAGAAGTAAAATAGCTTAAGGAGCTTTTTTTATAGCGAGAATTAAAGAAATCTCTATTAGAAATAGATAGAGTATCTCTCTCTAAAAATAAATTAGTATTTAAATATAAAAGATTTTTTAAAATATTAAATAATATTTAAAAAATCTTAGAAAATATTTAAAAAAAACTTACTTCTTTTTTTAGTCTCCTCAAGCCTTTTAGTAGTAGCAATTTCCTTATGTTTACTCTCATAATACCGAGTAAAGTTAGAGGATTTAAATCCAATTACTTTTTCTTTTTTTCTATAATTACAACTAAAGTAATTTTAGTAAAATCTATAAAAATAAATAATGTGACAGGCGGTTAGGGACACTTGGCTAGCTGGTCGCTAGCGGGGATGTCTCTAGGATGACCTAGATGGAGTTAAAAGAGGAGGTCAGTGCCGTCACTGGGGAAAATAATCATTTTTTCCTTTCATCAGAGATTCTTCATAAAAGTCAGAGAGGCCAGAAGGGCTCGAGGCTGCTAGGGAGTCTATTAATTGATTGCCTTCATTTTTTAAGAAATTTATTTAAGCATTCTTGCCGTCACTACGTTCCTTGTCCAACTTCCGTCTTCGACATCCCTCAGATATCGGGCTGCCGCAGGCCCTATTGATGCCTTGCCAGCGGACTTTCCTGCGACCGACCCGATATTCTATCTCATGAGATGCTTCCCTATCAGGAGACATAAGCCTCAGGTTGATCCGACCTCATACGCGTAATCTGGTGCAGCTTCGGGCTGACCGGTCAAGACGCCTGTGCGACGACTCTCTGTGCATTTCCCCTAGGGTAAGTTAATGAGTTGGGTGTTGTTTTCCGTCCCTTCCTGCTGCTAAAATAAGATAAAAAAACTTACGTAGTGCAAGAGACTAAATATTCTCTTTTCTAACCAGAAATTTCTGGAAGTAAATCTCTAGTAAAAAGCCCTTCTATAAAGATATAACTACCTTTTTCTTTAGTTTCATTAAAACTTTCAGAAGTGGTTTCTTCAGTAAAAGGGTCTCTAATAGAGGAATTTTCTCTAGGAAAAAAAGAGGAAGAAGAAGGAGATTCTATAACTTCAATAGAGCTTAAAGCTATAGTATCAGCTTCAGAATACTGAGATTTAGTATCAAAAGAGCTTGGGGTAAAGTTGGAAGACATCTTTAAAAGAAAAGAGAAAAATTTGGTGGTTATAATAATATAAAAATCTTAGATATAAGTCAAGAGCTGATTGAGTTATCTAAAGGTAAAGATTAAAGGATTTTTTATTATATCTTCTTTAACTCATTATATATTTAAAATTAAAGAATTTTTCAATTAATAATAAAATCCAAAAAGTCCGTAAAATCCATTAAATCTATTAAATCCATAAAATCCGGTTAAAGTCCGGCTTAAATCCGGCTGGACCCACTTATATTCTGATAAATTATTATTAATCCTGACAAATCTATGATTCGAAACACTTCTCGAAATCTCATTATCTTCTTTATTACTTTTGAAATACCCGGTAGCCGCTTGGCGGAGATTCAGGCCTTTGGTGGATGTCTGAAGTTGCGAACCCCGCTTCAGACGTCATTGTCGTCATGGAAGGCGAGCCGGATGTTCCGGGCGGGGGATATCATCGTCCCCTGCGTAAAAGGACCAGAACGACAAGGGCATTGGAGTCCGAGCAGCAAAAAGGCGATATGGAATGGCAGGAGGAGGAGAGCAGTGAGGGAGCTCTGAGTCATACGCGAACTAAGAAAAGAACCACGCCTAAGGCAGCTGGCAGCATGACCGAGGCGATCCAGGGTTTGAAACGACTCCTGGAACAGGATTTCAATCAAAGAATGGAAGCAATGAAGGCAGAGTTTCAGCTCGAGTTTACAAAACTTAGCGACCGCATGGCTGAGGAAGTCACTAGGACCACGGCCCAGATGGCGCAAGAATTGTCACAGGCTCGAGAGCAGCTCACCCTGGTTTGCAGCGAGTTGGAGCAGACCCGGCTACAGCTGGACACCTTGACCAATGCTCATGCAGCAAGATCGCCTAGCCAGACATATGCAGATGCTGCCAGAATGACGCCTGCTAGTATCACCACTCAAACTCCATCCACGGTTCGATCAGCAACCCCGGAACCGGTGTTCTGCACAGTAGACACATCTAGGGTGCCCGAGGATCATATCGGAGATGCTACACCAGCAGTGCTTCGCAGGACCATTGAACAGGAAATGCGAACATCTAGCGACCAACCTAGTTGGCGATGTGTTGCAGTGACCAGAGATGGACGAAATACCAACCGCCTGAGGGTCATCGGTAGGAACGAGGAAGAACTGAAGAAGATCAAGACCATTATTGAGGTCAAGAAGGCTCCAGGTGCGAGAGTCCTTCGTGACCAACTGTATCCAGTCAAAGTTGACAATATCAACCGTACCGCCGTTCTGGACCAGGAAGGCAAGGTCCTTCCTGGAGCAATGGAAGCCTTGGGCCAAGAGAATGAAGTCCAGATTGCCAAGATGGCCTGGTTGAGTCGCAAGGATAACGCAAAGGCATATGGATCCATGGTGGTATACCTCACCAAAAACAGCGATGCCAGGAGACTCTTACAGGAACGCTACTTCCTTGCAGCCGGTGAATCGGCTTATACCAGCATGTTCGAGCGGAGAACCGGACCGATACAATGCTACAACTGCCAGGAGCTTGGCCACAAGGCCTTCTCGTGCAGCAAGAATCGGGTATGTGCGAGGTGCGCTGCCGAAGGCCACCATCATCGTGAGTGCCAGACGCAGGTACCCAAGTGCGTACCCTGTGGTGGACCGCACGAGTCGTTCAGTCGAAGCTGCCCGAAACTCTACCCTACTCGGCATGAGTAGGATATTCCAGGTAATTCAACTTAATGTAAGAAAACAGGACACGGTACACGAGAGCCTAATGAACGATACGCGACTCCAAGATTTTGCAGTTGTGGCGGTCCAAGAACCACAGGCATGGAAAAGTGACGGCAAACTATTAACAGTCCCTATGGGGCATCCCAGATGGATTAAAATGGTCCCTACGATTTGGAGAGATGGCAGATGGCCGATCCGGAGCATGTTGTGGGTGAATAGGGACTTGGAGGCCAACCAAGTACCAATACAGTCCCCGGACTTGACAGCAGCAGCCATACGACTCCCGGACCGAATAATGTTAGTTGTGTCAGTGTATGTGCCGGGACGCAAGCCCCAGGCTCTTCGAAATACATGCCATACCCTGCACCGGGTGATCCTCGACCTCAGGAGCAGGACAGGGATGGCGGTGGACGTCATACTGGCCGGAGATTTTAATCAACACGACCGGCTTTGGGGAGGAGACGATGTGGCCTTAGCAAGGCAAGGCGAGGCCGAACCGATCATCGACCTCATGAACGAACACGGTCTTTGCCAGCCTGCTCCGAGAGGCACAAAGACATGGCAAGGCCCCGACAAGGAAAGCACAATCGACCTGATGCTGGCGACGGCGGAGGTGGCAGACGGAATGGTGACGTGCTCCATACACCCGACAGAACACGGATCGGACCACCGGGCGATCCAAACGACGTTCGATCTCGCGATGCCTGATCGGATTGTCACGGAAAGACTGTTGTTCAAGAATGCACCATGGACAGCAATCAGAACCAAGGTGGAGGACAATCTCCAAGAGCTCCCCTGGACTGTCGGCGTGCAGGAACAGACAGACCAGTTAATGAGGGTCATCCTCGAAGCGATCCACGAGCTGACGCCCCGTGCACAACCAGTACCGTACGCGAAGTGTTGGTGGACGAAGGATTTGACAAGACTTCGGCGGGTGTACACGTTATGGCGGAATCAGGCTAGGGCACAGCGGCGAGCAGGCCAGGTGAGGCCCGACCTGGAAGGACGGGCCAAGGAAGCATCCAAGGAGTACCATGATGCCATTCGGAAACAGAAGAAACTGCACTGGGACGAATTCCTGGCAGAAGATGTCAACATATGGAAGGCGGCTACGTACTTGAAACCCGGAATATGCGCTATGGACGACAGAGTGCCCCCTT